TTCCAAATTATTTCAAATAAAATAAATAATACTGCTTATAATTTTTATTAAATAATTTCAGTTTCAAAAAAAAAAAATAAATTAGGATAAATAGGATTAATTAAAACTTTTATTGTTTCATAATAATTTCTTAATATTTCTTATTCCATAATAATACCTTTCTTTTGTTATAATTACATCTGGTTGTTTCTTCTTTTTTCCTTAATATTTCTTATTTCTTAATAATACTTTTCTTTTTTGTTACGATACACCTGGTTGAGTATTAAAATGCAGTTAAATATTTTTGTTAAATTGTCCACGTCTTCGTAACTATTTTTCTTATTCTTATCAGATTAAAATTTAATATTGAAAATTCTATAATTTGAAAATAAATGAATTTATGCACTTATAAATTGAATAAATAAATAATATAAAAACAACCTATAATCAAAAGAGTAAATAAGTAATTAGGATGTAAATTTTAGATGAGTAAAGTAAGTTATAAAAATTGCATCGTTAGTAATTCTTTTAATGTAAATATTTATATTTTAAATTACAAAGAAATTTATTTAATTGTTTAATTTCAAATTAAAATCCTTCATCTGAATTTAATGCAATAAAAAATTTAATTTATATGAATAATTAAATCATTTGCTTATTCACTAGCTAATATATAAATTATAAATGAATCATTTTTAGATAGTTTTAATTTACGAATTTTTTAATGAATAATATAGAATTATCCTGAATGAGATGATCCGGAATTAAATTGATCATCTTCCATCTATTATATAATATAATTAGTATGTTGACAGATTTACGTATTTCTGTTCAACGAGAAAGAAGGTTATTTGAAGAATTATTGATAAAAGAAGAGCAAAATTTTATGCAATTATTAAAATGATAATTATGATAAAAATTTATCATTAAAAAAATTTACAACCAGAAAATTAAAATTTCCATTAAATTTGAAACAGTCTAATTTTCTTATCATTTTCTTCTTCTTCTATTTTCCATAATCAATTGATGAATGAATTTGAAGTGTGTGTGTGTGTTAAATTTTTATGATTAAATTGATAATATTGATTAAAAATTGGAATGAATTGTTAGATAAATGATAAATGAGATTTTACTCCTCATTGATTTCATTTATTTAATAGGGGGAGGGGAGAAAAAAATTAGTCTAATAGTTTTGAAATATGTATATTTTAATGAATTCTTTCATATTTGTTACCCTTTTATAAAGCATATAGTGCCGGCTGTCAAGAATTTTTCCAAATGCTTTTTCTTTCCTTTTTTTTCAAAAATGTACTTTCCACAAAATTTTTTTCCATTTTCTTACTTATTGGCAATCAAAAAGAAAAACGAAAAAAGAAGAAAAATCTGATGAAAATATTTTACTTTCTCTTTTCTCAGTAGCTGTCAGCAAGAAGAAAATCAAACGAAAGAAAAAGAAACAATAAGTAAAATAGAACGAAACCTTTATTTTTTTTTAACCTAAAATTTATTTTTAAAATTTTAAAGAAAATAAAAATGAAGGAAATTTTACTATTAATTTTTAGAAGAAAAGGTTGAAAGGAAAAAAAAGTTCGTAAGAAAAAGTTTTGTTTTAAAGTATTATTTAACATTTTTCATTTTTCCTTCATAAATCATTTCTTTCCAATTTTTCCTTTTCGTTCTCCTAAAATGATAAATTTTATTTGTATGCAAAAAATTTTCTTCAAAATTCTTAAATTACATTTCTCTTCCTTTTTTTTTGTTTGTTGATATTATTTTATACTGGAAAGTAGTTTAAACGGAGAAATTTACGATAGCTTATCTCTTTTGATGATATTTTTCATTTTCTGCTGATTCATTCGTTGTCAACAAAATTATTTAATTCCTCCTTTTACTTACTTCAAATTAATTACTAATTTATTTTCTTTGGTTAACTTTCGATCAGTTAGATTATTTCATTCATTTTTCATCTTTTTATATTTTACTATTTTTTAATTTATCTAATTAGTAGTAATAACATCTTTTTGTTTGAGTTATTTCTTAAAACATGCAAATATTGAAATGAAATTTTAAAAAATTTGAAACAATTTTTTTTTTTTGCTTATTATGATAAATTATTATAGCTGGTATTAATTAGATGCAGAAATTTTGCGTTCTTATTCTTGATAAAGAATAAAGAAATGTATAAGCAAATTAATTCAAAAATTTAATTTAATGATAATGATATAAACTAAATATCAGTATTGATTAGAACCAAAATTTTGAACAATAAATAACGATCGGATATGAAAGTCATTGAAAATTTTATTTTATCTTTATAGAATAATCTCGGTGATTGCAATAGTTTCAAAAATATTTCAATGGATTATAATAAAAGTAATATCGTCCTGTTCGATTTCTTATCTTCTTTTGCAGTACTTTTTCTTCATATTTTATTTTAATAAAGCAAAAAAACCATCAGTTCTTTAAAGATTGTAATTCTCAAACTATTTTTTAAATGGTTTGTTCACTTTGATGAAAAATTTTAATGGTCTGTTCACTTTGATGAAAAATTTTAGTGGTCTGTTCACTTTGATGAAAAATAATGGCTGTTTTGGACTTTTTCAGGGATTTAGCTTTAAGTGGCATAGTTGAGTTGTAGTGAGATGGTATGACCGCTTTGTTTAATATTCGATGGAAACTTTTTAATTCTTTCTTGATAATTCAGGAATTCAATAATTCGGGAATTATCAAGATTAGGAATGACTTAATCATTTGGTTCTTTTTTAATCGTTGATCCGGTAAAACAATTTGTGACCGTTCATTAAGGAAAATGATTCAACAGAGTGGAGATGGTATGACCGCTTTGTTTCAAAGCATTAATTACACTACAATATGGTCAATTCGAGATGATCACTGTTTTAGTAAATAGAGTAGTAGTCATTTTGTATATGAAATTGATAATGGACAAAGAATCTCAAATGGTCATTTAAAGACGAAACTAATGATAAACATGGGGTCAATTTCTATGTGAAATAATAGCGAACAAAGAATCGTAAATCAGCAAAATACAAAGCATATCCTATCATTTGATTGAGAATATACAATTACTATAACAAAGATAACAACATTAATCATTTAAACATCTCTACATAATAAGATTACTTCACATTTCCGACAGTGGATCATATCCGTCGATTGGATAAATGAATAATTGGTCTGTATGAGGCTATCGTCATCATGAATCATAGATATCTTTATCAATTGATAAACAACAATGTTAAACAGCAATAGAGTCTATATGAGACTACTGCAATCATCGATTATAAACTTTATTAACTCATAAATCAGTAGTGTGTTGTTTGAAATAATTTATGATTATGTTTTAAGCTTTAATATAATAACCTGTTGCTTATATCGCTTAGAAGAATTTATCAATGAACTAATTACTCATATACTTTTCCTATGTGTGTCTATGCTTGATAGAAATGAAATTTAGAATAAATTTGATGTCAACATAACTAAAGTATATTTACCGCAAATTAAAAATGAGAATGTAAACGTAATGAAATAAACTTTCATTTATGGAAGCCAACAAAATGAACTAATTTGATAATATTTGCTATTTCCAACTTTTTCCTTTTTCTTTAAAGTTAGAAATTAACTAGTTGATAACCTTTAAAAATATCATTATAATCATTCAACAATTGATTAAAAATTATATTTGTGGAATAAAATTTTACAATCTATCCCTCTTCGATCATTTGAAATATTTGAAGAGAGAAGAAAATTAGAGAAAAAGAGAAAATATGAATAACCAAATTCATTTTTGAAAATTTTAAAAAGCTATTTTCCGTTTTGAAACGATTATGGAATATTTATTTATCTTACGATTAAGAACATAACTCTTTGATTCAGTAAATTAAATTCTTTTTTCTTTAAATACCTATTTTACCTATGGCATTCATATATGAATTGATATACTGATATATCAAAAGAATACTAATAAGGAATTTATATGTAGTGATATAAGAAAAGCGATACTAATAAGGCATTTATATACAGTGATATATCAAAAGCGATACGTAATAAATGATTTGTTGTAAAAAAATTTTTTAACAATCAAATAATTTTTAACAATCAGTTAAAAGAAAAAAATATTTCTTTTCATTTTATTCAAAAGCAAAATATTAATTACTTCTAAATTGAAAATTCATTTATTTTATTTCTCATAATACTCTTCTACTTTATTCACAATATAATACACATGTATGTATCATGCTGATACTAATAAATGATTTTTGTTGTGAAAATTTTGATATTACATTTCCGATAGATGTGTAATAAATTAATTACTCCTTCTATTATTATTACTACTATTCATTTTCTTATATGAGAAAATGAAAAACGAAGAAGGAATTAAATCCATTTCAATATTTTCTTCATTATTTATTTTTCTCTTTATTTTAAAATCTAAAATCTTAAAAAAAAAAAAGAAAAATTAATCAATAGTTTCTTATTAAACTATTCCAAAACTTATTTGAGCAAAAATATTTTTATTAAATTTAAATGATACTTTTCGTCGATTATTTATTCATTCATTATTTATGATAAAATAATGATTGTGTATGTTACTAAAAAATGAAATGCTATGAGCATTAAATAATAGAAATCTGGCAGTAATAGTAATATATAAGTTTATAATAAAAGTTAAATCATTTGTTTCTCATTTGTCTTATGCAATCAATTTCAACAACTCATTTAATGCTTGCTTAATATAAGGTAATGATGCATGCTAATTTTATTACTTTCTTTCCTCATTTCATTTCTTATTTTTATCAACAATCTTTTTCATGTTTATTCATTAATTTTAATTTTAGGATGGAAAGAAAATAATTGGCTTATTTTTGGAGAATTTTCATTTTATCAATTCGCAAATTTTACGATAATACTAATTAACTACAATCATTCCCTTTCTTTTTTTTTCATTTATGCAATTAATTGAAAACAAAAAAGAAAAGATTTTGAAATGAAATGGATTTATAATGGTGAATGATTTGGAGCGATGTCAAACAGCTCTTATCGAATTACCCGAAGATAGCATTGTATATGATTGGTTCTATGCTATTCATAAATTTTATAATCCAATTCATACATATTTATCAATTGCAATATGTATTTTGGGTGCTATGTGTAATTTTTGTAATATTCTTGTACTTACAAGGTAAGTAAATTTTATCAAATTTCATTTAAAAATTTAATTTAAAATTTAGAATTTATGAATAATACGAATTTATGAATTTCCAACTTTCTATTATTTAAATAATATAGGAAAGAAATGAATGAATTAATTGTAGCATAGGTAATGGATGTTTTCAATCTCTTCCAAAATGATATCCTTCAAAAGGATTGATATTTTAATTATCATCGAAATTCGAAAAATAACAGAAAAGCAAAAGAGGAATTCAATCCTTTCATAATTACATATTTAATTATAGCTTTATTCAATCGCTCTTATCGTTTAGTTAATTGTGAAATTTAACTTTTGCAGTAAAGTAACAAAATGAAGAAAATGAACAAAAAAAAAGAGAAATTGAAATAATTTGTTCATTAATTGAAAATTTTTCTACTTATCAATAGAAAATGAAATCATTTTTCTTTTCTTCTCTCTCTCTCTCTCTCTCTCTCTCTCCCTTCAAATAAATTATAATTGCTGACAAATGATAATGAAGCATTTTCATCATATTTGTTTAATTCTCTCAATTATACAGTAAAATGAACAATAAAAAAGTATTTGCCTAAAGAAGCAAAAGAATTTTGTATTAAGAAAAAATAAACAAAAAATAAAAGAAATCATAAAATTAAAAGCTCACCTGAAATGATAAAATGTGAAATTAAAAAGGTAAGTTTCATTTTTAACTTACACTATACAAAGAATATTTGGAGGGATCGAAAACACATATCAATTTTATTTTAATAATTTTTACCTTTTTATCTTATGATAATTTTCTTACCTTATCTTACAAAATAAATATAAATAAATATATTATATATATTAATAATCGTCAATTGAAAATATTACTCTTTTATTTGTATGGAAATTCAGAAAAAAATGCAATTTGAAATTTGAAAAATTTAATAAAGATAAATGAGATAAGGATGAAATCACTTCAACAATTTAGTCATCAAATAATTTTTTAATATCAGCTCATATTTGTTGGATTAATTTCAGGAAACGAATGCATACACCGGTAAATATGATCTTAACAGCAATGGCATGTTGTGATACGGTAGTATTATTTTCAAATTTAGTATATACGACACATTATACATTCTCAGCATTGTCTAATTGTCATCCGGAACAATGGAGTTACGGTTGGGCTGTGTTTCTTGTATGCCATGCACATTTATCACTTATTGGTCATTCAAGTAGCATTTGGTTATCGGGTTAGTGAATAAATTGCGATAATTATTTATAATATTTAATTTTATCTCTTAGATTTGAAATTCATATTAATGAAATTTAATTTGTATTCTTCATTTTTGATGTGGAAATTACCACTGAAATGATATGATATGATATATCATTGAAAGGATACTGATGAGAAATTATCATTGTTTAAATCTTGATGATCCGAAACAATTATTAGCTGAACCGGAAAATTGGTAGAAAATGTTATGATAAACATGGTTTCTTGAAACTAATTGTCTATCAGAAGGCATAGAATTAATTTAAATGCACTATTAAATATTTACCATAATGAAATTATCGGATATTCTCTCAATCATTCCGGCTTTTAGAATAGCAATAAAACTAGCTAAGCTTATTTTCATATTTTAAATGTTGATGTAAATTTCAAATTTTCAGTTATGCTAGCATTAATACGATATATGACATTACGGAGTAGGAGGAAAATCAACATCGCGCAGGTATATAATAATTTTTGAATTGAAATTTTTTTTCAACATATTGATAGTAAACTATCAAACATTTACGGTTGACTTAAAAGAAAATGTTTACATGTTTACAAGTTATTTTTTTCGCCTCAAACTTCATTAACGGAAAATTTAATGATTTCTGTCTATTAGAGTATAATGTTCAACGATGCAGAAAATAATGTTTATTTACTATTCATTAATTGATCGTAATCATTATAAAAAGCCTTTTTGAATGGCCTATATATGTCTGTTTACAAGTAATTTAAATTATATCAATAAAATCTAATAGAATTTATTACTTTGACAGAAATTTAATTATTTTGAAAGGTTCAAATCCAAATAACAAAAAAATAAAAATGTCCTAATATCGTTCTAATAATGATTCGCTTAAAAAAAGAAAACGAATAGAATATCCTAAAACAATGAATGATTTGTCGAATTTTCAGCAGCGAAATTTTTATGATATATAAATAAGAGCGAGTAATATTTCTCTTCGAGAATTCGTGAAAGAAATTTTTGCACATTTTGAAAGAATTGAATAAATTAATTATTTTTTTAGCAAAAAGAAAATTTACCATTTTGTTGAATACTTTTTTTAAAAAAGATTTAAAATGCATGTTTAACAAAAAAAGAAAAATTACCATTTTATTGAATATATTATTTTAAAATCTAAAATGTATATTAAATATATTATTTTGAAATCTAAAATGCACATGGAAATATATTATTTGAAATTCTAAAATATATTTTGGCATTGATTAAATTCATTTTCGATGAAAGATTAAATCGTTAAAATGAAATATGTATAACTATAATGTTTTAATATTGGACAAATAATGGAATCCATTCCAATCTGACCATTTTATTGAATATATTATTTTAAAATCTAAAATATATTTTGGCATTAATTAAATTCACTTTTGATGAAAGATTAATTAAATCGTTAAAATAAAATTTGTCTAATTATGATATTTCAATAATGGATAAAAAATGGAATCCATTTCTATCTGTAAAGGAAATAAATTATATTTTTATACTCTTTACCTTAGATTTTAATAAAACAATAAAATTTAATATTTTTTCACAATGAAATTTAGTATTTAGATTATAATTGAATTTTGGAGAATATTAGCAAACAGTTTAAAATTAAGTTTATTTTTATTTTACAAAATGTTACTCTTTTCATTAAAATAAAACTATTAATTTAGATTCATTTACGACATTCATATATGGCTATAGCATTCGTCATATTATTTGTCATATTAATGAATACACCAAATTTTCTTGCTTATAAAATTATTAAAATGAAACTTAGCGAAACGTGTAATGTTACCGATATTGACAATCGTGATGCACCTGCTTATATACCTAGCGTTTCTGATTTGGCACTTGAAGCGCATTGCTTGGTATTTATTTGAATTTTCTTTTCTTAAACACTTTCATTTAAATATCATTTTAAATTGCTATTTTTAAATAAGATGAATATTTAATTGTAATTCGAAAATTTCATTATGTGTTAAGTATTTCCTAGGTAGAGTTACATATTTTCAACTTTTAAAAATTTCATCTTTGTTTCTATATTTTATATTCTTTTTCCTATGTTCTTAAACCTTAAAAAAGTTGTCGGCAAGGAAAAAAAGATAATTAATAATAGGATCAATTACGCCCACTTCCTTTGAGTCTTTATTGAGGAAAGTATCACTCACGTTTCATATCATGAGCAATATTATATAATTCAATTCAAACTTTAAATCATAAAGCTAAATCTTAAGCTTATAAAATCATTTTGAGAAAAATTCTTTTCTTCACAATTAGGTCTTTTATAAATTCTTCTTAGTGTTTTGGCAATTATTATCATATTATTATAATAGTTATAGTATTCATTTCAATTCCTAAATGAATTTCAAATTAAACTATTTAATTTTATGATATTGCGATAATTTAGATATTTCGAATGGCATTTTGGATATCAGGTACAATATTCAAAATGATCCCATGCTTAATGTTATCATCTTTTGTTTGGCTGTTAATGAAAATTTTAACAAAAGTGCAACAAAATCGACTCAAACTTTTAAATGCAAATCATTCAACACGTTCCTATAACGGACGATATGATGGTAGGAAGGATGATCGAGGAAGAAATGATAATAACAATGCAAAACATCCAGCAATAACTAAGTAAATACAATTTTATCGTAATGATTTTATATCACCTGCTTCTTTCATTTATTTTTCTACAATGCAGGAAAAAAATTCTGAAATTATCGCAAATTTCTTTTCGAACATTTAATTCAATAAAATATAACATTATATTATTTTGCTAAAATCTATCAATCAAATATATTACCAAAATAATATTTAACATTAATGAATATTTTGCGAAATTCGCAAACTGATTTTCGCTTTTCTTTACTTGTCAGCAGTAATCAATTAAAATGATGTTATTTTTATTTCCAGGAATTAATTCATTTTTATGATTTTCCCTCGATAATATAATTTCCCTCGCATTTTTAAGCAATTGAAGATTTTTTCCATATCATAGGAAAGGTCAAAAAAACCTTTCCAACAAATAATTCTTGGTAAAAACCCGTAATGTACTGATAGTTTTCGTGCAGTGATTCTAAAATGTTTATGACAGGCTTAAAGTGATGTTTTCTTATATGATTAAATAAGCGATAAAACAGTGCATGAATAATTTCAGGGCAAATACAAGTATTTATCGCGCAGATCGTACCACCCATATGTTGCTAACAATTTTATGCGTATTTTTAATTACCGAATTACCGCAAGGTATTATGATGGTGCTTTCTGGCATTCTTCCGGAAGAATTCAGAAGGCATATCTATAATAGACTTGGAGATCTGCTGGATTTGTTATCACTATGTAATGCATGTACAACATTTGTGATTTATTGCTCAATGAGTGAACAATTTAGAAATGTTCGCCTTTTTTTAAAAATAATATTTTCAAATGCGATCATAAAATAATTTCCCATCAAAAGAGAATGAGATTTCTAATATTCTGAAGTGTTATGTTGAATTTTTCATTAATTAGATTCCTCGTTAATCAGATTCCTTGTTTAAGATTAACACCAAGAAATATATTCTGAAAGACTTACATCACATTGAAGCAAATAAATATTACAATAAAGTGATTACGTTTATTTTATGATGCCAATAAAGCAAATCTTTAAGTATCACAAATATTTAAAATAATTCAAAGTAATAAAAACTAAAGTAAATAGTTGAAAAAAAAGGAGAGAGTAAAGCAAATAATTATTATTGTCAGCTATGATTCGAATTATTATTTCGAATTGTGCCATTTATTTCATTTGCTAATTTTATTTTAATTGTTACAGGAATTTAAAGAAATATTTTTGCCACAATCATTGTTTGGTTACAAATTAAGTTGGACTTTTAAACGAGAGTACAAAGAACCGTCGTCACCTTCGCAATCTCTACTAATGTAAGTTTTAAAAATACTTTTGAATTATCATCAAATGTATTAAATCGATATGTATTAAAGAATAAACTCAAAATTCATTTAATTTTTGTAATTGCAAATCTTGATGTTGTAAAATTTATTTGCTTCATTTCTTTTGCGTAAACTATTACGTAAGGTTATCGTAACTATCGATCACATCATTAAAAGGAATATTTGATTGTTGATAACTTTTTTAACCTACAACTTCAAATAATTCTAATTACTTCCTACTGTTAAATTTCAAATATTAAAAGTAATCCAATTTATAGGAATGCTGAAGACGCTTGCTGAAAATCCAATAGTATCGATAAAATCGAACACTATGTTAACAATGGCGTACAAGAAAAATTAATTATGAATATGGAAGATGACGAAAATGCCAGTTGATTGTATTTACATTAAAAAAAGCTTATCATCATATAAATTATATGGATATTAGTAAGATCGAAATTTTTTTCTTCAAATGAAAAATTTTCAACTTTTCAATAAATTTAAGGCGATCGATGAAATTTAAAAATTTTTGAATTCTTAAAAAATTATCTTACAATTGCTATCTCATTTAATAGTAATACAACAAAGAGATAATAAAGGAAAAATCATTTGCATAATAATCAAATGCCAAAGTAAAACATTGCGAAAGCAAAGATTATGCTGAATTTTTATGAAATATATTTAAATCGAGCATACTGAAATTGCATAGGATGATCGAAATACATTCGAAATGGTAAATCTGAAATTGCATAGGATGATCGAAATACATTCCAACTAGTAAATCTGAAATTGCATAGGATGATCGAAATACATTCCAAATAGTAAATCTGAAATTGCATAGGATGATCGAAATACATTCCAAATAGTAAACCTAAGATTGCATAGGATGATCAAAATACATTCCAAATAGTAAATCTGAAATTGCATAGGATGATCAAAGTGCATTTCAAATAGATGTTTGAAAACACACTTCTAAAATAGTAGATATTGTTGAGTGCTGGAAAGTTCTCCTAAAAATTTTTTAAATATGAAAATTTTGAAATTCATTCAAATAAATATTTGAAAAGATACTTCTCAATGATAGATATTGCTGGATGTTTGAAGCTTTTCCTGAAAAGCCTTTTCAGTATTTCAATTTTTAATCTTAAAATGTCAAAAAGCTTTGGCTATTAAAATTTGAAAAATTTTCTTTCGAAGTTATTATTCTTTATTTTTTCATATATCGGTGCAGAAAAAAAAATATATTTTCATCAATAATTGTTTTGCATTAATTTTTGTAAATAAAAGATTTTCATATGCATAAATTTGCTTTGACCATATATTTTACTAATTAATTTATTTCGTTTTAATTTTTCTTCAGTTTAATCTTTAGGCTTAATTAATTCTCAAACTATTTATAGAGAATTAGATAAGCCTTTTTGCTTCATTTATTTATCACACATTTTTACAACAACTCCTCTCTACCAATTTTCTTCTATCGAATCATAAATAAGAGTCTAACTGAACTAATAAATTTCAGCTAAATTAAGAAGCTGCATCTAAACTTTGCAAGATTTAATTAACTAAATTGAACTTTACAAGAATTCACAGACATTTAATACAACAATTAGAGTTAGACTTAATAAAGTACAAAATAATCCAAGTAGTCAAAATGGCATAAATGCTTGTTTTAGATTATTCAATTGATATGATAATATTGTCGTCGTCTTTTTCTTCAAACATAAAAAGAAATTCGATCGATACTAAAAGATTACAAGGGAAAATTTAAGCCTCACCCGTAGTGTGTCGTAACGCTGCGGTATAGTCATTTTTAAATGAGACTTAAAAAGGATTTAGGTGGCAGTTTTGAAGTAAGGAAAAAAGAGCAAAGGAAACTATCTTATATATTTGAAATGATATTAACTTATTCAAAAAAAAGAACTTAATTTATTCATATTTGTAATGAAAATAATTTATTCAAATTCAAAGTATAAAATTTATTTTACAAGAAAAGGATCCATTTTTAAGCATTTTCTCCATTTGTTTTCTTCATTCCTCTACTTGAAACACTTGTTGATTTCATTGAATTTGTAGGTGATGCCTTCTTTTCCGTTGTCTACAACAAATATTCAATTAAAAAATTAATTATCAATTAATTCAGATATTATGGGCTAATTTACTGATCGAATTCGAAGTTTTATTTTGCTTTAAAATTTCTTTTTCAAATTGACTATAACTGAAATAAAAACTTTTACAATATTATTTAATAAATTTAATAGGAAAAAATGCATTCATAAAAATTGCCTGTAAATTTTTAGTATATTAAAATAATTAAAACATAGTTTTTCGATATTACAAATTAGGATAGTGCGATATCACTACTTATCGTATCCTATCAATAATTCGAATAATTAAAAAAGATAACTTTAATAAAATTCAAACTTTTGAAATTAAACTTATTGAATAACAAATTTGAAGAAAACTTATTCAACAAACAATTTATCATATAAACTGATAATTAAATTTCAATCAAAAAAAGCAACAATAGAATCTATTAAAGATTTAGTGATAATAATGATAATTGAATTCAATTAATTTAGATTTTACTAAACAATTTTAATTTTAAGGCTTTTTTATTTATCATAATTGTTGCTAACTTCTTATTGCTTCAAATAATAATGGTACTTAATGGTAATTATAGTAATGGTAATTACTAGGTTATTAATTTATTATAACTGTGCATATTGAAACTGAAATTTGTATTGAATAAATTAGTTAATTATAAACTAGCAATTAAAAAAACTAACAGTGGGAGATGATTTAATAATGTTTGATATGTCGGATAATTTGCTGACATTTCTATTAGAAACAGAAGTATGTTGTTCTTTTATCGAACTATCATCTGACATTCGATCATGTTTCCAATGTCTCTTTCGAAGTGTTAAATAACAACAAATGCCAATCGTAGCACAAATGGCAATTGCCGTAATTACCAGTATTGTTACTATTATCCACATAATTCCATTTTTCTTTTCACGTACTTCGCTACTAACTTAAAGAAAAATTGAAATTAAAAAAGAAGAAATGATTTTATACTTTCATATGCAAATTTATTTTATGCTTTTCATCTATTATTTTAGGCTAAAGTAACTAATATGAAATAATTTGCATAAAATAAACAAATTAAATTAGCCTAATATTTGCTATTTGTTCCATCCGATACGATGCAATAAACAAAAAAGAAGCCATATGCTGTATTTTTAACATTTCATCGTTAGCTATTATTTCTTTTTAGCATTAAATTAAAAATGATAAAATTACTTTTTATGCAATCGAAGAAAAACCAAATTATCGTAGTTGATTCTTCAATAATTGTTACGGTACATCGACTCTGAACCTAAAATTAATTATTCTAATTATGAATGATTGATGAAATTAGGTAAAATTGTTATTGAATGATAATCTCGTAATTCATTGGGAAAAGAATTTTAAAAAAATATCTGCTCTCATATAATAGAAATGATTATTTTAAATGATTGAAAAGTTTCACGTAAACATATAACTATCTGATACAATTATTATCAACGTTAGCTACATGTTAATTAAAATAAATACAGTCTTAACTATAATTTATAATTTTCTTCATAAACAATATCCCGTTCCAGAGTACAATTATGCATATAAATGATTATTTGTGTAATAGCATATCGCATACGTTTGAGAAAATATGCTATGCTCAAGTTTTTTTTCTAAAATGTAATTTAGCGTAAAATACGTTGTATGTAACATACCGTTTGTAATATATATTCAAAATTTTCAGGATTGTTTATAATTCGAATTTTTAAATTATCCGGTTTAGTTATAGCTTTTTCAAAAGCTTTTTGTAAAAGTTTATCACATTTCATATCCAAGCTAATAATTGCTAAATAATTATGTTTGGTATCATAATATGCTTGTTTTGATATGCATTCCATTGAGTCGTGACGTGACAGACGCTGTAATAATGTTTTAACTAATTTTCAGATTTATGTATTTTTTTAAAAGACTCATTTCAGTTATTTTAAATGGCATATGAAGTAAAAGTTTGTTTTCGAGGATTTGCTAGATTATAGAAATTGTTTCTTAGATTAGATCATAATGATCTAAACTTCATCCAGCCAACAGTGGCTGTTTAATCTGGCTTAAAGCGTTCTAAAATATATGACCTGTCAAATCTCGAAACTATTTAACCTGCTATTTCAATTCTTAAATTATGAAGGATAAAATAATGTTTAGGTCTACCATCCTATTAGCCATTTAAACTGCTAATATTCGATAACAATTAAGAAATCAAATTAAGAAAGATTAATGAATAATTATATGAGTGCAAGCCTAATTTCCCAATAATCTTTTACTTTATTCAGTCAATTAAATTTCATCAAACTTTCAGTAACACTTCAAATTGTGTGACTTACATTAATTCGTGCACGATATTGTGCATAAGTATTAATACCAATCATACTAATAATCATTGAAAACAACCGCATTGAATTGTATTGAAATACTACAAGCATTATGCCAATTAATTTAATTGCATTTTTATCGATAAAAATTTTACAATTCAAAATTAACAAAAATAAATAAATTTAGCTTTGCAAATAACATAGTGAAGATGTTATGCAAAAAGATCATGTAAATTTTTAAAATTTATGAAAAAATTTTAAATTTGCTTTACACTTGAAACACGCTCCTTTCTATTTAATTGCTAAGGCGTGAATGACACGTATGAACTACTTGTTAAAACGTAAATAACACGTGACACGTATGTTCGTTTGCTGGAGAACTCTTCGATTTTCAAAAATAATTCTAAAAAAATGAGCACGTCTAAAATAATATAACTGTTGTAATGATTCATTTCTAATTATACTTCAAAATTCATTAAATATGACTAAACAATCAAATAGCCTGAAATCATAACCAAGTTTAGAAACCTTAAATTGGAAAAAATAGTGGAAAAAGTTTAGGAATTAAATTATCAGTGAATTAATCAAGATTTAAATTAAAGCATGAAATTTGATTTAAATCATTATTATAATCATAGATGAATCGTTTCATTCGTCATTTATTCATTTTATCCTTTGTAGACAATATTTTAAATCGATAATCTTAACTTTTCCTTAATTATTTCAATAGCCTGAATCTTTTTTTGCATATTAATTTGACCTTATCAACTTCTATTAATTTTTTGTTTTATCAATCTTTAAATTTTTGGATGAAAAATTAATTTAAAAAAAAAATGCAACGATTAATGGATGATAACTTACTATAGTATTACTTAACGCTACTCACGTTTGTTACTTACGCCATTTACGTTTTTAAAAATAAGTTATTGACTAATATAGTATATATATTGCCAGGTATATTGATAAATTCACTTGCCTAATTATTGAAACATTAAATTTATATTTTCTTTCTGTCAGATGAATGAAACATATCTGTTGCATCGTATCGGTGAATATCATTCTTTTGAATATTTCATTTCAACTTCTTTTGCACCTTAAAGAAATTCTAAATTATAACTTTAAAATTTAATGTCTTTTTTCAATCGTTAAAATTTTAATTTTATTTTCCTAAAAAAGTAAATATCTTTCTAAACCTAAAATTTGTAAAAATATTCAGAATGAAATTAACACAAAACATTTTCACGAATATTTTCAATATCTCTGATTCATTCATTTTAAGTTCTTTTATTTTAATCGAAAGAAGGGAAAATTTACCGTATAACTGTTGTATGCGTAAGATATCAAAATTAGTAAGTTTAGGTTTCACATAATTACCATTTGAATCAATAGATTGATAATGATAGACTGGTAACATTATCGAATCTTTTTCCAAGGAATGTTCTAAGCCCAAAATATGACCAATTTCATGAATTGCTGCTGGCAGCAAATCTATCTTATCGTATCTATAATTATTTCTCTTTTTCTTTTTACCTATGGATAACTTAACTAAAAAAGAGGGGACAAAACATGATTATTATGTTTAATCTATTTTTTCATTAAAAAGAAAATTGAAATAAGGAAGAAATAAGGTTAACCTGGAAAGTTCATTGATAATCAGAGCAGCCCATTTTTCATCCGCATCAAAATGAATTAAACCATATGGTGGAAGTAATGCATGAGCCAATATTTTACCTGTTATCAAATTTAACTATGGGCTAATATTTTACCTGTTATAAAATTTAGCCATGAACTAATTAATATTTTATCTGTTATAAAATTTAACCATAAGCTAATATTTTACCTGTTGTAAAATTTAACCATGAGCTAATATTTTACCTGTTATAAAATTTAATCATGAGCTAATATTTTACCTGTTATAAAGTGTAACTATTGTTTTACCTGTTATAAAATTTAACTTAAACATTTCAATTTTTTTCAAATGAATTTCGAAAATTTAGTTCGATTTTTATTAGCTACAGTAATAATAGGAATTAATAAAATAGTTGAAATAAATGGTTAGTATTGTTGTAGAAGAAATGAACAAATTATGTTAACAACAAAACAAAAAAACTTTAAATATTCTATCAAAATTTGAAGAAAAACAAAATGTCGTTATCATTTAATCATTTATCTCCTTCAATCATATTTACAGTATACCTCCTACAATAACTAACTTATTCAATCATATTTACAGTAATACTTAGAAATAATCCATTCAAAATTTGTTTAATTAAAAATGGAAATTTTTAAAAGCACTTTAAAATTTTTTTAACATAACATCATCATTTATCAAAATATTTTTTTAACATAACATCATCATTTATCAAAATATTATGCTAAATTTATCATTTATGTTAAATTTGCTATTTATCAAAGGGTTATCTTTTATCATCAAAAAAAGATATCAATATTGATTATTGAAATCGCAATTTTAAAGTCATTTGAATAAAAAGTTTTTAAGAAAAATGAAAACTGATAATTTTCATAAATATTGATAATTTTAATTTGATAATATTCATAAATTTCACATATATATATGTCTTTTCATTAACTTTTTATTAAGAGAAAATATTCAATTATCACACATTCATTAATATTAATGCAGGTAAAAAGAAGACCTGGTCCATCAAAAGAACATCCATCTCCATGTTCTCCACTAACAAAATCAATTTTAATATTTCCATTTTGTGGTACTTCGATGAAATTCAATTTTGTTACCGTTGACCATACTTCAAAGGCTATCTTCATCACATCCCTGAAATTTTCTCTCTAATGAAAAGTTAGTATTAAAAAGGCATATATATGAAACTTCTTTTAAATTTAAGAAAAAATAATGAAAACGAAATTATACCTTAACATTTTTTTATAGTAATAATTTATAGTAACATTTTTATAGTATAGTAATTATAGTAATTATCATACCTTACTATTTTTCGTGATAATTGCTTAGGAATAAATCCTATTGAATATGTTAAATTTTTACTCTTCCATTTGTATGCTTTGGTTGAATCTAAAATATTTGATAAGTATATCAAAAAACAATTTTTCAAGAAAATTTTATATTTTATTCAACCTTTATCACTTGTCTGTAAAATGATCTAAAAGTATAACAATCTAAGTTTCAAAATTCAAGATTGAAAATTACCTTAATTTCTTATATTACATAATTATAAATGCTGGTAGTTTAATTAGAACATACATAGGTCATATCAGAAGGTCAAAAAGTAGAATGCAACGATCATTCATTGATCATCCTTATTAATACGCTATTGATTACAACAATAATATTACCAACCATTTGAATATAACTCATTATATCTTCCACACCATATTTTCCCAGTTTTTTTACTTTTCCATTCATTAAATTTATCGATCAATTCTAGATTTTTAAATTTTTGCAACAATCTAAAAATTTTATTAAAATAAAATTTCATATTGCATTTACTATAAAGTTATGCCTTTAGTTTATAATTAAATAACTAAGGGAAATTAAAATTATAATGCATTTAATAAAAAATGAATATTTAATGATTAATAAATTAAGGTATGATTCTGAAAGATTCTAACATTTACCAATAAGAGTAAGTTTTCATTCTGAATTTTGTTGGAAGATTAGTCAAAACTATAAATTAATTATTCCATAAATATATTATTTAAACTACATAATGGTAATGCAAACAATTAATGCATTATTTGCATCAAAATAAGAAATTATCAAAGACAATAAAATTTGAATAAAATTTAATTCGATTAAAAAAACACTTTTATGATTTTAAATTTAAAAAATAAAATGCTTACTTATGAGGTTTTTGTGTATTCTTCAACAGGTAAACATCAATTATATTTTTCAACAAATCATACTTTTTTAAATATTCCTGTAAATTAATTATACAAATTGTTAAAAAGTAATAATAAATAAGTGAAAATTTAAGAAAAGGTGTTGTTAAATAATGTTTTTTTTATTTGGCCATTTCAATATTTCTCCTAAATTTTATGCTTGCGAAGAATTTTAGATTGTCACGAATCATTTGAATTAAACGTGCAAATACGATCAGTTTCGCAAATTAAACTGGGCAGAATTATAATGAAACTATATTTATTATTTTAAACTACATATATAAACTACATTAAACTATGGATATATTTATATATATCTAAACTAAACTATATTTATGTTCACAGTACGACATATAGAATTTAAATACTTTGAATATTTCAATACAGTACAAACAAAGCGACTTATTTCAGCATAGTATAAACAAAGAAAAAGAATAACGAACAATTAATTTAAATTTCGAATTTGAATACGATCAAGTAAAACAGAGATAAGGAAAAAATCTTACATGATCAAAATTTGTGATAGCTGTCGATGGTATTTGCAAGGCAAAAAAAATTGAAATGAAAATACCATTAATAATTATAGAACAATATAACATACGCATGATAAATTAAAACCTGAAATTCATTTAATATTCAAATACAGGCTATTATCAACTGAATAATAAATAATGTATCAATTTATATTTTTACTATATTCATTTATGATGGAAGATAGCGCAAGTTTGCTTGATTGAATATGCATACACTATAATTTAGGCATATAATCTAATTTTAACAATAAGTATATTCAAGAAGACAAAAAAATAAACAATAAAATTTCGTTGCAAACAATTTTTTAAAAATTATCATCCGAAGAGAAAACTCACATGTCGACAAATAAGAATTACTACGGTATATCATTTCAAAATAAACAGTACCACTCGTCGTCTGCTTTACTTTTATGATTTAATATGACATGTATAAACTTTCTTATCTGCAAAATATTCCGCATTTAAATGAAGTTAACATCAACAAAATCGGAAACATATCATGTAAATAAATGCGGAAATTACAGTTTTAGAGAAAGAATAACTTATATCGCATGTTCTCCTCATCTTGCTAAAACATCACATAAAAGTTAAATAAACGGATATCGGTTGGAATTTTATGATTTTTGCAATCGATTTATTTTCCTAATAAACTTTAAAAATTTCTCTTGCATTTTACCAAAATTTTAATAATGGATGTAAGAGAAACATTTTGATTCTATAAAATAAGGATAGGCAATCAATTTAGGATAGGCAATCAATTTATGTAAAGTATATTTTAGGATAGGCAATCAATATATACCATTAATATCGTGACAGACGGCATTTCTTTGAATAACTTTAACATAAATTTAATATATGCATTAAAATTTAAAATGTGTTACAAAAGAAAGACAATTTTTATAAAACGATTTAACGAATGATTCGTAATTAACTAATAGAATAACGATTTATTTCTGTTGATTAAATATCTAACAATCAATAATACATATTTTTTTCTTAATAAGACAATATTTAAGATTTTTTCTTAATAAGGTAATATTTAAGATCTTAAAGGCACCTAATAGAGCTTACTTATGGGAAATCTTGATGAATAATATTGAAATAAGAAACTTCAGGGATAATTGAAGTATATCATCGAGTATCTTTTCTCTTTCTTTTAAATCAAAGTTTATTAAATGCTTTAATAGACCTCATAAAGATGTATTATCATATTAGAATCTTCCATTTCGAATTGAAATGAATTAATTGAAATTATGTCAAGATAAATCATCAGATCGATCGATTGATTAATCTTGTTTGAATGATATCGTCTATCAAATTAAATGATATATCGGTTTGTTCATGAATGATATAGATGCTGCTTGCCATGCTCTAAGATTATGTACAATCTACTTTCAATCATCGATTTTTTTCTGTTGTTAAAAAATTTTCAAATTTCTTTCATAACTCTAGAACATAAATTAACACTAGTCGCAGTTTGACGCTAACTATTATAACTCTCAGCCATTGTCAGTATCCCAATTACATATTCCCGCCAACTTCCAGAACTTACTTTCAGTATTTTTGCTCATTGCTAAAATTGCAACATTCGATTGTCAGATATTTTGCAAACAATCAAATCGTTTTTCCAATTTTCTCTCTTTCTCTATTTTTTGTTGCAACTCAAAATTGAAAAACTATGCAAGACATTTTTTTATAATTGCTTCAGAAAAAAAAGACCGAGATCTTCCCTATCACCGAAATATTTGGTGTAATAATGTTGCGATAAATCACGAAAACTACATGCATCCTTGCCACTTCCCCACTGAACACTAAAATTTCTACTTCCGAATTCTGAACTTTGAGTTCAATCTCTATCAAATTCTAATCTTCAATTTCCAGTTGCATGAAAATTTTTTATACCTCTACTTTTGTTGCCCGATTGTAAAGTAATTTTTATTCAGCTTCTCATGTAAAAATAACAGCCTAGAGCACTTGATTCATAATTAAGAAATATATACTATATTTTGGAATACACATACTTTCTTCCAAAGCAAATATGTTTGTTCATTGTTTGTATTTGCTATACGAATAATATAAATGTATTACAATATGCACAAGAATTAAGCAATAAATTGATTCACGAACCCGTCCAACTCATATGAAAGATAAAATCACAGTTCCAAACTTTGAAACATTTGATACTCGCGCTTTATTTCTAAAAATTATGAAATTTCATTTAAACTGAGTTTTCCACGACAAAAAATGTTTCCAGAGCTTTGCAACGTTAACTCAATGAAATCTTCATATCTGGAATTTCTAAAATGATGACCAACTTTCTAATATGTGCCCAAGAAATATATAAAAATATATTTCGATTCTGCTTCACTATAAGACATCATATTGATTTTTTTTGAAAGAAACTAACAAAGCTTCAGGGTATATACTTGAAACATAAAATACAGCTTGGTACCCGAAAGCTTTCACTGATGAAGTTCAACAGTTCATTGCTCATATTTGAAGACCATAAAATGAAATGAAGCAAAAACGACATCACAACTACAATCAATACCTAACAGTTTTTAAAAAACATTTATCATTTTGTTTTATAAAAAATGTATAAAACAAAAATTAGCATGCGCTGAGAGTCCCTAAAGTTGGACAGAATATTTTTTAGTTATTTAATATATCATCAACAAGATATTTTTCTAAATGGAACTGAAAGAGTATATGAAATAAGGTATTCGTTGAAATTCAATATTTCAGATAAAAGAAAACTGAACAAACTACCTATATCTTGGGAATCTTTTGAATAACATCATTAGCTGATTGTGGAACAGGTCTCTTTTTCGTTCTTTGTATACATATTTTCTCAACAAATGCTATCAACGAGTCCTTATCAATCGGATGAATGATACTGTTATAAACAGCTTTTGCTGTTTTGCTTGAATTAGGCAAACTTTTATCTGTACGTTCACGCATAAACTCCCATTTACCATCCTGCAATAGTATGAACTATTAGAATTGTCTACGAGAAAAAAAATTCTTTAATTTAAAGCAATAAAAGATGAAACTATCGGAAAACTTACAAAATCCTACTAGCACACAAGAAATCTCAATAATCTCATTGAACCTCAGTATGCTTCGAGTTCTAACGTCCGACACTCGCGTCGGAATCTCGTACACATATAGATCTCATACATGAGTGCAACTTTTACTGAATGTCCTGCTGCATTAAATGACTGAACTATTTAGCGGCATCATTTTCATTTTACTATTGTATTGATTATTCTCATTTCACTGAGAGTTCAACAAATATATTTCACAGTCCATGAAAGCATATGAATTTTACAAAATTGCATTTATTTCAAAACATTATGAAGCTTTTCTGGCATTCACGAAGGAAAAACACTCTAAAGGAACCAATATTAAAGGAGTAATGCATTAATTTCATTAATTTTAAAACCACACGGTATTTTTAGAAAACAAATTAAAGGATAGCTCTAACTATATATCAAGTAGATCATGTAAAGATGAAATCCACCGATATCAAGTAAAAGACTAACTTTAAAAGTACATTCAATGATTTTATTATCATATGGCAACAACTTCTTCGTAGCTTTCATTTGCGCCATCGGTTCTGACTGGTTTTGTACAAAGAGAAAGCCAATATATTCAGGCAATTCACCAGGTTTCAACACACGCCTTATCTTTAATCGAAAATCAATTGAGTTATGAGATGGAGGTTTCCATTTCAATAACGTATCACATCGTCCACAACGATAGGGCTAAAAATTAATCAAAATAAATTGATTTAGATATTACTGTAATAAACTATAAACTAATTGATATTAGTTATAAATTGAATTTCTATATTTATAAAATTTTTATAATGTTACATGAGGCTAACTTAAAATAACATACTAGCAGTAATATAAATTGAATTTCAATATGTTGCGATGTATCCCAGGGGACAAGAAGATTCCCTCTAATCAATAATGACGATAAGAATATTTTGACTTTAAATGACTCTTTCCGATTTGATAAGTTAAAGTAGGAAGTATTCAGAACAACTTCAACAACAGATAGTTATTTAAATCTTTTAAAAGAAACATGCATTTCATTTTGCAACTTACTTCATTAATTGACTGAAAAATTAAACCGTCAATTTCATGTCCAACATTTCTCGTAAATTTTTCATCAAACAGCTTTCGGACCGCTTCCAATTCCCAAAAATCCTGCAAAAACAGTTCCAAAAATTAGAAAACTAAGTTGTCATAAAAGTTAGCCAACAAAAAGGAAAACAAGGATATCTTCATTGTACCTTATTACGTATACTTATCGGCTCATTCTCTCTTCTGATGCGACCACTTCTCAAAGCATCACGACGTGGTTGAATCAGATCTTCCCGAATACATGACAGACGCGTAGTGAAATCACATTCACCCACATTCTGTCCCTGAAAATAATCGCTCACTTAAATACGTTCAGCTCAAATAAATAGGCTTAAATACGCTTAAATACGTTCTTATGACGGGAATTTTCTCCTATATTTTAACGAAACAGCAGCATAATGCAACCAAACCTCGAATTTAATAATATCGTAGATAAGCAATCTTGGAACATCGATAATGTCGCCAGATTCTCCCTTTACCTGTAGAAACGTAATATCACTTTCAATTACGTCGAAACACTTTCATTTTGTAAACCACTTTGTGCAAGGTAATTTCCAACATTTTACTTATTCTCGACTAACATATTACTACTGGCCAATGAATCAGTATCATTTAAGGCTTCGGTAAAACTATTGTATCATAGAATTCCATATATTGTCACTTTGTTGTAATTTAATGCATTGCACGCAACAGCTTTTAAAAAATTTATGCGAAAATAAATTCTAGACTGAACCTTTTCGATTATCATTTCACAATCTAGGAGGGTGTTTTGAATATGACGAAATTCTTTTTTGTGCGGAAATGTTATGCAGGATATTTTAAACACATTATTATTCCGATCAAATGCATATATTGAATCTTCATCGTCAATAAGGACCATATATCTAAAGTAATCACATCCATTAGCAAATAGCGCAGAAATTGATGAAATGTAATTTAATCATTCAATTGCTCTAAACGTTAACCATATATCTTTTCGAGCAGAACATGGACAATACTGCTGTCACTGAAATTTATTTATATTTCTTGTATCTATGCTTTCATATGTGATTACTGGGACAACAGCAATAATGGAGTGATATTATGAAATATTTATTCACCTGATTCCATCGGCTTTCCAAGACACCATATATTTCTTTTCAGCCAAAAAACGTAAATTATCTCTTTCCATGGATACTGGTTGACTTCCAGGAAAACCATCTCTTTGATAACCACACATATCACGAATCTACATGCTTTTACAAATCATAATAGAACAATACAGATTAGTTATGTTTATAGCATTTTATAATTTATGCCTTCTTCAAATCCTAAGGACGTATATGTATTATAATAGCAGCTCTTGCCTTGAAATGAAGACGTATATTATAGTAACAGCTCTTGTCTATAATAGGGATCGCAATCAAAAAAAAGAGATTGGATGTGTTCAGTATGGGTTTACATATCAGCAATATGTAAAAACAAATCATTCATAATCAGCTGATTCCGTTAGTGTTACACATCCATTAAGAGAAATTTAAGCAATATCGAGTTTCAAAAACTGACGAAATAATAAGGGGAAGAGTCTGCCTTCAAAAGCACAGGGTAAGAAAACTCATTGTTATAATATTATATATTGAAATATCGAGCAATCAAACCTAATAAATCAAGAAAACGACCAACCGAAGAAAATAGTTGGAACAAAAATTCAGAAAAGATTTATGAAAACAGAAATAACCTTATTTTGCAAAATGGTCCTTGTTATAGGATCTGATACGTATTTAACACTAGGTACTGCTCCATCCATAAATTTAGGCTCATCTGAAAGTAAACTTGCAAGCTCTGAAATTTCAAAACAAGGAAACTTCAAGCCAGTCAATATCGAAATGCTAATTTTTTCTTGGTCTTAAGAACAACCACTTTTTCTACTGACAGCCGTCAGTCCGTTGCAAATATGAACCCTAGCAATGACTTAATAAAGCTAAAAAACTTTTTTTTTGACTTGAAAAAAAATCTGGATTGTGGCTTGTCACTCGAAATCATAGTAAACTTCTTATTCAATGCATGCTAACAGAATACAATACGGAATATCGAGAAGACTAATGAAAATTAAAGCAAATAAAAAGTATAAACGAAAAACACACCAACATGTTCATCAGCATTACTTGAGATAACTTGACCACTACCGACTTCGTCAAGTGAAATTATACTACCAATAACTGGGCCACTCTCCCAAGCAGGTCGTGGTGGTGCCTGCAATTCATTACACTATTTTGCCTTATGCTATGTTTAATCACCGAATATCATTGTTGAGTATCTAGAAAAAAAGATATCAAACTTAAATCACTGGAAAATCGAAATGAGTATCAAATGAATTATGCTCTTAATACACGAGAATAAATCGTTCATGATCGAAAAAAGTGATGAGAAAGGTACATAAAAATAACTTAAAGAAGGAAATGGCATGAAAAAGAAACCTCAATTTTATCGTCTTCATCGCCGTATCTCAGCATAAGTTCATCCAAATAGAGCTGTTTATAAATGCCATTTGGCCTCATTTGTGCAAATGAATAAATGGCAGCATCGATTGCCCAATCCATAGCACTAGCAAGATATGCTGCTATTAAGAAGCCTGTTCTATTATATCCATGAGTGCAATGCACTGCTACTATATCTTTTGGATTTGCCTGGAAATATGCACTGTGATTTGAATTAGTTCTACCATTTTAGCTTCAACCAGTTGAATTCAAGTCTAAATTAAAAGATTTTTTCCAAAATAATAATAATATCAATTATGGTTCCAAAGTGAATTGAGACGTAAAATTCACTGTGTTTTATAATGAATTTCGGTATGTTATCATCAGCTGAAAATTTATTTAAAGCTGCATGAGAAACTGTAAAATTTGATCATTTAACCTGAAGGAATCCGCGTACTATTCGACAAAACTGCTCCGTTTCAGCAACGGTTGGTGCTTCTCCATGACCTTTGACTGGGATCTTTTTATAAATACAATTTCGTTTCTCCACCTAAATAAGAAGGGATAAAAAACCGAATGTTACAACAAGCGAACGTTTATTCACTTTGTAAAAATTATAAATAATTTGAATAACGATAGTTTGATGGAGCTATAAATTACAGCAAATAAAATATAATTTAGCACGAAAATTATAACTAAAAAATTATAATAATTATGAAGAATTATTATACCTCCTTTCTACTGTAATAGCGATTGGTTTTTGTGAGATCGATCCACAACCCAATTCTTGCACCTGGTTCAGCACCGCGAAATTTGTACGCAAAAACATCTCGTGGATGAAACCACCATTTCTTCTCAATTTGTTCATCATACAGTTTACAAAGGGGAGTTTTGAAGGGCAAGAAATGCTTTGCAACAATCTGAAATGTTTATGAAATTTACTTATTCTCATATTTCCTTTTCCCAATCTCAGTATCCAGAAAATTCGATTTACATGAAAGATTCTAAAACAACTTTTCAAATATATGGGAAGGTTAGAAATATAAATTAGCCATTACAAATGCCTACGACTCACGCAAGTGAATTATATTACATTCAAAGTAAATTACCTGAATTTTCAGGAATCTTAGGAATTTTGGACATTTCTAAGAACTACAAATAACTTCCATGGAGTCAACCTGGAAGTAAAGTGTCAAAATGAGACAATTTGTAAAAAAGCATACCGAGCCCAGTGGTGGGCAATAAAGCCAACGATCTGGAGGGCCAAGGCGAGCTTTCTCAATGCTAGGCTTCCCAGAATCAGTGCTGCTCAACTCTTCGTCACTTGCCATTCATACCAGATAAATTAGTAGGTATAACTTATAAAACTGAGCCACACCATAAGTTTGCCTAAAATTCGCAAAATGACTGTTGTTCTATCCTGCATGCATTTAATGTAATATTATAAAAACGCACGCCACCGCATGTTATAAAATCTAAAAAATAATCATTAGTCATAATCCCATCTTCGTATAACACTGAAGCTAGAAAAACGAAAGCTTAATATGAGAGAACATTGCTTTAAAAATCTAAATTCGTGAACTTGCATTTCATTGTGATGGTTCAGATAAAAAACATAGACTAAATTAACTATCTGTTACGATGTTCATTGAATTCATCACACTGCTTCTTAATGATGCACACTTTCAGATCACAAGTGAAAATTCTCTCGTCTCTCCCTCTCCCTATGTCACGTATGCTAATTAACGAGTAGCGAGCCACCACTTCAACCTTATCTCTGAATTAGAGTCCACGGATTATGCGCTAATTTAATAGTGGGAAGGAAAGATGATAGGGAGAGGGAGAGGGAGAGAGAGAAGGGAGAAGTGATTCCTCTACTATCCTGGCAATCATTGCCATAGCGGTAAATGAGTTAATATTTCGTCATTCTCCAAACCTGATGGTCACTATATCTTCACACTATGTCAATCTCATTTCTAGTATCTCCTTCAAATCAGTAATCTTTCTTCTCGTCCTTAATGTCTTCCTACAATAACTATCGCTCTTTTTATTGCAGAATGCTACCTCTGAAAAACCTATTCGAACCCACTCGCACCTCACGTTTGCAAATTCACTGTCTCAGTTTCTCTCACCGTCTCAATGATTTACGGCAAACCAAAACTTCACGTCCGTTTCGCATGCAACGAAACCGTGAAATAAAACGTCGCGAGGTGAATTGATTTGCGTAACTCCAACGTAAATTTTTATGCATATTGTGATTTTGGGCTAAGTAATGTGACGTAATATTTTTGCATTTAGCATGCAAATGATGTAATGCATGACGCAAAGTGATACATAAACTGTAATGTGAAGCATGATGTGTGCAGGTGGTATGGAATCTAGCATTTCTATTGTGCATATTTTATCTCATGCAACGTCGATGATATTATCACTTATCGTTAATTGACAATGTTATTCGTAAATGCATCTACAACGGAAATACTTTGAGAGTGTAGTGTTACTGGAAATTGTAGTTTTCTGAAGATTCCTGATTTTTAGTTTGAATGCAAAGTTTCACTAATTCATTGGAAGCTTAACGATGTTTGCGATGCAGATTTACATCTCTTTACACTTTTATTTCGTGATTGTATGGGAGAACAAATGAAACAGGTAAAGGAGAATACGGAACAACTCCCAAATATACTGCTCGGTCAAAAATGGATATTCCTCAGTTGCATCCATGTTAACGAAAGTCATAAAGCCTGTGATTGCGAGGCTGTGTGGGAGTCCGTCTGGCCGAGTGGTCTAAGGCGTTGCGTTCAGGTCGCAATCTACTCCGGTAGGCGCAGGTTCGAATCCTGCGGCGGACATCTGTTGTTGCGACACTTCGGAGTGGCAATTTCAATCCTTTTAGAGTACACCTTGTTGAAAAAAATTCCCAGATCTTCTGCTTCATCTTTGCTCTTTTCAACTTCATATTTAGGTTATGATTATGTTGTAATATTACATATATCGTGATATGAGACACATTGATTCTATTAAATGGTCAAGTACTCATGCTTGAAAAAATAATGACGGATAAATGAAAAGAAGAATAAGCCAGGTGGAAGAGGAGAGGGGACAAAGAGAAAGAGAAAGGAGTGAAAATGAACGGATGATTATTATCAGTGTAACGCTCCTTTCAATCATTCTATCAAGTATGTGAATCGATATTTTCGAATTTTACTTACTTTGGCTTGGATCATAAATTTTGAACCTGAAGTCGAAAAAATAATCGTTTTCTCTGTTAAACTTCTGTCGTAACTTATCATCTAATCGTATCACATAAACTCTCGCAAAAAATTAATTTCGCAATTCTCGTTCCAGAACATCTTAGTTAAATTATTGGCTGCTATAAACACTTCCAATTGGCGAAAAAAAAAGAAACAAAGCTAATTATAATAGATAAAGTTCGGGAATCTCAAAGGAATTTTAAATTCGGGAATGAAATCTGTACAGATATTATAGCATCCATTCGTATCGTTCGTCCGTCATACCGTTGATTTCAAATTGATCGAAAGAGATATGGGGCGGATCTAATAGTGTCATCCCTTCACAAAATGTATTTCAGTAGGCGGAAACTGGAAATGGGTTCATCTACCGCCGTGAGGCATTATTTTCACGATGCCATTCCAATCATTGTCACACTATTTGTAGGTATATGCCATTTTTTTCTTAACAACTTATTTTTTTATTCCAGGTAAAAATCTTATTCTCTTCAGTTTATGTATTCAAAACATTAGAAACATATATTTGTTTTCAATTATATCATTTACTGGTAAAAATTTTGAGTTATCTTTAAATCCCATCAGTGCTATTGCAGGTAATTTGAGAACTTTTAATGCCCAAAATTGGAATTAGGACTGCTAATGTTTGTAAACCATTTTTCTAAAGCCATGAAAAATTAAAACTAGAAAAGAAAGGATAGAAGCAAAAGAAGTACAGTAAGGTAATAATTATTACGAATAACCATTAGTTATATATCTACCAAAGCTCAGGACGTAATTTTGGTATTTTATCGTTTCAGTCTTAAATTCAAGTAGGAAATAAAACTTACGTTAATCTTCTTTAGTATATGCTTTTCTAATTATTTATATTATTGCTAGTATTTTAATTGTGATCGAAAATGGCGGAAGATGGCGATCATGATAAAAAGTATAATATGCCTCCTCCTCCTTCTTATAAATCGATCTATCCGGAAATGGCAGAAGATATACCAGACAAGTCTGCTACGATGAAATGCAAACTAAAAGGCAACAATGGATTTATCGATGACATATCGCTTGTTATCAAAGCTGCAGATTTAGCTGCTCGGCGTCATCGTCGACAGCGTAGAAAAGATGCCACACAAACTCCTTATGTCAATCATCCAATCGGTACGTGAAGTTTACGTTCACTTTCACTTCGATCATTATCAGTTTCCGTCCTTTATCAGCGAAGTTTTATCCATGCGATATACACCTACAATAGCGATTGATCTTTGGTTTTGAATTAATTTATTGAATTGTTTCTTTAAATGGTTTCTAACTTCTATGAATATACCATTCTATTCTATTACTAGGTGTCGCTTATATCTTAACAAATGAAGGACAAATAACCGATACAGCAACAATCATTGCTGCCATACTCCATGATATTGTTGAGGACACAAAAACAACGGATGAAGAAATTCGAGAAATGTTTGGTGATGAGGTTACTGATCATTTTTTTTGTTTGAAGAAGCATAATTTTTTAAGTTCTTTTCTCAATCAGTTTTAGAAGAAATGAGTGGAGCCATTTACGCGAATTTATTTCTATGTAAAAATATCCAAAAAGTTAAATTATATTGAGTTATATAACTTAGAACACATCCAAATTCCAGTAATATGTAACTTGGAAAAATGCATTTAAAATAATAAGGTGGTTTTTTTGCACATTATGAAAATCGAATAGTATTAAGGTAGCAGATATCGTTAAAGAATGCACAGTAATTAAAAGTATGAAGCGTGAAGCAAGAATGAAATCTCAATTGGAAAAGGCATCGGAATTGTCATATAAGGTAAGTCGGCTTTGTTTTCAGAATCTTTTGCAGTAATTTCATTCTCATTTTTTCGATATTATTTCATCTTTTTTTCTCTCACGCTCGTCAACAGTTGTTTGAAGAAAATTGATACAACGAAATGGTTAAATTCAGTTTCATATTAAAAACGCTTTTAGTGATCGACTTTCTAGTTATTGACCATTGTGGTGAGATCATTAATGGGAAGTGATAAAGTTCTTCCAGATAAAGCTATAAAAAGAAAACCAATTTCATATTCAATGAATAAATAATATCAATGATATTAAGATACAAACTATTCTTGGTCACAACTGTGCCATTTCATCTCTTTCCTTCCAATGTCTATCTTTATCGTACAATATATTTGTCTTTTCGAAGTTAATAAATTTCAAAATTGAACATTTCAGGCAAAGCTTGTACAATTAGCGGATAAGCTGTATAACATCCGTGATATCGAGCGTTGTACGCCATTCGGCTGGACAAAGCAGCAAGTGACGGAATATATTTTATTTGCGAAGGACTTGTTATCAAACATCAAAGGGATAAATGATTCACTGGAAACAACTCTGGATGATATCATCAACAAACATATCAAATGACTCTATCCTTATCGGATTTTCGTAAAACGATTTCTGTAGTAGACGCAATTAGTGGAACATTATTCATTTATAATTAATTGACGGTGATAAAATTATCATTTTCATCGTCTGGTAGAGATGCTAGCGATTTTCCAGTTATGTTCCAGAAAAATACATCGTTTGACAAATCTGCATAATTTGTAGCCGGATTGTATATGAGGGAGCAATATTCGAATCTAATATCCTACTTGTCCTTTTATCTATCTTATTGGGACAGAAAATGATAATTTTGAATATAAGGAATAAAAAGCCTTCCTTCTTTCCTTTATTTCCAATTCAGTGCACCTTCCTGAAACCGCCCATTTTAATAAACTAATGATACTGTCATTATTTCCATAAATCAAAAAAAGAGAAAATGAAAATATTAGATATATAGCGAAATCATTCTACGACATTATCCGTATTCTCTCGAATTATCCAGTAATTCGTTGTTGCAGAATTTCGATGATAAAATCACTTATCACTTGCTATCTTAGCAACAGCGTGTGCGATTTTCAGAATCAAAATGGATAAATAATCACTTAAACCTTTATAGAGAATTTATTACAATCATTATCTCTTCCTCTCCCAATTGACTAAACTTAAATCACGGTGTTAAATTTCATCGGTAATCTAATATGAGTATAATTCATTCGTTTCTGCTACAAACGAATAATCCCTACAAGAATCACTGAATAATTCTGACAATTGCGTTAAAATTTTTGAATTACAATTAAGAACAGGAAAACAGAAAATAAACTTCGGTATTATTCCTGAAGTTTGTCAATAATCCATTAATGAAACACGATTCTAACTCATTCTTCTAACATACATCTAATAAACTTCAATCTAACTATTGAATTGTAAAATCCCATATAGTAGTATAGTAGTACATCAGTATAATATAATATATGATAAAAAGTAAAATAAAATATCTTTGAAATCAAAACATGGAATGATTAAAAGCAAATTGAACAAATAATAATTTATACTCAGACAGAAATACGCTTGATTTAGCAATGAAGAAATCTGTTTAATGATATAGCCTTCCCAATCACTCTCTTATCTTTTATATCATATTTATGAACTTCTTTATCACCAAATAATAGCACTTTCACTCGTCGAATAATTACACCTGCATTAGTATTCTAATTAGGACATCTATTTATCATTTAATAAAAATCACTATTTTTTTTGGAAGATTTTAGTTTAGAACTTTTAGCTGAATTATTATGCATTTCATAACATTTCACTAATTCAATCAAACTATAACAGAATTTCACTCAATCTGTGATATCCTCTAACAAAGCGCTCTCTCTCTCTCCCTCTCTCTCTCTTTTACCTTTCAACTGATTAATTTCTAATTCCTCTTTAACTGATAAACAACTCTTCAAGTATTTTATGTTAATAAGTTATTATTCATAGAACATATTAAATTCTCGGTAATACTCTCTGTCTTATCAATCTGTTATGTTTTTTAATATTTTATTGATAAATTTTTATACTACAGAGAGAAAGAGAGATGAAAAAAACAATAGGAATGATAAGATTAATATTTTAATCCAAAATCTCTTAAAATAGGTTATATTACCTCGAATTGGTTTTGCTGGAAAGTTATCAAAATAATTTATCACATCATTTTGTAAAGTGATATGATTCCAATTCTCATCATATGTTGCAAAATGATTACCCTTAAAATCAAAGTAAAATAAACAGTGGTTTGTAAGTTTTATTTCAACTTCTTTTTAAAACAAAACTTTAAAAAATTAATATCATCTACTCTAATAAAAACAATGCTGTAATATTGATAAACTTTTAACAATGCAAAATAGATGATTTCCGATATGCTAATTTTGAAAAAGATTAATTACATAAAAGCAAAAGAATGAAATAATTTAATTATTATAGGAGAACGGAAACTATTTAATGTATGTAATTTTATATTTCGTAAAAATTCTTCCTTTCTTTAGTTGTTAATTTCTATGGTAATTAAACAATTCCATTCACTTTAATTATTTCATTTTTCAATACTAATTTATAATAAGCCATTTTAGGATCATCCAAAGTAACTTTGATGTTATTATGTCAGCCTCGAAAAATCATATATCCTATTTAAAATTTTCCTCGAAAAAAACAAAGAGAAAAAATAATTTGATTTAAAATTTTTTTTTAAATGTAACTTACATTAATTAAAACCTGTGATCCTTCATGCCATAAAAATGCACCCATCGGTTTGAAATTTAGAGCAACTGGTAATTTCTTCGGATAATTTGGTTCTAATACAAATTTCTTTGTGCTCCTATCCAAGTGATATGAGAAAACCTATGGAAGACATTTCTTTCTTAATTTTGTTTTAATTGATAAAAATTTTCATTTACAATTAAAATTAGAAATTATTGCATTATTTTAGTATTGCATTATTCTTATCATTTAATTTCTTATCCTATCATTATTATCATTCAATTTCTTATCCTATCATTATTCTTATCATTTAATTTCTTATCCTATCATTATTATCATTCAATTTCTTATCCTATCATTATTCTTATCATTTAATTTCTTATCCTATCATTATTCTTATCATTTAATTTCTTATCCTGTCATTATTCAGATCATTTAATTTATCCGATATTAATGCATTATTGATATGTTGTAGGTGAATTAAATGAATATAAAAATTATTGTTGAAAATGTGCAAAATCTTTATCAATTCATTTATCATTCAATTACTTAAATCTGATCTAAATTAACAAAGTTATTCGAATTTTCAATGTTTTAAAATGCAACTAAGAATAGCTAATCCATTCTGAGATCTCATTTTATCCATTTAATATTGAAAATTCAAATTAATTTATTAATTTTAATTGACTTGAAATGATTATAAGATAAATTAACCAATACTAATTTCAATTTCCAAACTATAATTCAATAAAATTTCATGTAAGTTAATTTAATTTCTAACAGAAAAAAATCTTGTGAAAATTTAATTTAAGTAAGAATATACCATTTTTTCATAGAATAGAAGCGTTTTATCAGTACGTGGATTTGATAGCGCACCTTGAACAAACGGTGGTCCATTTGGAAAAAGATTTTTTAAGGAATATTCCTTTATAATACCTGCTTGATCAAATTGATATACTTTGTTATTGCTGAACAAATAATTTGAACCATTTGCTAAAATGAATAATACATCACTTATACATTCAATATTTCTTTTTCATTCAATGATATCTCCTTTGTTTTATGATAAGATGATTATGATGTATTGATAATTAATAAGATAATTTCAATGCATTATTAAATTAAATTGGAGCTCAACTTGGCTGCAATTAATGTAATTATTTGATCTGATCTAATCTAATAATCAAATCATTCAGTATCATTGTAGACATATTATTAGTCATCCTGGAAATGCAAGATGTTGCTTACTTGTAATGATACCATCAACTTCATCTGGACAATTAATATCAATTTTCTTATCACTGTTTGAATTACTATTACCATTTGATGTTGGATCAGCTTCAGAATCAGAACCATATTCTAAATTACTACCATTATCAGCACTAGAAAATGATTTAAAGCGCTTTCAATGTGATCTTAGATGTTATCACTGATAATAATGATAATAGTGCAAGGGAATCCCTAGAGAAAAATCCCTAGAGAAAAAAAGGAAAGTTAAAAAAATATATGAAAGTGCACAACGCACATATTTAAAAATTTAAAAGTTATGCAATCATTCTTTTCGGTCATTTCTCGTAAATCAATTAATACCTGTTCGTGAACTTCGTGATTTTGATTGTTTATCATTTACTCCTGAAGATTGATCAATCATATAAACAATCAATAAATTATTGATTGTTAATCAATTTGTAACATTTAATTTTAAATTTTAGCTAACATTATCATTTTATTTTTCTAATATTTAATACCAAATTTCATTTGAATTAAAGAAGTAACTCTTTCGGTATTTTAAAAAGAGATTCGTCTAAAAGCTGCCACTAAGGTTAATTTATTTTAAAAAATTTATAAATTACCATAAAGATGTTGTATATTTTTAACATCAGATACGGATAATTTAGGCATAATGTAATTTCCATTATTGTCCATTATTTCTTGATAAAATGGTGCCATAATAGAATCAGAATCGGAGGAATGTTCAAGGCCCAAAACATGTCCAATTTCATGAACCGCTACTTGCAATACATCCGTGCTATCATAGCTAAAGAAAAATTGAATAAATTTAACAATTAAATTAGATAACTTATCAGTAATGGCTGATAATTTCTTGTTTTAAATAAATATATTATGTGATTTTTTATTTTAACCTTCTATCGTTCGATTGAGGAATGATTCATGATTCAAACTTTAATATTTCAAATTTATTTGTTTCAACTATTTCAAATTGATAGGAAAATTTTGTGCTGTGTAACAAAATATCATTTTCTTACATTACTTAGTAAAGAAAGAGAAAATCAAAATTTGATTGATTATAAAAATTTTAGTAGTCAATTATCAGGATATAATATCTTTATTGAAATGATTCTGTTTTTGATGTTATTAGCGTTTGCCTTAATTATATTCTTGATCTTCCTGACTTACATCTATTTTCCAATTCACATGATAGAAGTAAGATTTTTATTTTCAAATCTTCATGATTCGATTTGTGGCTTATAGTTCAAAATTATTACTAATTCTCTACTTAATTGATTTAATGAAAATGAATTTATTGATCCGCACCTTGAAATAGCTTTTGGATTCATATATACCCATTTCTCGTCTGAATCAAAATGAAGAATACCGGAAGATGGTAGTGTTGCATGTGCCAATACACCTCCTGAAATATGCAAAGAGAAAATTTCAAATTCTTATTATCTATACAAAATTTCATTAAAACAAGATACACTTCTTGTTTTAACTTCTTCATGACATTTTGTTGATATTTATCTGATTTTTAGGATAAGCTTATAATTGGCCTTCTTTGGCTTTCCTTGCTTTTGGTTAGGAAATTAATCGAATTTTAAATTGATGGAATACAAATTTTCTAAATTTATTAAGTTTGCATAAGCTTGTAGCAGTAAATTGTATTAATTCTGTATAAATTAAATTTTTATCAAATTTTAAATTCTCTTAACCTTGTCCATCAAATGGCCATGGATCACCATGCATACGTCGTGCAAAAGCAACTGTTATATCAGCCTTTTTGGATATTTCATTTAAGGTTATGGGTATCACTGCTGACCATGTATCACATGCCTTCCGAATTGCATCTCTGAAATATTGATTCCTTTAATAAAAATTCTAAAATGAATTTAAAGTAAAGCTAATTATATTTTCAATGAATTACAAAAATGAAAATTAGAAATGCTTAATAAAAATGAATAAGTAAAGTATGATTGATTCCTGAATCTTTTTTGATTATTTTAACAATAATTTCTTCTTAATTATTACGCTGTCAATAATAAATAAAAGAAAAAATTTCAACAATTTAATAATACCTCACTTCACGTTCAGATAAGTCATCTGCTAGCGATTCAATTGAATAAGTTAAATCATTCTTTTTCCATTTATATTTACCTGTAAAATTTATGCAAATTACTCAGGAAGTTAAACGTAGTTGTAGCTGTAGCTCAAAAAGATAGCATGAGACGGCTGGCAGTAAGCCTTGATCACTTCCCTGTTATGTTACCTTACATAAGTAATGGACGTGTAACTAAACTTAGGTTAATTGACTTTTATGTTTAACTTATAAATCTCTTATAATTTAAAATTTCTTTCTGTGAATGAAATCAAGAGATAAAATCATATAATGAAAACTTTTATTTCTACAGAATAGTGTACCTCGTTTTTGTAATGCTAGTACATCTGGACGACCACAACGCTTTTGTTGAATTTTTTTTCCAGTTACTGCATCCAATTTACCGGTAGGTTTCAAACCCGCAAATTTTTGAAATCGTCTAAAAATCAGTTATTAATAATAAGTTATATTAAAGCTCAATTTCTTGGGAATGAAATTTCAGTCTTAAATTATAGTCTAAAAAAATATATAATGAAAAGAGAACCGTTACTTGAGAGCATTGCTAATAGTTACTGAATTGAGTCGTACGATGGCTTCAGTTGATGGAGCATTTGCAAGGAATGATACGATAGTCTCTTTCAAATATCCGTAATTACTAAGATATTGCTATAAATTTATCAGTAATTGATTAAATCTACGAATAACTTTTATATTTTTTTAATATAATAAATTTTAATAATTTTAATATTTTAAAAATTTTAATACTTTGTAATTTTTAAAAGCGTCGTGAAATAAAGAGATGAATAAATTTATAAACTGAAATTCTAAATTTGCGAATAAGCTCTTTACAGGAAGCAATCTAAGAACCATTCTTGCTATTAATTCTTGAAATAGCAAATATGTATTTATAAGAGAGTAAATCTCTCTCTCTCTCTCTCACAAAATAATCCTTCAAATATATAACTAACATTCCTCAAAAACCACTCATAGAATATTGCAATAAAATTCTGCATATTTTTGACATGATATATATATTGAATTAATAATGGTAATGTATCGATTGAAATAAAATCTTTCATAATTAATTAATTAATATATGTTATAAACAAATAACATCAACATATTATCGTTTACGATTATTCCCGATAATACTAACAATGGCTCTTTCCATCGATATGTCAGATATCATTCCAGCGATTCGTTTCGCAGATACATCGCAGAATGTAAAGAGAAGAATTGATGAAAGAAATATTGAATTTATAAATAGCATTTTAAAACTTGCTCAAATTTCTGGAAAAAAAGGAAGAAATTGAGTAAAAAATATTTTTGTGATAATTGTAGGAAAGAAATTTCCATTAAACGGAAAAAGCGTAACGAATTACACAACATTGAGAATTCATTGTAGGTATTCTTACTGTTGTCAGAAATATGAAACGCATATATTTGAATACAATAAACATTTACTTATCCCATCACAGAAGTTCGATGATTTTTTAGAACTAACCGTAATAGAAAGAAATGTCAGTTTCACTGGACATGTCATTTGTCTTGCAAATTTTCGATAAATGTTGCACAGTGGTAAGTGGCAAGTTCGGAAAAGCGATATGATTATTTGGCTAACTGATCAAAGAAGTAATTCGCCTACTTAATAAACAATAGAGATCTGATGAAAAGGGCTTAGGATAGGAAGACTCTTGATGAGGATTTTTAGTGTGCAATTAAATGATGTAAAATGCAAAAGTCTTAAAGTAAGCAAGTCAAATTCATGTATTTGATAAGTAATACATAAGAAGTAATACATAAGAAGTACTAGTCAGAAATAAACATTTAGTTCTATCCTGTCCTATCACAGAAGTTCGATGATTTTTTAGAACTGAGATTCTGAATCCCTTTTTTTCTCTCAACTAACATAAAATTTTTAGTCTAAAATTCTCATCCCAAAATTTGAAATTTTGAAACAATTTACAGAAGAGCACAATCAATCGATGCAAATACATTTAAAAGGCTAGAACATAAAGTGCTAAATTCAGAGAAAATTCTGCATCATTTGCACTACCAAGATCCACCGTTTACTCGGCTAGCAGATATCTTGATGCACTTGGCTAGCTGATATCTTGATACACTTGGCTAGCTGATATCTTGGTGCACTTGGCTAGCTGATACCTTGGTGTACTTGGCTAGCTGATACCTTTATCATTTCCATTAAAAGTTAATATTTAGGAATAATTTCTTGAATTAATTTACTATATTTAGAAGAAAAATAATAAGTTAATGGCGACAAATTGATATTGAAAATGTAAGATTAGAAAATTAATAATATAAAGAGGAATGATGTCAAAAAATGTCTTTGAATTACTTAATTTCTAACAAAGAATGATTAATGATCATTGGTCTGATTACAGTACATGCATATGAGTTCATCATTTCATAGGAATCGATCGATTCATTTGAATCTTTTAAAGTTTTGAATTTAATTTAGCACTCATAATTTTTAACATTTAAGATTTAGAAGATCAGTTTATGGGAGAGTTTAATAATTATGATACTTCTTTTATTCAAAAAAAACGCTTCAAAAAATTTTTTTATTAGAAATGAGTGAAAAAAATTCAGCGGTGTTGGTATTTTTGTAATAGATTATATATGGTTATCACTTAAAAATTGTCAAACCTAAATTAGCTAAATGATTTAGAAAAATATTATCAAAATGGCAAACAATACGGTAATGCAAAGGTAATTATTGTATAGTTCTAAAAAATTCCCAAGAATAACTTTGTGAATGAATCATTGAAATTTTATTGCAAATGAGAAGAGAAATTATTTACCAATTAACTGTCTGCCTATACAAGGACATTAATAACAGGTCGATTGCGCAAATTTAGCAAATGAATTTTTCACTAAATGAAAACTCTTCCCACGTTGCTGTAAATTTTTATGTTATATACAATATTATCAATTTCTTATCAACAATTTCTTATCTATGAAAATGTCGAAAGTGGGAATTTTATGTCTCGTAAAATGATACGAAATAAATAAATTTGAAAAAAATAAATTTGAATATATTGATAAGCAGTTCAACGATAATTAAAACTGAATGATTGTTGGAGTTGAAATTTCTTTTTCTCAAAATTCATTTCAAATCCCTTTCTTCCTTTCATGTTTATTGGTCAATTATCAGTAATGAAAGCCTGATATCAATTGATAAAAATAATTTTGTCAAATGCAAAACAATTCTCAGATTTTCAATTAGTTCGATGTAAACATTTTAGTACTCGTAGTAATACATTTATTAAACAATTATCAGTGTATTAAAATACACTGAATTACACATCATTCAGTTTTTTATCAAATTTTATTAAAGTAAATCATTATTCCAGTTTTTGTCAAATGTTAAATTTGAATGAACAACCGATCAAATATTTCGATTAAAAGTTTAATTTAATTAGTTGAAAAAAATTAAATCAATAGTGTTTGACTGATTTTATTGGTATTATTTTTAGGTTTCTATCAATTCAATCAAAAATAACATTTTTTAATGTATTAGTGAACCTATTATTTAACTGTCAAGTAAATTTTTCAATTTTTTTAAATATTAATTACCTTTCCAATTTTAGTACTTTTCATTTATGTGATTTTTGGTGTTTAAAAGGTTAAAGGTTGAAAGAAATCAGTTGCAACATTTTCTTTTGTCCTCGAAAAAATATTTTTTGATATCATTTTTTACTTGAAAATGCAAATATTAATGTAACGATTAATTAACATCTATTTCCAATTAAGTATTTTTATTTATAAATAATGACATATCGATCATTTACTCAAATTTGTCATTTACTCAATAAAAGATTATATTATCGATAGAGAGATTTTGCATAAAATTGCCAGAATTAATTTAGAATTCAATAACTAAAATACTGGTTGTTTATATTTTCAATTTTGATAAAGGATTATGAATTCGTTCTTTTATTGCAATTTAAAAGTTATTTTCATTCATATATAAATTTAGCTGTTTAATTTCCACCCTATAAACTTGACATTTGCTAAGGTTTAGTTATTTTCTGTTAATGCATTGATTTTAATTGAAATAAATGAATAATGATGAATTAATAATGATACATAATTAATAATGATACATAATGATGCATAATTAATAACGAGTGAACTAATAATAATACATAATTAATAATGACACAATGAATAATGAATTGAATTTAACAAACAACAGAAAAAAATTATCTAACTTATTTTTTACAAAAAAGTGATAATAAGAAGTGATAAATAAAAAGTATAAAAATTTAAGGAAAACTTGAAGGATATTAGAAATGATATATTTTTCTTCTCTTCTTTTTAAGAAGATGAATTATGATGAAAATTCATCAACGACAATTGTATCGTCAGAAATTAGAATATGATGAAAATATTTAAAATTTTTTAAAGAAATCACAGCAATAATTTTTATTTCTAATATCATGATCGATTAATGATAATATTAATAATAATGATTATCAAGAAAAACAAAGAATAATTTAAATTAAGAGGATGAAATAGGATGGAGGAGATTTTTAGGTGTAATATGAAATAATACTGGAAAAGATAGTAAATATTTCAACTTATCAATTCAATTAGTTTGGCGAAATACTAAGCATGTAACATTGAACTTTTGAACTTCACAGTATAAATCGGAATTTATCAAATAACTAAATGGTTTGGTGGAACAAATTGCATCAATAAAACCATTGAATTTATTACGTATTGCTAATTGAATTTGTCGTTTTGCGATTGCTGGAATTGAATGAATGTTCTGAAATGATTGAATATAGTAGAATAATGCAAGAAATGATTAATAATTCAATGAAATTAATTAATTTCTCATTTCTAATATAATTCAATTATTTGATTGTTTTTAATCCTAAATTATGAATTGCAATATTTTTTTTAGCAGTTCTTCGATTACATTTTAATTTCTAAATACTATATTATCCTTCAAGTTTTCCGATATTTTAATGCTTAAGTTATCAAATCAAAGATCATAGATCTTTAATCATAATTTTTAGGTCAATAATAGAATAAGAAAATTTTAATAAATTCCCTGTAACTTTATCGAATTAAAATAGATTGGAATTAGAATTTTGCATAATGCAATATGGTCCCAGCAATTTTATTTTTGGAATAAAATTCATTTGGCCAAAAGAATATTAAGCGTTCATTAATTGATATATGCTAATAAAATAAAACTCCACTATTCAACAAAATTTAACTATAATGGAATAATATTCTTTTTCTTGGAAATTCTTAAGGATATAGATGAAGCATCTGCTTCATTGCATATTTTTAACATTCAATAATTCTGTCCAAACTCTTTCAAGCAGAAAATTTTTAACCAAAATTATTAAATTCAATTTTACCCAATTCAAATCTTTATCAAATCATTTATACTATTAATTATTAAATAAAATAAATAAAATAAATAAATAAAATCGAAAAGAGAGGAAATATACTATTAATTAATTAATAAAATCAAAGAATTTGTGTAATTTTAATCGGCGATAGTTTTTCTGACTTATGTGAAGCTCTAAAATTACCGCAGTAATCAATTTGATAAATGCCAAAGATATTCTGTCGATAGATAAAATAAGGATAGATTATATGAGAGATGATTACATTGATAATACTAATTCAGCCATTAACTATCTGACACTTGTATTTCATATAAATAAATTTCAAAAAAATTAATTATAATTTATCGTAAAGTCATATCAAATGAATTCTTCTCTAATATTTACAAGTTTTTACTAATTTTATACGAGAAATGCGGAAACATCTTTCAGGAAAAAGAAATAGCTGCCTCTTCGAAGCGATATGTTATGTCTGATAATGATAAATGATAATTTCTTTTGTGACGTCACAATTTATCGGTAAATTTTTCAAAATTAAAACGTCTTTATTATCAAATGCATTGAACAAAACAGTAACCTGAATGATCAGTTTGCGTAGGATAGCATCATTACATTTATTATTATTAAGAACGGAATGTGATGATATGGATGATCGTGCGATATTTTTATGCTTTTTCTTAATTTCTGCAATTTCATCACATAAGATTTTAGTTCAAGTTTCACAAAATTTTTTTAAAATGTTATTTGAAGATCCAAAAAAAAGTTTCGAAAATCAATAACCTATGCTTTTATTAGAAAAATACAAATACACTGTTAGTGGATATAATTAATATTATTCATAATTATTATAAATTAACTGCTAAACCAATTTTTCAATTAAGCAAATAATATAATCAATGAAATATCAACCATATAAGTATATAATTTTATTGATAAAAGTTTAGTTGAATTGTTGGAAGATAGTAGCAAGTTGAAAAGAATATTAATGCATACCTTGTGAAACATTCTTCTTGATTGGTGAAGTAGGATCACTGCTTTTTATTTTCCTCTATAAATTTCATTTCGAATAAAACATTTTGTGATGGTATAAAGCGGAAATAATGATCATGCTAACAGAGCAGTACTAATGTAATGGAAATGATTACAATTGATAATAATGCTTTTAATATATTGATTTCATTTTATACATTATCAAATTAAATCACCATCTACAATTGTTTTTTTATCATATTGAACTCTGAACTTTGGAGCTTCATTTAAAATGATATATGAATTGTCAATATACCATTTTCAACCGCAGTTGTTTTGATATGCTGCTAAATGGCGTTTGTTTGGTGATTCCATGCCGAATATTTTTTGCATGAATTAAAGATCGATTCATCCATGATCGAACTCTCTGAAAAAGCTCATTTGTTTTCTCAGATGAAAACAAAAGCAAAACGACACTGATAATAATTATCATTTTATATTTCTTCAGTTAAAATGGATTATACTTTGCGGATGTGAAAACAAGAAATTATTTGATTGAAAAAAAGGTAATTTATCATTTTAATCAGATATGTAAGACGACATTTTTTGTAATCTTTTATGAACGAAAAGAGTGTCAGTAAAAAACAAACATAAAATAAAGTTACATAATTTTGTTTTGAGAATGATTCTTGTAGTGGTATAGACGTTAGTGTGACATTTGAACTTTGCTCATCTCCTTTATTGTCAATTATGTTGGTCTAAAAAAGATAGATTTAAAAGTTTTGAAAGCAAATTAATCGCAAAATGGAGTTCATAAAAACATCTGGCCAGTAATAACATGTTGTTTTCTTAAATCTTTTCCTAAAATTCATAGCAATATTTAATATTCTTAATGGACAATTAAATCGATCATTAATATTATTTGTAGTAAATCAAACAAGAAAAATGATGAAATTTAAATTTTAAAATAATTGGTCATTACTTTAAAATAAATTATTTTTCAATCTAAGAAAATTTTCTGAATGCTTTCTAGAAATTCAAAAATTTTTAAAAAATCTTAAAGAATGAGAGAGTAATAAGGAAATAATTAATTATCTGGAATGAATAACTAGTCGACTATAAAATGAATTTGAAAGTGTAATGAAAAAAGGTAATAGGTAGGAAATAATTGAATGATGTGGTAATAGACTCACCTGGTTAATGCAATTAGCAAAATATATAGAATAAACAATGAAAATTATCTGTTCTGTATATTCCATTATTTTTCCTTAATTGCATCATTTATTTAGTAATGAAATCATCGTGGGTAATGTGCTCCATTTGTCGTACAGTTTAAGATATTTCAGCGATCTCTTCCGCATATTTTTTTATTATTCATCATCATAAATAACGATTACAGTATCATAGCTAGTGATGACATTATCATAAATGATATTACCAATATCATAAGTAACGCTGTTACAATGATTTTGCCCAATAATTTCTATTGTAAGTATCAAAAATGATGAATAAAAAATGAGGAAAAAATCGCTGAAATATTTCAAATCGAAATCAATGAATAATTTCATTCAAATAATACAGTTAATATTAGAGGAAAAAAGAAAACAAAAAACAAAATACACAAAAGTTAATAAATTTGACGAGGAATATCAATCTTTTCTTAATTTAAAAATAAAAGGTAATAGAATAAATACGATAACTAATTAAAGGAAAACAAAAAAAATATGAAAAATCAAAAATTGGGTAAAATTATCATCTAACTAATATTATTCAAGATCATTATCGCCTAACTATTATTATTCAAGATCATTATCGTCTAACTAATATCATTCAAGATCATTATTATCTAATTAATATTATTTAAGATTATATTTTTCCAAAATTTCTATTATTATTTAATTTAAGTTTTATCAAAATTGGAGTGGGGAGGGGGATGAATGAGGTGGAAAGAAGGGAAATGACAAATACCACCTAAAGGGACATTTTCAGTAAATGCAGTCAATTTGTCTAGTTGATGGAAAAATTTCATCAGTCCTTTTAAGATAATCCTTTTTTCAATCCATTGCTTCTTTTATCTTTCGCTGTCAAAAGAAAGATAACATGAAATCATAACAATGTAATCTTATTTTCTCTTATCCTTTCTTCTTAAATTTTCATTCGTTGACAAAGATTTCATTTCTTTTAAGAGTTTCCTTTCTTACACTATTATCGTCCTTATTTGTTAATTATTTTTATCGATTAATTCTTTTTTTGTTTTTCAGTTAAGTCTATGCTACGATATTTTTCTAAATGATGCATATCAAATAAACCTATGTTGACAATATTATAACTTATGGGTGGTATTTAACCAGGAAAACATTTGCTCAAGTTTGTGCATTTTATATAATTAAGCATTCTATTGAATGCAAAATCACCTGTTGTACAGGTATGTAATTGAATCTATAAAAAGCGATTTGTCATTTAATTTTAAAAATTAACAAACTAAAAATCATCATCAATCATTTTAATTCTTTTGCGTTTTCTTCTAATAAGGATAAAAGAAGAAATGAAGAAATCAAGAACTATCGGAAGTGGATGATATTTAACGAAGAATTAATCATCCATTCGTCCAAGTTTGGATCGAACTTTTATTTTGATAATGATTATTTGTTCACTAAATTACATTGTTTGCATTAAGTCCCTATTCTATTAGAAAAAAGAATGAAAAATTTTTACAATTTTAAACTTAGTTCAAAAAAATATTTCTCATCACTTTCAGGTCAAAATGATTTATACCGCCAATGTTTTCAATCAATGTTTTCAGTCAATCATTCAATAAAAATCAATCGAATAAAGCATATCAACATTGAAACTCTGCTCACTTCAATTAACAATTTTAATAGAATCAATGATGAAAATATCACCAAACAATCCGTATCATCATTGTCTCAAATGTAAAACCTTTATAGATAAATTAAATTTCAAGCGACATGATTGAAATGATTATTATCATTTGAAAAACAAAAAATTGTCACGTATTTTCCAAAAATTCACAAAATTGTTATCATCTGTCTTTCAAAAATGCAATGAAGTTCCGCGTGTCTTTCAATTGAAGCCCACAATCGTTTTTAATCACTAATGAAAATAAGTGAAGAAAACAATTCTTTCACAATTAAAAATTTCAAAGCAAACCATTTTCTACAAAATATTAGCTAATTAAAAATGAATGAAGGAAGGTTAAACATTCTCGTAAGCAGTAATTGCTGCTTTTTGGAAGACGGAAGATACATGAATTTTATGTCTTTCGAAAAACATATGACAATTTTATGTTTCTCGGAAGATACCTCATAGTTTTTTGTTAGATACGTGACAATTTTGTGTTCATCAGAAGATACGTGACAATTTTATGTTTTTCGTTAGATACGTGACAATTTTATGTTTTTCGTTAGATATGCGATAATTTTATGTTTTTCGAAAATGTGTGTTTGTTACAACTTTTTCTGCTCATGGGAATGTTGATTTTTTGGTCGTTTACTACGATAGTTTCCTTATGGTACATCGATATCATTGATATCTTGATATTGTGAAGGAATTGCTTTATTACTTATTTCCATTATTTTCTTTTGTTTTATCTTTACCACTGAATCTTTAAATTAGCTATTACTTAAGCTATTTTCTTTTGGAAATTTTTTATTTATTTAAATTTAACTTGAATTTTAGCTATTCCTTTTTGACTTGCAAATCAAAGATGGATGTAACATATTGCTGGTTTATATTAATTAGAGCGGAATAATTAAAATTAATTGAATTTCACAAAAGTATCTGTAGCTGTTTTAATTGTGAGATTAATAGTTGAATATTATGTAGATTACGATAATGGTATTCTCTCAATACTCGCTTTGCTTTACTGAATCACTTTCAAAGCTTCATCAATATTTGGAATGCTATTTGTGATTAATGGTTTTCATTAGAGGAGACGAATTTTGCCATAGTTGCAAAATCCATCTTCTCTATTTGGAATTTCCAAATTTGGAAATGGAATGAAATATTCAATTCAAATAATCCTACACTAACATACAGCGAACTGCAATCATTTTGCTAATTTCACTTACTGCATGTTTTTGAGAAATACTTTATTTACTATATGCTACTAAATTTTAGCTTAGTGTAGAAATTTTTTATGACGGTTTTTGTGTTAACTTCCTGTACTGCACTTTTTCTTGGTAATTGCTTGTATTTCTTTAAGAAGAAATTAGATATTAAAGGGACGAAAACTCACAAAGTAACAGTTTTCAATTATTAGATCAAAGTTATCGCTTTTCAAATTGCAGATTTAGTGACAGCGTTGATAAAACTTTTTTGGCCTTATCGATATAAATGAGAATATTATTAAAAGAGGAATGTTTACGGCGCATTATCAGATAAATATGTTAATATAGGGTTAAATGTTTCATTCCAAATTTGGAAATTCAAAATTTTATTTAAAATTATAAGAAGGGAAACTGATGTATATATATGTATTCAGTAGAAATAACAACTCAAGAACTATAGAATCATTTTATTTGATCAACCACTTCACATCCAATGATCGATTCATCTTTTGAAATTGATCGGTACGGCATAAATGAATATTACTATAATTTTTGAAATTCACAAAATGTACCAAATGACTATACAATGAAGTGTTTCAGAAAATATTAATTTCGTTAATTGAAATAAATAAATATTAATTAATATGTAAAGAATCAAAAAATTGAGAGGAAGAAAAAAGTATTTGAGAAGCTAATTGGTAGTCCATTATTTCATCGTTGTTATGTTGCACTTTGAAATTTACTTTGATTTCAATTGTTAAACAAAGAAAGAGAAGGGAAAATGAGAGAGAAAGAGAGAAGACGAAGAAAAAAGGGAAAGTTAATTTCATCTTGCTCCACCAACACGTATCATTCCTTTCGTTACTGCAGTTGTAGCGGTTTTTTGCATCTGTTGAGCCGGTGCCTGAAAGCTCAGCAATTGAAAAAAATAACGAAAAAAAGAACAGGTAAAATGGTACGGATAAATGTCCTTCTGTGAGTTCAATATGAGCTAGGCCTGAATTGAGTATGAACTTAGAGAGGTGTGAACTATGTGTTTTGCCGCTTAACCAATTTTGGATAGAAGAAATCTAAAGAACTTTTAATTTTAAGAACGTGGAAAGAAAGGGAAATTATGATAGAAATGAAAGACAAGAAATGGTTTAACTGTACAGTTTTAATTTTAAATCAAAATTTAGATCGAAGATATTCCTTTTATTAAAGAATCCAAAATTATCATCGATGCTTTCAAACATTTCCAGACTTTCTTGCCTTGCTTTATCGCGTTGCAAAATGCCGATAGCGCAATAATGCATGATTCATTTTAATTTACTGCAAAATGCCAAATTTTGAATAAATTTCGAAATTTTCCTAACCTGTTTTGTTGTTGTTATCTTTTGTTCCATCACTGTTTCATTCGGATCTACAACTAATAAAAATTCAAACGATTGCATATTTTGATTTATAAAATTACTTAAAAAAACTAGCTAATTCCCATATAATTCAGCTTAGCTTACATTCTTCATATTCCGGTGGTGGTGGTGGCCATTGGCGTTGATTTGGTTTTACAGGCAGTCGTGTTTGAAGAACATCAACGTCCTGTTGAATTTGTTGCTCAAATTCTGGTGGTGGCCATTGTATGGTTTTCAATCGTGAACCTAACAAATTTTTGTTGAAATTTTTGAAATATATATTTTAGATGCTTTTTTTAAAAAATATGATATGAGCCAAATATGAAAAATATGCCATGAACAATATGAATTAAATCTGAAGGGATCCATCAATGATTTTCGAAAGGAATGATATCGATGCACTATGAGGAATGTATTGTAGTAAACAAGTCAAGAAAACAAAATCGTAGTAAACAAGTCAAGAAAAAATTTGTAGTAAACAAGCCAAGAGGTTGATGAATGAGGAGAAAACTCTTGAGGCTGCTTTATGCTAATAAATAGTAATTGAGGTAAACAGAAAAGAACTCTAGGTAAATGAATTTCAGTGAATTTCAGTAAAAAAATTCACTTACAAAAAAAATTTGTAAATGAATTTTTTTTGAAAATTATCAGAAGATTAATTAATTATTACGAAGCTAATTAATAGAAACTAATTAATGCCAAGTTAATTAACACAAACTCTAGGTTGCTTTACGCTAATAAATAGTAGATGAACTAAACAAAAGAGCTTCAGATAAATGAATTTCAGTAAAAAATTCATTCACAAAAAAATTTGTAAATGAATTTTTTTTTGAAATTTATCAGAGGATTAATTAATTAATACTAAACTAATTAATAAAAATTGTTATTTTACTTATTTTGCTTTTATTCGTTTATTTATTCATAATTTCAAAGCTAAATTATTTCATAAATTTTTTTTATAGTCCTTCTATATAATTATCAAAAAAAAAGCCATGGCAGCTAATATTAATTTTAGTTCATTAAATTTCAAAATTAAAATTAGTTTTAAAGCCTACCTACAGATCTATCTATACGAACTTCATTTTCTGGTGGTGGCCAAACTCTTTGTAAATTATGCGGAACACTTTTACCCCAAGCTGTTCCTGTTTCCATTCCTGCTTTCTCCTGAAATCATTGCAAAAATTACTTCATTAATATCAAAATTTTAATTGATAATTTATTATAAATTGAATGTCTTACATCGCGTCTCCATGCCGTATCTTCTGTTGTTTTAGTTACCGTTACTTCTTGTCTGTAAGAATAAAATAGCTTTCAAATTTTTGCATAATTAATGCAAATCTCAAGGAAGGCTTTAAGCTCAGTATATCCAATATACTCAAGGAAGGATTTAAGTTTAGTATATTCGGTATACTTCAGGAAGGATTTAAGTTTAGCATATCCAAAATTACAACATGACAAAATAGTTGAAGATTTTTTTCACTAACTTTGGTAATGATTAAAAACAGAACATTGAGTGTAAGAGCCGTTTTTAACAAAGTAAAATTTCGATACCCTGTTAAAGATAACTTGGTTGTTCATGTTGCACGAACTGACAATATTATAAACTTATATGATGAATGGTATTCCGTCTTATCTAATGGTCAATTGCATAAAACAATGAAGACCAGATGATTTAAGTATCTAACAAATTATATAAGTTTAGATTTTCAGATTAAAAAAAAAGTAATTGAACAAAATGTACGAACGGTGGTGCGATATTTTCATTTTGTGGCGGAGGCCAAACATTCCCAATACGACCCGGTTGATATGCACTTCTGATCGGCTGTGTTCCAATAATCTCACCCTGTGAATTATAAAAAATTTGCAACACTCAAAAGTAAATGTAAACTTTTTTCTGCCTAATACTTTCATCTCCTGCTAGAGAAGTATATTTTTGCAACGTCTAGACGTTATAGAAAGTTAAGACTAATCTGTGGGACAAGCAAATATTGCAACCTGATTGTCAGGATGCCATTCACCAGTTTTAACGCGCGGTGCATCTATCAATTCCTTAACTTCTTCTTGTGGAAACTCATTCCATTCTACCCGAGTTGTCTGTGACGGGCGAGGAACAATTACAGTTGGCTAAAATATTTTCTTTAAATTTTTATAGGATTTCATAATTCAATTTTTCTAAAACTGTTAAATAAGTGTAATTTTATAGTATCAATTATGACTGCATAATATTAATTACTATAAGCTAATCAATTGTCAAGTTAAGTCCAATTCCTGAAAGATCTCAAAAAGGATTAGTCTATAGCTTTACTCTCTGCAGATTTAAATTTTTGCATGAAACTAGTCTTTCTTTTTCCTGCACGTTTTAAATTTGCAGTTTTGCGCTCAAGAGGGTAAGATATACATTCCGACAAAAGAAATAGTAATAATTACCAATAATATGTGTATTTTTTTAAAGCCTTAAATATGAATTAAATTTAAAAAATTATGAATCTTTATAAGCTTAATTTTGATTGATTTAAATTTTAAAATTTCGCAACGATATTCAACCTTAACTTCAACACTTCCATGCAATTCTGGGATTGCGATTTTTGCTGGTTGAGGAGCTTGGATTTCAACCGGTATTCGATTTTGCGTTACCCATGATTGGTCGTCCTAAAATTCACACAAAATTCAATGCTAAATTAAAAATTCTTTTTCCTTTTGATTTCATTTGATTGAAACAAATTTGAAGTATTGCAAAAAATTTTCGAATGAAACTTTTAGGCGAACAATTTCCTATACGTAACTTTTATTCAGTGCATGGTATGTTTTTTAGTAGCAATTGGAATGGTTCAACTTATTTACATATCTTGAATTTCTTCATAACTCTAATATAATACTCATAATAACGTTGTGCAGCATGATAAGTATGCCACTCGGTGTAAATTTAAATGCTTAACTACCATTTCAATTAGCGCGCTACTTTGTGATTTATTTTTCTTAAGTAACTATCGCATATCAAATAATACAGTATGAAGTAATTTTACTTACATAGCTATCGCATATCGGACAATACAGTATTGAATGATTCTATTTGTGTATATGTTTAATGTATGCTAAGGATTGCATTCAATGATCAGATTTAGTTTAACTGGACAAAGATAACTATTCGATGACAGTTCTTGTTGTAAATAATTTTAGTTTTAATTATGAATTAAGCGTTGTGTAGAATACAAGGAGAGTTACTTGGGTATGGATAGGTTTTACTTCTTGCTGTGGTAACACTTCCGCCGACTTATTGAGGTTGTTTAGGTAAGCCTGCTGCACATCGCCACCTCTCACCACTTGAATCTTGTCGCCAGTGTTTGGAATTAATTGTGTTCTTGATATTTGTTGTTGAGCAAGTGTTGCAGATACTGGTGAAGCCTGAGCTTGCGGCACCCCTCCTGCAGATAATTTATGACCTGTTGGGCCACCTCTAACTGCAGATATTGCTGAAGGCGCAGTTTGGCGTACCAATGATGCTTGTTCTGGTTTTGCTGGTACCGCTGGACCTCTTTTTTGTTGTTGATGCTGAAGTGTTTGTTGCACTTGTTTTACTGGTGCTTGATATTTTGAAGCTTGCATCTGATTCTGTTTTGTCATCACTTCTGGTTGCTGATTCTGAGGTGTTTTTTGCACTTGTTTTATTGGTGCCTGATACTTTGGTGTTTGCACCTGATTCTGTTTTGTCATCACTTCAGGTTGTTGTTGAGAAGTCTGATACTTCATTTGTTGCTGCGGTTGAGCATTCGATGGTTGATTTTGTTGTAAATTTTGGGCTTGAACTTGCCTCTGTTGAGCTTGTTTGGCAGCCATCATCTTGGCCTGCTGCTGAGCACGAAGTTGCTCTGCGCGTTCCCGTTCCGCCTTAATTTGAGCTTCTTGCTGAGCCCTTTTTTTTGCTTCAGCTTCAGCTTGCTTGGCCCTAGCTTCAGCTTCGGCTTGCTTGGCCCTAGCTTCAGCTTCGGCTTGCTTGGCCTTAGCTTCAGCTTGCGCTTGTTGAAGACGCATCTGAGCGTCACGTTGAGCACGTTCTTGTGCTTCTTTTACGGCTTGCTGCTGAGCCAACTGAGCTCGTTGAAGTGCTTCTTGCTGTGCTCTCTCCATTGCTTCTTTCTGCTCAGCAATAATTTTCGCCTGACGTAATTCAGCTTCTGCACGAGCTTCTGCTTCCTTTTTCGCAACTTCTGCTGAGTTCTGTGTTTGTCCTTGTGAAACAATTTCATGCGATTCCATACGAACTAAAAGTATGAAAATAAATTTCACGATTTCGATTTAAACTTGGAGGAACAAAATACCTCAATGAGTAAAAAATCATAGTGGGCCAAATGTTTTATAACCATCAGCAGGCCAAGAAAATATTTCAAACACGCATTGAATTATTTTGTCATTTGTAAACCTGCTGAATCAAAAGAAATATAAATACTAAATTCAACAAATTTCAATATGCTGACCATTAGTGCTACTCATTGTTTCTACTTTGTTCTGATTCACGCTTGGTATCGTGCTAGTAACCATTTTGAAACCGGTACTCCTACTTATAGTAACTGGCGTTTCATCTTCCTCCTCCTCCTCCTCTTCCTCTTCCTCTTCTTCGATATTGCGTGTCATTTTTTTCACTGTAATTTATCAATGAGAAATTTTGGCTGAATTAAATTAGTTCAAATTTAGCATGAAAATACTTTACATTAGAATTATTTCGTTTTTAATAAAATATAGTACTCTAAAATTAATAAATTAATTTAGGCCCTCTAATTAATCATAAATAATTCCATTGATCACATCCGTTTCTTTTCATTTTAATTGGAAGCATTTTAATAATGACAGTAATCTTTTGGACGTTTTAATAACCAGTAGAATGGAAAGAAGAGAATTTGCATTTGAAGTAATGCTTTTCAGCTAAAAAAATTAATAATTTTTACCTTTAAAAAGAAATTCGAGAAAAATTTTGTAAGTAATAACTATTGGATTGAAAATGATAGAATAAGAATTTCAGAGGAGATGATGACAGCTTTTAGAAATAATATCCTATGAATCAATTGATTTTGCAAGCTATTCTGTAATCGATGCTTTCAAGAAAAATGTTGAATTTCAATACAATTTTAGTAAAGCATTACTTCATCTTATCACTTATTGTTATGGTGTTATCAGTAGCTTATTCTTTTTCCTTACAAATTATAATAAAATTGAATATTGGCTTTTCTAAGAAATTATTGATTATTTCGATTGCAAATTTAAATTTAAAAGATAAACAATCGGTATCGATTGCCTTTCGATGATACTTGAGAATGTTAAATTAAAATACGACACATTCTAACATATTTATACATTATACATTCCATGTACTCTATAAATATAATGGAAAATGTATTCGAAGTTTTTTCATGATAGGATGGATAATGGCTAATTAAGCCATTGTGATTAACGGAAAAATCATATAAGTTTAATTTTTGATGAAAAAAAATTACCGAACTCTTCTTTAGGAGATATCCTAATTAAGTGTAATTAAGAATATCTCTAAAACTATTTGACACTTCGATGCTATTCATATTCTCCATATCCTAACTTTATACAATCAATAGTTTACAAAAACAATTGCATTTACCAATTAACTATACACAAGTTTAGTAGAAAGGAAAAAAGTTGTAAAAAAATGAATTTAATTATAAAATTTTAATTATATTCTTATTTTAATATAAAATTAATGAACACCATTCAATGAAAATGCTAAAAAAGAATAACTTCGTATCATCCATTCCTACTCAAAATATTATTAATAAATTATTTGATAAATGAAATTTCACAATTAGCTAAAACTTGACAAAATAGCCAGGTAGCAACTAACCCTAGCTCAAGTAACTACTACTGAGCCAGGTAGTTTGAGGAATAGTTATTGAAAAGAATTTGAGATTTTTTAAAAGATAAGAGAAATTGAAATGAATTTTCGGTGATTGAAAAAAGATAAGAAAAGGAAATAAGCATGTATTTCAAGAAGCAGTTACTTACATCAATAATTAAATTATCATATCCGTTACGAGCAATTGCTCTATTAGACAGTATTACTAAAGAAATACTGCTTGTCAAAACGTGTCAAAACGTGTAAAACGTGTGAAATGATAAAAACGTGAAATATTGAATGCTAAATATTGTATGGAATAATCATCATTATCACAATAATTATCATAATTATCATGTATGGAATAATTATCATAATTTTATAATTTACTTTAAAATACTACGCTTTATTAATTTCATCAAAAATTATTTGATTATAAGTGAAAAAATAAATTTTCAATTGTCAAACAAGTAAATATTTATTCGTATTAGCAAAATATTAATTAAAATTTAATTTCAAAAATTAAATGAGAACTTATTAAAAAATAAAATTACGTAAGTATTCGTAGCAATCTTAGTATTGTAATTAATACTAATTAAAAATGAATATTTACAAATCGGCTTTTTAAAATGAACAAATTTAATAATTAAATAAACGAAAAGCTCAACATACATATAACATTAATGATAGGTAAACTAAAGCTGAAATAATAATAAGATTGAAATTGGTGCAAAGCCTCAGATTATTTTGTAAACACAAATGAGCGAATAAAATTTTTGAAAAAGCAGAAAAGATTAAATATTTCGGAGAAACATACATGTAAAGCGAAATAGAAAGAAAGAAAGGGAGAGGGAGAGAGTGAAAAGAATGGATACAGGTAAAGCAATTAAAAAATATTCGAAAAAAATGAATGAATAAGAATTTTAAAATTGAAACTAACAGAATATGTGGGGTATAAGAAAGAGTGAAAGTTGAAGTAACAGGGATATATAAATATGAGAGGAGTGGTTCAGCTGCTTCTAAAAATTTCTTTCGAAAGATCTTTCGATGATCCATTTCATTTCAGTTCTCCTCTCTTTCTCATATTTTTAAGTATCTCTGAACATACATCTTTTGCTTAATGTATTTTCAACTTTCAGTTAATTTTCTTCCGTCAACCAATGCTCTATTATCTGTTAGCTAATAATCATTAGATGATGTATATTTTTCTTCACAATCTTTCATTTGTTAAATTTAATAGTTGCAAAGAAAATTGAAAAAGTTGAAAGAGTGAAGAAAAAGAGAGAGAGAGCAGTGAAATGAATTTTCACATTCTGATAATGCAATAAAAATAATAAATTTGACAACGAAAAGTAAAGCTTACAGAGAGTTATCATTCATTTTCTTCACCTTATCTCTCTTATCATTATTAAGAATGATTGAGAAAAAAATAAAAATAAAAAATGCGAAATACACAAAATTGAAAATTCAAACGTTTTTGCACGCAATAATTTATTAGCATTTGTTGGCAGCTTCCACTTCAATTTTATACTGTAAATAAATTTTTATTTTGCTAAATTTTATCACAACACAATTTTATTGCAATTTTCAGGATGATAATAGCTTGATAAGAAAGATAATAAATACAAAAGCAAATCGATCAAAATTTTAAATTGATAAAAGAGCCTAAAAATTATATGTGAATTTAATCACTGAACGGATTATATGCTAAATATTAACTGTAATGAACTAAAACAATTGATATTTTGATAATTTGCTACATGTGTTTTCAAAAACTTCCTACTATATGTAACAATCATTGAATATTATTATATTAAATCTTTTAGCATCCTTTTTTAACATTGTTGTAATTGCTTAAAAAGCAAACCTGATATGATCAAGTGGAATGTACAGAGTAGTATCATAATAATATAATCGAATAAAATAACCATAAGAACTGAAACATCTTTTTTTGTAAATATGGAATTATTTTCCTGAATTCAAATATTTTTTCAATGTTGAAAAAATTGTTAAAAATTTTTAACATTTAATTTTAATAATTTAACTCTTCAAAAATTATTTTTCAAAAAAACGAAATAAACTTTTCCAAAATAACTTATTTTAAACTCTATCTTTAAAAGACAGTTTTTTTAAGCGTGATATCAATCTGATAAAAATTTTCGCATTCACAGCGAATTTAATTATTGATTAAATTATTGAATAATTAATTAATGATTAATTATTATTGATTGAGAAAATCAATATAAGATAAAAATTAGTTTAGTAAAAGTGCAGGATAGAAAGTTATATAGTGAAGAGTATATGAGATCATTTAAAAAACTGAGGAAACTGTTGTAGGAAGCATACATACTTCATTAATAAAAATGAATGTATAAAAAAGAAAGGAAAACTTTTCGCTTTAAAGTTTTTTCAACTTTTCCTTTTTGTTACGAAATTTTACAAATTACTTACCTTCGGAGGAGTCGATAATTTCTAATATTCATTTTATTGAAATTTTGTGATTTTATTTGAATGACAAATTGCGTTGGTTTTATTTACACAATTCGTTGATTTTGTTGACACATTGTGTTTAAATATGTTAACAAATAGCGCTTTATTGTTTGTTGTTAAATTTAAGCTTACTACTAAAGATAATATAAATAAAATTAGTAAATTCAGCTAGTATCAAATATTGCATAAGCTTTTTTTATGTAATTTAAAAAGTTTAAAAAGTTTGATATGATTAATGAACTTCCGAATATATATGTATTTTGAAATTTATCAGGAAATCATATCCAACAATTTAATATTTTATTGCTAAAAACATAGTTATAAAAAAATTTAGTATTGATTTTCTTTTTAACTATAATTAAACTTTAAAAAGAAACAAACTAACACCAATATAGTTTAATCGTAATTTTTTCCAAAATTTTAAAATTTTATTTTAAGATTTTCTAATTTCAAAATTTTGCAGTAATACTGAATATTATTTTACTATCGATAAGCCACTGCAGAGCAACTTCCCGATTTTCTTTAGATATCACATTATTTCGGAAGAACGGAAAAACGATTTCTACTAATATTATTATTTTTAAATACAATTTTTGAAACTTTTGCTAGACAAAACAACACTTTGTAATTATATGAAATAAAACCTTGTAATCTTATCATATCATATTTCATTATTAAAGATCAATGGCATATTTTATGTCATACAGTATCGAAACATTTCGAAAATATGCGATCCTGACGGTGATTTCATTATAGAATCAATTTAGATTCCGCTGTCATCAGCGCTACTTTCATCGCTTCTCGTATTTGAAATGCTATCATATTGATTTTTCAGGAATCACACTTTGTTCATTGTATAATCCAAAACTAATTTACAAAAATTTAATTAATATGTCGGAAATTATTTAACTAATTTTATTTTTCATTGCAAAAGTTTTAATAGAAAGCTGTCCCAAAATTTCATAAACAAATAGATAAATATTAAAATCAAATGAATTAATAATTCGTTGAAATTAGTTTGAAATGACGGAAGTATTGAAATCATAAAATGGTTAATTTTTTTGTCGACAGCCAAAAATATTTCAACTAGGCAAGAAGTTATCCCAAACTTTTTTCATTCACCTATACACTTACCTGTGAAGAAGAATATGCATAATTAAATGAAATATGCATTGTATTCTAATATTACACAACAAACTGATTGTGCTATTTTGAAAATACACTTCTAATCAATCTCATCGTATATTTCCACTTTATTTTCCTTCATATCAGCAGTAATCACAACAATTCTGTTAATGATTTATCGCAATCATTCGATCAATGAATAAATCGTTTCTTTTGGTTGGAAAAATAATTGTTAAAATGGATATGAGAGAATTGATTCGATAAAAATTTTTTATAATTAACTATTGATATAAAAGATAAATATAAAAAATTAATATGAAATTTTATTTTTATTTATTTGACCGTATCAATTTAATTATACTAAGTAGTTGCGATTTTAATTTCTTATTACATTACTAATAGTTGCGATTTCAATTATATTAATTAAGTGATTGCGATATCACACTTACTAGTAAGTTTTGAATGTATAAAATGCATCATCTGTGCAGTATCTAATAGACGGATTATCTTTATCCAATAGACAGATATCTTCACGTCATTTTTAATCCTTTAGTTCAAAATGAAATAATAAAATAAGAAATGATTCATAAATTTCCATCATACCACTATGAATAATCTTTATAAGTATTGCTATGAGCAATATTAGACTTTTAAATTTCTGAAACTGCAATTATTTCAAATAAAGGTTTAATTTCATCTTTTGTCAATTCATTCGTTGAAGTTCGAAGAACTAGGAATTCTTTATTCACGTAACGATGTATATGTGTATTCAAGTAATTGGCACTTCTGAAATAAATAAATTCAAAGACAAAAGAAAGAAAAAAAGATACAATTGAAAACAATATCAGGCGATATTATTTTGGCAAAAGAAAATTATTTTTCCTTATGCATTTCTATATATACAAATAAAAAGATTTAAATATTGGGAAATGATCAAATTTGCATGATATTAATTAATTGATTGCATAATTAGGCCTATAAAATTTAGTAAAAAATCATTTTATCATCAAAATATTTTAATGTAAATAATAACGGACTATTGAAATGTTATTTATAAATATAAGTGACATTTATCAAATTATTGACAGTTTGATATCGATCAATCCCTGATAATAGATATTATACTGAACAATTTGACAAATTATCACTTATATTTACAATTTAAATATTAAATATAATAAACAAATATTTAAATAAACAAATATATAAATAAGCAAGAACAACAAATATCACTTATATTTTATATGTTTAAATAAAAATTAGCAAAAATAAAGAGCAATATCATAAAATGATTTAGAGGTATTTTAAATCATATAAATAAAATGTTTGATTAATTTAAGGCAAAATGCCTAATGTCCTCAATTCATCCTGCTGTTGTTGTAACAATGCCTGATTAGCTTCAAGACGAGCCTTACGCTCCTTATTCAAATCCATTTCTTCACTAAAAGATACTAAATTTATTCACAATAAAATATAGTAAAATAAAAAAGGATTTCTTTTGATTAATTTAAAAGTCCAATTAGTTGTTTTAAATTATGCATAGCAATATGGAAAGTTCAACTTCTTATGTTGCTTTTCTTTTTAATTTTTAGATTTGAAATTAAGCCTCTTTTTGAGAAGAGGAAGAATTAATTCAGATATAGTTTAATTGATCAATCTTTAGAGCACTCAAAAATTAATCGAAATAATAGTATTTCATAATAAAAATAATAAATGATGATTATGTTATAGAATAAGATATGTTCGATCAACTATCAAATGAATGATACATAAACTTTCATTGATTATGAATGGTAAATTATCACATAAACTTTCGGTCAATTATCGCATAAATGATATATGAACTTTCATTGATTATAAAATTTAAATCATAATGTCACCTTTTGTTTATTTTTGAAAATGGAAGATAGGTTTTTCGTAAAGCTTCTTTCTTTGCGATATACAATGATGCTCCATTCATATTATTCTGTAAAGTTGAAATTTTAGGGTAAATTTCATTTTTGTTGCTTTAATTGCTTGCAAGAAAAGTTTACCCTTTTTTAACACATTTAATAATTCGCATAATAGCACGAATGGCTTTAATTTTTTGTTTGCTATTCTGAAAGAAAATGAAACTACAAATTTGGCTTCTAAAAATCCTAATATGATTTGATAGTATAGCAGATGAGGAGAGATATAAAGTTGGGGAAGAAAAAATTTTTTTAAAAAATCTTTATTGGGCGAAGAATTGTAACCGTACCGATCATAAGATCAAATTCGACAATAATTATTACCTTCAAGATATCATCAGTCGTTTTGCTGTGTACGGGATTGCTTACAATTTTATTACTTTCAACTTTTGGAAGTTTACTTTTGGATTTTGTTGATGATGTCCTAGTAATAACCGGAATGTGAGATTGAAGCTTTGGACTCCATTTTGGGTTTCTGCAATTTGATATGAATCATTTAAAACCAAAAATTGTACAAAAGTTTGAAGAATTCTTTACTAAAATTGATTAAATAAAGATTTTAAAATGTGGTCAAATATCAAAATGTCACCTTTGTAGTATATTATTCCTATTATTGACTTCCTCTTTTAAATCATCAGCGATGCCATTTAATTTTCTTGCATCCTTCCCCGCTGCAACTTCATTAATTCCATAACTACCGGATAATTTTCTTAACTGACTGCGTTTTGTTGGCATTTGGTTATTCTCATTTGGAAGTGCATCATCATTGGTTATCTTTCCGGGAACTATCCGTGACTCTACAATCGGTGTACTGCTTTCCATGATATGTTTGCTGTTAGGTTCGTTAATCTTTGTATGATTTGATACCACCGAAGGTAGTATGTTTGCAACTTGTTCAGGATTGTTTGAAAATGGAATATTTGCGTTGAAGTTATCAGATTTGTTTTCAGTAATATCAGTTCTAGACCGATCATTTGATGATTCAGTGCTGACAGTTGGATGATGGGAAGTGCTGCGTTCTACATTAGTTACATCTGCAACATTTCCGGATAGTCTATCTTTTTCATGATGATCTGCATTAATTGTTGCGTTATTTGATACAGCTATTGTTGGCGGTACTTCAACTAATGCGCCATTGTTAATATTAGAATTAGCTTGATGCAAACTATTTTCCACTTCTTCATCAAATGTATCATTACAGTTCGACAAATTAATCATTTCTTCATCACTTATTTGATGATAACAATCATCTCTTTGATCCTCTTCAAATTCGATTACAATCGAATCACGTTTTGGCTCAATTAATTCGCAAAATTCGATGTTATTTTTTCGGTTGTCATCTTTAACACTTGCATTTGAATACACAAAATGCGATCGCTGAAATTTATATTTCTTAGATTTGATGCATTCAGAAAATGAAAAAGAGAGGAATGAACGATCTAATCAGATCTGTTTGATTGTTTCTAAAATCAGTCTATTAAAGTGGTAAAGATATTTATCATATCAACCGCTTCACATCATCAAGAAGTAAGAAACAATTGGCATTGGCTTCTTTAAAAGAAACTCATATACATAACTGAAAGAAGTGCACAGTTCTACTGATATCAAAAAAGTTTTTGAATGACAGATTACGATATCCAATTGGTACTATCAGTAACATCATAGCTTCCACTGTTCGCTATTTGATTTTTCAATTGATAAGACATTTGATAACAGATAACAGACGCCAGAATTCCTGCATATTCTGGCGTCTATTATATTAGCAGTGTAAAATACCTGCTTCACTCCGATTATACTATTGTGAGAATTTCCATTAAAATTTTTAGTTTATCATTAAGAAAGCTTACCTCAATAAACTCTGAAAATCCATTGTAATTAACTTCATTTACTTCATGATTTTTCTCGGGCATCAGCGAAAGTACGGTATATTCATTGTTGCATGGTGTTGAAATTTGCGACATTGTTTGTTGTCGTGATATATTTGATGGTGTATTCGACGTGTGATTTGATTTTGGATAAATTTCAGAAGTTATAACACAGGGCAAAATTTGAGGTTGGGAGATTATTTCATTCGGAGAAGTTCGAAGACTTTTTAAGATTGGCAATGGGTCGCTAATTATAATGGTTTCTTCACTAATGACTGATTCCATCATAATTGGAGCAAATTCAGTCTTTTCCATAAATTTTGAACATGGCGATAAAGTTTCAGGTGTTATCGATGTTGCTTGTTCCCTGGTCGTATTTATAACAGTTTGTCGCGGAAGTTGATATTTTTGTTTGGACATGAAACTTCCACCATTTACAGCTTTATCAGACCTTAATAAAAAAAATGAGTTGAATTAGCTTGCTGTTTTTCAAAGTCAACAAATAAGTCGATGATGTTTCATTAATGAATTTTATTCTAAACGAAATGAATTTTTCAAGAACAAACATTTGCGCATTTTGTAATCGCAGTGCTATATCCGAAGTCGAATAACTTTTACAGAGAGTAGAAATTTGTTGAATAGAATTTGCAGAAGTGTCGAGTTGTTTTGTTGTTTCGGGGCAATCTGGTTGGATAGCATCATTAATTATAGCTCTTTCTAATTCTAACCGAATCTGCAAATTGCTTTCAAAATTTTTTACTTTTATATTTTGGATAACTTTTGCAAAAATATCATCACAAACCGACAATTGCCTTCAATTGAGAAATAATAAAAATCAATTTCCATAAATTTTGCTTATATTCAAATTCGCATTCCGGATTCAGTTTAATTTCATTTTAAAATTTTGACAACTGTCATTTATACTTAATTTCAAATCATCTATTCTTAAACGTAATGAATTTATACTTTTTTGATCAACTACAAGTAATGTGATAAGATTATACTTTATAAGTAGAAGCACAACTAAGAATTGTCAACGCATCACTGATTGGCATATTCTCAAATGTTATCGTTAATTCTTTTATTTTGTCACCTGAAAAGTTAAAAATTAAGAAGGAAATTTAAACTCTTAGCAGAATTAATTACTATTCAAATAATTGTTAATTAATTTCTGGTAAAATGACAAAATATTTTATATTCTATAATATTTATCCAAAACCTACAATATTGTTAGCTGCGCAATTATTTTAGTAAAAATTAGTAATGCTTAAACTTTCTAAAATTATTTTAACTTCTGAATGAACTTAGTAGCATAGGATATATCATTTTCGTTTATCACGAAAAAACTCACCAACAAAAATATTTCCGGAACGATCAGCCGGACCATTAGGCTCAACATAACTGATACATATGTTATCCGATCTCTGTGCTATTTGGAAACCTAATGCGCTAGTATCTTTATCCAGTAATGAACGAACAACATCTTCCAGCTAAAATTATTCAAAAAATAATAATAATAAAATGATATTAAAAAGTTAAGGATTCTATCAAAATTTGATATCACTAAAATAGATTAAATTAGAATTTCATTACTATATTCATAGAATCATTTGATTGTACAATGTGAGATCCTAAAAATCGTTGTTGTTGCTTTGGTTGTCCTTTTTGATTTTCCACATGAACATCCGTATCAGCATTGTATTTGCACGTTAACGAACTACATGATGTCATCTGAATAAATTTTTCTTTTTTGTTGAAAAAAGGACTGGAAATTCTAAAGGAAATGATATATCAGAATTAATTCGATATATCTGATATGATACATCAGAATTAATTCAATATATCTGATACGATACATCAAAATTCGATATATCTGATATGATATATCAGAATTAATTCAATATATCTGATATGACACACCAGAATTAATTCGATATATTGATATGACATATCAGAATTAATTCGATATATCTGATATGATATATCAGATTAAGAAATGAACAAAAAATATCAATATTATTGAATTTTTGAAAATTTTCATATTTTTTTTTATATTTAGAAAGCAAAAACTTTTGTGATGAAATTATAAGCAAGAAAAAAATAAATTAGAAGTAAAAAAATTTTTGTTGTAAAAAAACCTTATCCATAAATGATGGCGATATGATCGCTTCAACTGCTTTATTTTCCATTTCATTCGTTCGTTCGCTATAAACGATTTTCCCCGATTTTATTGCATTACTTTCAATTGTAGCTATAAAATCTAAAATTGAAATATTTTTTTTCTAAATTTATATTTACATTTTGGATATATAAATTTTTCATTTTTCAATTATAGCCTATAAAATTTAAAATTAAAATCTTTCTTTTTTTTCAAATTTATATTTACATTTGAATATAGCATCAAAATTTATTGATTTTAATTTATTTTTATATACATAAAAAGATGGATATATTTTAAAAAAAGAACAACAACAATATTAATTTCATCAATTTTATGATATTTGTTTAAGAATTTATTTTATATTATATATTTATAAAATAAGCGAATGTTTTTCTCTTTCTTTCTTACCATTCATTTTTTTTCGTGCCAGACATTTGTATCTGACAAATTATTCGCACAAATTATTACACACTTCATTGATTTTAATCATGGTAAAATGGTGGCGAAAGTTTATTGGCCTTATTTTAATTGGATGAAATGTTTCATTTCTCATCGCTAAATATTTCGAAGAACTTTTCAAATTTTAATACTCTAACTAAAGATATACAGGCAGTTATTCATTTCACATAGAATTTCAACATTTCTTATATTTTCTTCTTTTCTTTGAAAACAGGAAATGGATGAAAATGTTTCTAAAAAGAATCCGATAAAAGAATTTTATTAAAAATTTATGTGAAAAAAATTCTTCAAAAAAAAGCTTCACTCTATTAATATCATCAAATTGAAAAGTTTTAATTTATTCATTTCTAATTCTTAAAATTAGTTAATTTATTATTGTTAGCATAATTAAGAAGCAAATGAATGAATGCAAAAAATCACAAATATCACAAAATATTTTTGAACTGTATGATGAATGTTAAAAATTTATTATCGCTTCTTCTAAATCAATGTTTAAAATTTGGCTATTAAATTGAGATATATTTTTTCCCCAAATTAAAATGCGATAAATTTTTATATGCAATAATAGATTGATCATATATAAAAGAAAAGAAAATATTATTTTAATTTAAAATGTGTTAAATGAATTAAGATGATATTAATTGCTTTAATTTTAACTTCACAAATTCAGCTTCCTCTATCATTGAGGAAGATCAGGTGAAGGAAGGATAGAAGTAGAATATTCGAACATTCATTCATTCGGACAACACTTTCGAAACATTCACATTAACAAATCATTTTTTTTTGAAACATAAAAAAAGTATTTCGAAGATAAGATTTAATTTCACTTTTCAAAGATTTTCCATCTCTTCTATTTTTTTGATAAGATTTAATTTTGCTTTTGAAACTTTTAGTTCTTTCAATTTTCTTCTTCTATCTTGAAGTAGGAAGAAATGATGAATGTGAAATGGATTGAGTTGAGAAATAAAATATATAATTCGCATTTTCCATACTTACTTCAAAGTAAAACTTCAAGTTCCATACTTACTCCAAGATCCATACTTCAAGTTCCATACTTACTTCAAAGTAAGGATTGGTAATTTATTTTCTAAATTTAATAATTGTTGCTAATTAATATTTTTCAACGAAAAAGAAAATTATCTAAATATCTGAGAAATTTTCGATCATTACCGGGAATATAGTAGTAAGTAAAAAAAAAAGGAATTCTTTGTTTTTATTAATTTCATTTCAAATAAAACTTTTTTCATATAATATTCTGATTTGTGAAAAATTTAAATATCTCAAATCCTAAATAAATAATATTTTTACCTTTTGGAAAGTATGGAATGAGAAAATGACTTTCCAATTCTCAGATTTTGAAACTTTTTAATTTTGAAGATTTTAATTAATTGAGAATTTCGATTTCTAATTTTTATTTTAATCTGAAGTTTAAATTATAAGATGAAAGAAAAATATATAACAAATGAAAATTTTTTTTAATTCATTAAATTTTGTTTTTTGTTTTAGTGCTGCAAAAAAGAACATTTGAATGTCTAAAAATTTGAAAATACATTATCCGACAACTTCTTCAGATTTTGAAATTTTCAAATTTAATATTTATACATATAAGGAATGAAATTAAGTGAATTGATATAAAGTTTAATTATATATCTGAACGTGAATCGTTATTGGAAATGATTATTTTGCAATGATGAAATTGAAATAAATTTATTTGAATTAAATTTCAATAACAATTAATCTCAAATGAGACAAATAAATATTTAATATTTCAGAAAATCTTTTTTGTCCTCTATATGAAGTATAATTGTACTACAAATGTCAAATCATTTCTTCTTGTCTTCACATTCTACCATTTCAGTTTGAAATGTGCCTAAATATTTCTGACAATGATCGCTAGGAGATTGTACCCATTTCATTCATTTCTCAAACAAAATAAAATTCATTTTTAATTTCAAATTATCATTATCAGAACTTATATTTGAAATTCAAATTAAAAACATCTCTTAAATAGTTAAATGGTAGGAAAAATTTGACACATATAAAATTTTTGAATTAAATATTTTATGGTACATCATTATCTTTGAGTCTTTTATCTTTGATAAAAGTTTACATCTTTTATCTTTGAGTTTCATCTTTTATCTTTGAGTAAATTTTAAATAAAAATTTAATGACCCCTATATTCATATTAATTATTTATATTATTCATATTAATTTTCACCAATTTTCTTAATTACAAAACAATCGGAAAATACAAAACCTGTGCTTTTTCTTTTTTTCTTTATAAATTTCGATAAATTATTTTATTAAACAAAAAAGTGATAGAAAGAGTTAAGTATCGTAAATTTTATCATTTTGATGATAAGAAAATGATTTCATTTTGTCATCAATTCAGACAAAAATCGTTCTCTTCTTTTGTTGAAACATTTTATAAATCTTTCGAGATCAATTATCATTTCTTTAATTATTCTTTTTCAAATTTAAGAATTGAAATAATTTTAGTAAATACAATTTAAAGAATAAAATTTTATTTTATTAGTATGAGTGAATAAGAATGAAGATAGAAATTTCTATTATAGAATTATTTATTACACATATTAAGTGTTTTATTAAGTTTTCTTCTGTTTAAGTTATTTCAACTAAATTTTTTTTTAATCATAAAAATTTAACTGAAACTCGGATTACATTATTTACTGCAAATTAGAAATTTATGTCAAAATTTTTTAGAGGAAATTTTTAAATAGATTTAGGATAATTTTGATATCAGTTTTTTCTGATCATAAAATTGATAATATTAAAATCTCATTGAAAATATCTTCTCAAAGAAAATCCATTTACAATGAAAACATTTTCATATTTCATTTGCACTTTTTGCAAGAATTCTGTAAAGTTGTAAAATCAAAAAAATATCATTGTGTTGTATAAATGAAAATTTTGAATTTGAAAATGTATGAAAATTCGGATTTTAAGAATTTTTAAATTTTCAAAATAATAGACAAAATTCGTAGTTTAATATCTTACTTTTATTAATTGCTCGATTTCGATAGAAGTACCATAAGAGTATTGTGATACCAATAACGGCGAAGAATGTTGTAAATGATGTTACAAATATGACACCAGCAATTTGACCAGCTGTGAAACAATTCCGTTCCGCAAAAGCGCTATCCGGTCCAATAGTTAGAAAAATTGTTAGCAATATGGAGGAGTAAGTTTTAGTCTTGATAATTTTCTTTCTACCCAACATGGTAGTCAAAAAAAATTAATAAATTTTCACTATCGATTTATCACAAAATACATATAAGAAAATGAATTTCGTATTATAATGATCAGTTGTCGGAACCAATAACAGATATCGATGATTGCTGAATTATTGCCTTTTATTTTTGCTCTGAGAAAGTAGAAATCGAATTTTGTTGCCTCGGGATAAAACGATAATCTGGAAATATCATTAACTGATCAAACAATATTTTTTTTTCATCTATTAAACCGATAAGAAAATAAATAGTTATAATAGTAAATAGTTTGTTATCGGTGAAATATTAGCCTCCCTGATGATAATGAAAAGATAATCTATCATCGACGCCTTATATGTCTTGTTAGTAAACTTGAATGGTACGGATAGTATGAAAGGTGAAAGAGTCATATACACACACATATATATATACATATATATATATATGTATACGATTGTTGGAATTGGTGAAATATCGGTATGTATATGAAGATTGAGGCCAAGATGATTTCAAGGACAGCTCAAAGTCATTTCTTCTAATTTCACTGATATTATCACTTTCTTTATAGCACCATTATTAAACAGCAAACAATAACAACAACCATTAATGATAATACAGTAAACTAATAATATTTGAAAGTAAGACAAAATATTTCCATTTTATTATCATCACAATAATAATTTATAAAATAAAGAATTTATCAATTATAACTATATATCCTTCCTAATATTATCTATCACATATCATATCAAAATTTTATCAAATAATATTTTCTTTTGATCAATACTATCAATTACAATTCTTCTTTAATTTACTGAAATCATTTCGAGCAAAATAAATAAAGAATTTATCAATTACAACTATATTTCTTTCTAATAATATCTATCGCATATCATATCAAATAATGTTTTCTTTCCAACAATACTATCAATTACAATTCTTCTTTAATTTATTTTTAAATCATTTCGAGCAATTAACAAGAAAGAAAGAAAGAAAGAAATTGTTGATAATATTTATTGTGTAAACTTGACCTCCAAGCAACACTGTAATATTTACCGATTTGTTGTATGAATTTTATTTCTACAATCAATCGAATACTACTATTATCAAAAAATATCATTTAAATTGATGAGAATTGAAAACAGAAGAAAAAAGAAAGAAAGTCAAATCGAAATATAATATTTCTTATTTATCATTTATATAGTTATTGAAATTTTTGAAGAATAAAATTTACTCGTTTAAAAGTTTATATGAAATATCCTGGGATTTAAATCGCTCAAATAAGGACAATGACAGATGGCCATAGGTTTTAAATTCGAACGATTAAAATGGTCAAAATAATGTCTCAAATGAATGATGAGAATGAAGGAAGAATTGTATTGAATTGATATCAAACTTCATTTAACTTCTATCTACTTTTCCCTCTTATACATTTCTTTCGCTTTCCATCATCTCAATGCCATTCTTTTCTTTCATTTCTCTCTCCTTTCTCTCTTTTTCCCTTTCTCTTACTCTTTCTAATATTATATTATTTCAATTCCCCAAAAAGGATTACTAAATGAAATGAAATTTATAACAGATTTATATAATAACAAATTTTATAAATTATATGAAATTAGAAATGATAATAAGTATAAATTATAATTTGAGGAAAAATTACAACTTCGAAATTACAATAAAAAAGTTAAAAAGTGTCAGCTGGTAGTAAATCGATCATTAAAATTTTATATAAATAACTATTACAATGAATATTAATAGCAGATTTTAATCTAACAAGAAAATTTAAACGATTAAAAAAGGTCAAAATTATTTATTGTTTAATAGGTCAACCTGAAAAAATGCTCGTCGAAAGAAAAAATGATAAGATGAAAAGTTTACTAATGTATTGTGTGATTTGATTTATTATCATCTTTTTAACCCTTCAATTCTCATATTTCAACCATCGCTCTTTCTTTTTTATCATTTATTTTTTAGAATAAATCTTATACGTTAAACAAATATTATCATTAAAAATAAATTAAAAATATTATTGTATATGAAATAAATATTCCAAATGAACAATAATATTCAAAATAAATTTTAAGATAATAAATTAAAGTATTTTAAAAATTTTTTGGCCTAAAATTTTGATATAAAAATAGGTTGTAAAAATTTATATAATTTAATTTAACTTAAATCACTCTTTTATTGGGCTATTTTTGGAATGCATCAATTAATAATTAAAATTCAATATCATATTAACATTAACTGATTTGATATTCCTGTTAAGAATTTTTCCCGTTAATGTTGAAATTTTAGATATTTTCCGTATCCTGTTAATCATAAGAAGTGATTTGTTAATTATAAGAAATGATAAGAAGTGTTCCTGTTAAGAATTTTTTCCGCTAATGTTGAAATTTTAGATATTTTCCCTATCCTGTTAATCATAAGAAGTGATTCATCAACTGTAAGAAATGATAAGAAATGATTTGTTAATTATAGAAAAAAGCATTTTAGAAGATAATGGAAAGAAATTGAAGAACAGACAATAAAAGTAATAATTGGAATAATGAAAATAGCAAATTCAATCAGAAAATTTCTAAATCTTTTTGAATATTTCTCGCATAGAAATTGGTCTTGTAAGATTGTGAAGAGAAAATGAATGAAAACTGTCATTATGTATAAATTTTAACTTACATTTACACATAAATGTTTATTTATAGTAATATTTTAAAAGTAAACAAAACATTATGATATTGTCAAATAACAATAGAAATTGATTGAATTTTATACTAAAAAAGAAAGATAAATAGAGTGGCAATAGAAAGTAGAAAGTCTGTGAGTGATATGTTAAGATAAATTTTAATTTCAGTTAAGATTTGATAGTGAAAAAAACTTTGAATATTTCTTTGCTCAAACAATGGATAAAGACAAAGCTGGCAATATGGAGTAGAAGGTATATGAGTGATATGTTGAGACAAATTTTAATTTCAATTAAAATTTGATGATGAAAAAGAACTTTGAATATTTCTTTGCTTAAACAATAGATAAAGACAAAACTGGCAATATGGAACAAAAGAAGGTATATGAGTGATATGTTAAGATAAATTTCAATTTCAATTAAAATTTTTATTGAAATTAAAATTTGATAATGAAAAAAACTTAATTGAAACTTTTAAATATTTCTTTGCTCAAACGATAGATAGAGCGAAAAATAAAATTCTGACCGATTCTGATTAAGAGTTCCAATTAAATATAAATAAATTTAACATATTCTTCCTTTTAACAGTCATATATTTGAATTGAAATTTAAAATATTTAATCCATCAAAGTTGGCGCATTTTTTCCGTTATATTTTTGTGATATTTAATTAAGCATTAAGAAAATAAACTTGATCTAATCACATAAAGAAAAAATTTAATACTGTTAAAAGACGAAAGATAAACATAATTTTTCGTAAAGTGAAGCATTATCAATCAGTTCATATAGTAATGATAATGATAAGAAATGTAAATATCCATTAGTAAATATCATTAAACTATATCAATCATCAAAGGAATATTCATCAATGCAGCATTCTTCAATAAGTATTCAATTACTATAGGATTCTTCATAATTGCAAATTGAAAATACATGCAAAAATGCAAGTTAGATGCATAATTTATATATATATCAGATGTATATGCAAAATATTCTCTTTAATATAGCATTCTTTAATAAGTTCTTAAATACTATAGCAATTTGCTCATAGTTGAAAATGCAAGAATGCAGATTAAATGCAAGTTTAAAATGCATGCAAGAATGCAGATTAAATGCATAATTTGTGACATATCAGATGTATATGAAAATATTCTTCCCATATGAAAGCTTCCAATAATTTTTTATTCGTTTATTTTTTAATTAACGAATAAAATTCAGAAATTTCTTCAAAATGAATCCTTAAATTAGCTATTTTTAATAGAGAACTAAAGAAAAAAAGAATGATAAAATAGAGCGAAATAATAGTGAAAATGAGGAAATTTTAAAAACTTCAATAAAATAATAATAATGATAATAATGATAACAATAATAATAAAGCACATCCTCTTCAAATAAAGATATTTGTTTTGAAATTCTTCAAGTGAACTTCCATTTTGCTATTTTCATTTCTCATTCAATGCCTTTTTTTACTTTACTATTTCATTCCGAAACCTCTCTTTTCACATTTTCACCTTCACTCCTTCTTATTCCTATTTTTCCTACAATAACAAATAATTTGTTGTTAAAGATTGATTGATTAATTTTAACAAAATTATTAACTTAATATTAAATCGAAATTATCTAAATGTTTATAAACAATGTGATTGGATGAATGGTGATAATATTGATAATAATCATCGAGAAAATCTATCATTAATAGAATTATTGATAGAATGGGCAAGTAATTGGATGAATGATGATATGATAATCATTAAGAAAATCAATTGTTAATAGAATGATGATAGTGAGAGACAAATGATTGGATGAATAATAATATGATAATTTGATGATATGATAATTATTCAGAAAATCAATCGTTAATAGAAAATGGTGATAGAGAGGTGATAAGTGACATATTTATATAGAGAGGGACATAGGACATATCCATAAATGATCATAATCGATGGAACTTATATTGAAGCAAAACTGAATAAAATGTCTGCAACGAAAATGAAAAAATTGATTGTCATTTTGAGGAAACAATGAGTTTTCTCGGATGACATTTTCCATTTTTTCATCTCATTTCATAAAATTTGATTCGGATAATTTAACCTTTTATGTTCCAACTACCTAACAATAATATCAAAGCATAATTAGACATACTTTTGCATGCAAAGAATATCAAATGTAGCCAAAAATATACAGAACTCTATAATAGTAACGGATTAACCGGATTAGCAAAAAAATTGCCGGATAGTTAAAATAATTTAATTCGACGTTTTGTCTGCATTTTAATAATAATTAACCGGATTAGCATAATTTTGCCGGATAGTTAAAACAATTTAACTCGATGTTTTGTCTGCATTTGAATAACAATTAATCGGATTAGCAAAATTTTTCCGGTTAATTAAAGTAATTTAACTTGATGTTTTGTCTGCATTTTAATAATAATTTGATAATATCAAAGTATAATTAGATATACTTTTGCAGACAAAGAGTTTCAAATGCAGCCAAAAATATTCTCTATAATAATAACGAATTAATCGGATTAGCAAAAAATTTATCGGATATGTTAACATTTAGTAAAAGGTAAAGAGTGATAAATGAAATGATAAATGATAATTTTATTTATACCTTTTTTATATTTTCTTGCAAATATTTTATGCTTTAAAATTAAAATTATATATTATTTTGTATTATACAAATATTTATAAAATATAATATTGAAATCGTAATAAAATTACAAATTTTGATTGTTTGGAAAAAATAATTCTAATTGTAAGATTTGATATTTTAATTTATTATCCCATAATTCTATTAAGTAATATTTTAGATAGAAATAGGGAAGGAATGTGGACAATTTCCAACAATCCAAATTTCAATTCAAATTTAAATCTAAGAATTAAAATAACCCTCGTGATATTGATAATAAATTCCAAATATCAGTAATTTAATTTCATCATTTAACGAATGAATTTTAACCGTTGCTTTGATTTTAAAAATAAATGCTTGCATAGCTCTTTACAATAAGGAATTTTTACATTTAAAATTAACTTCAACTAATTTTTTACATCAAATATTACAAGATTAAAGATATTTTGCGATACAATTCTTTCAAATGATTTCAAATGAAATTGTTTGAGTAAAAAATTGAATGGAAAAATTTATTGCGATAAATAAACTTTATCGCAACGAAATTTCGTGGAAAAAGGAAAATTGAAATAATTGAAAAATCGAATATTATACTTTTAGGTAAAGAAATTGAGGATAATATTAGGAAGCATTCTTTTTTTTCTATAATCCAAAAGATAAATCAAACGATAATAAGAAATTATTCCTTCTTTCATAACTATTTCGTTTTTTTTAAATTTTTAAACAAATTTTTTTCTTTATAATTTTAATTTTTTGTTTGAAGATATTAGAAAATTTAATGAAATTACCATTTAATTGTTTCAGCGATAACAAGTAGGATTATTATTAAAGACAGATAAGTTAAAAGAATTTGAATATGAGGAAGAAACAAAATTTTATTTAAAAGAATACTAAATCATAGATGTACGATAATGAAAGATAAAGACAAGAGTTTTTTCAATTTTTTACATCCTCAAATAATATTAAAATTCTAGAATTAATTAAATATTACTTGCTTGTAATCAATGATTGCGATAGAAGCGATGATAAATTTAAATGATAAGAACCTATTCATATCATCAAAAAGATTAAAAATCAATCTGAACAGGTTGTCAGCACAGTATTTAAAAGTAAAAATAGAAAAGTTTCTAAATGGAAAACTTTGAATAACTTGAAATCTGCGAAAATTTTGGTCACCAAATGCTATTAAAACCAACGGGTGATCAAATTAAAATATGACGATACGAAATAAACGTAAGATGAATAGAAAATAGGCATGCAATGTAAATGATAGAAAACAAAACAAATTAGCAGTAGCTGTTGTTGATTCGAATTAAAGGTCAAAATTATGACCCGCAAATTACTCTCAACTAAATGATCTTTAGATACCACATATTACAAAAATTTGAACGAAGCAAATGAATGAATGGAAGGAAGAAAGAATGAGAGTTCTTCAAAATTTGAACCATATAAAAGAAAAGTATTAAAGTTCAAATTCAGATCAAATCAAAGGTAAGGTTATTGAGGTGCCGATTATTTTGCTGAAATGGAAAAAAAGTATACTTCACATTAGATTAAAAAATCATCTTATACTGTTTAAATCATTCCTATGAATCAAAAAGTGAAATAAATATTTTGCTATGCTATAATTTTAGAATTTGCAATGAAATGTTTATGGTGAAGGAAATACGTTGAAAAGAGTTGATTGATATGAACCTTTTCAACCTTTCTTTTTTAAATCAAGAAATATATATTCAAAAAGAAATTTCCATTCCTTTATACAATCATTAACAAGGTGGCAAGAATACAAATAGATAAAACCAACAATTTGCTAAATATATATGTATGATAAAACCAACAATTTGAATTATAAAAAAGGAACTAAAAAATTTTAGAAAAGAAAACCAAATTCAACTTTTGGAAAAAGATGGATGAAGAAAGAGTGATAGAAAAGTATAAGCAATTTTTGTTATTATGGAAATTTCGATGGGAATTGAAAGAAAATATTTGAGTGGAATAATAATGAGATAAAATTAACCACTTAAAGTTATATAATAAACTTCCTTGTCCTTTCTATGATTAAAATAATTTTTGTTCCACATTTTCATTTTTACACGAATCAAACATCTATCCTAAGCAAATTGAAAATTATAAAAATATCTAAATTTAATTGAAAAAGAAAAAATTAAATGAACATTTTATCTTTCCAGAAGAGGAATAGAATTAAAGAATGTAAAACGATTATAACAATTTTGTTTCTTTCTTGTTTGTCTAAATTTTCGTAACAACTTGTTTGAGCTGATCAATCCTGCCGTTTTCTGAATTTCATTGTTTTTTTTTTAATGAGAAGGAAAAAAAGAATCTGAAAGTGCAAGAGAAGTTTAAACTTAGCTGCTGATGAAAATATCACGAATAACAGATCCATTCAAATGTTTGGTATTTATGTTCAATTTTTCAATATTTTTTCTTAAATTGATCGAATAGGATCCGGTAATTTCAGCCAATGAAAAATTAGGTGATTAATAAGGCAAACGAGATTGACGAGCTTCTTTCATTCCATAAATTACTTAATTTTTGATTGCAACAACTGAAACATAAACATAACATCAATCATTCCCTATTTCATTATAGACGGATATGAATTTATTGTTTACCTATGAGATTTCAATAATAATTAAAAATGAAAAAAAAAGAAGAAGCAATTTTCACAATTGTTTTTTAACCCTCATTGAATATGAGCAATTCACCGGAAAATTTTGGGAATATGTTGATCGTAGATACCCATGAAACGCTATCTTCTTTCTCTTAACAGAAATCCTACTGGAAGAAATAAAAAGAATCTTACTAAATAGGAAGTTTCAGAAAATCAAAAAGTACGTTCTAAGAAAAAATCAATTAAACCAAATGTACATTTATAAATTAGTCTATAATGTTCAAAAATTGTAAAGTCATTATAAGATTATGACATAAGAATATGAACAGGTTGTAATGTACACAGGAACAAAGATCAATTCAATTTTTCATATACAATTTACAACAAAAAAATAACAATATGATAAAATAACTATAACTGCATAATGATATTCCATGAAAATGATGAAAAGACAATGCTAAATCGAAAAAGACTTCATTTTAATATATCGAAGCTTAGAATCTACGCAACTGTTTGCAGTTTGCGCCAGTCGATGGAATTACCTGAAAACATTATTCTCCACAAGGTAATTTCTTCATTATTTTATTATTAACTTATGGAATACCATGTTTCAATGGCATCTTTTCAAAATTTTAGTGGTTTTTTGTAGTATTTTCGAAAAGTCAAAGAACAACTGAAATGAGTCAAATCAAATCCATAACTATACCAAGTTTATTTCTGTTCTAAGATAAAACAACTAAAAAAAGTGACCTCCCTGACCGCATTTTTTAGATTATCCTGCGTGATTAATAGCTGTTCCTCAGGTAACACCATTCCGGCTTCCACAGCTCTAATTCTCTTCCGTATTGCATCCATCTGTGCATGTGAAATTATCGCATGTAAATCTGCTCCTGATGACAAATGATCACAGGACTCTGCCTGCAGAGCAAGTTTTTCAAGAAATACGTAAGACTGTTTAAACCAAAAATTTGAGCAGAACTGAATGTGCCCAAAAATTGCTCATAGCTGTGATTATGAATTCAAACTGCTTGCACAAAAATTGTGTACCTAGGAGATGATCAACATATTAAAATGTTATCTATTTTAACAGAAATCAAACTTATTTCAAACATATTTTTTAAGGCGACATTTATGAATCATACTGGAATGTTCAGTAACTATGTCAACCATTCTTAATATTTTTTCACTAAACCATGAGAGTCTATTTAAGAATAAATTAACTCAATCATGACACACAATTTCTTTCAAATCGACGTCATCGGTAAATGTGATATTTCGGCTAGCTGCACGGAGTATACGTTCACGTATTACAACATCCCTTGCTCCACATACTTCAATAATTTTATCAAATCTTAAAGTAAATAAAGAATAAATAAAATGAGAAGTGGTGAAAACGAATAAATTTAAATAAATAGAAATTTTCATTTGTTAGAACGGATGAGCTGTACAAAAGTCATTGAATTACGACAGAATATAATATAAATTTTCTGAATTACCTTCCTGGCCTTAGTAACGATGAGTCTAACAAATCAAGCCGATTCGTGGCACCCAAAACAAAGATTTTTGAATCTGCCAAACAGTCCAATTCTATAGTCAATTGTGACACAATGCTGAAATTAAATAATTTTTATAGTGTAAATGATAATACACTGCAAAAGTTATAAAAATGGATATTTTGAATTATACAGTCGACAAACATACTTATCAACTACACGACTAGAATCACCGCAACGGCCTCGTTTGCAAGCAAGAGAATCGAGTTCATCGAAGAATAACACGCAAGGTTCAGCCATTCGAGCTTTCTCAAAAACTAAAAAAATTGATTTAAGAAATTTCAAAGATCTGCAATACTTTCATCACTCTGATAACTATTTGGTTCACTCTTTGAAACTCGGTAACATTTAACATGATTAGAGTGTACCATCAATTCAGATTGCTAAAAAACACTTCACCTTTACGAACGTTTGCTTCGCTCTGGCCAACATACTTGTTAAGAAGCTCAGGTCCCTTTACACTCAGAAAAGTTATTTTAAATTGATTTGCGATAGCTGCAAAATAATAGCCAAAATATTTCCAGTGCTTTAATATTAGAAAAATCAACGCAAATCCAAATAATACATTTTGCCTTCTTATATAAACTTATTGTAGTTAAATGAAAAACAAAAAATATACAAATTAAAATCCATAATCCTCGATTTTTAAGAAAGTTTAAACTTTTGAGCAAATATGATCATCAATTAGAGTCCCAATATCATTGTTGTTTGTCGCTTTATCAACTAAGCTCAAACCTTTAGCAATGAGTGTTTTACCACAACCAGGAGGACCGTACAACAAAGCACCACTACGTTTCATATTCTTCTTCCCTTGCAAATTCAGAATTAAACTTTCAATAACAACTTGCTTAACATCGTCTAATCCGCCGACATCGTCCCACGTCACTTTTGGAATCTTAAATTTGTCTATGCATGAAGCAGAAAAACTATAGTTTTAAATACACAGTTCTAAACCTATAAATAATAATATTACTCCTTAAAATCCCAAAGAATTCAAGAAATTAAAGGTTTATCTTTTCCAAAAAATTTTTTTTTATTAACTAATCTGCTTTTCAAATTCTCGAATGGTGGATGGTCAAAGTTAAGAGAAATGGAAAGACGAATTAAAATATAAGGATGATGAACTAAATAAGGCAAATTAAAATAATTACTGATATATTAATCACAGTCTATAATAGCAACCCCAAAGCATTCAAAATTCGAGTTCTTTTTGTGGTTTTCTTATATTTCAGTTGGATTATAAAGTTAGTAGTTCTCTTTCATCTATAATCTTTTCAAATCAATCTGAAAAGCTACTCATTGACAACTTACAATGGGTGCTCCAACTTTATCAGCCAATCGCTTGTTACGTGTATCAATTGCCCATATGAAATGCTCAGTCATTAGCTTCGGTCTATAAAAAAGAATTGTAAATACTTGAAAAGATCATGTATCCTGATTGCCCTTCTCTGAATAGTATCAAAAAAACTCACGAATTTGTAGTGTCTTTACGAAATGATGCATCCGATAATAGAGAATGCAGATCGGATAAAGTAAATCCCTGAAATTTAGCAAATTATGGGTATTGTTTATTTTCAATTTGCTGCTATTCAGACTTCTTTGAATTGAAGAAACTCGACTTGCTTAAAATGTTAAAATGATAGATATAATAAATTTCAAAGAAAATGGTAAATTTCAATGAAAAAAAAAAATCTTGAACAGCTTACACTTGTTTGGTGCGTGATAGCAGAAATATCAATGAGATTTGAGTCATCAATTTCATGCATAATTATGGATTTTCGATCTTCTTCGGTTAGTAACGGGATTTGGAAGTGATAAAGGATTAGAGAACGTAGTGATGCCGGTAAGGTTGATAATTTGTCGGAATTACAAACCAAAAATACAGCAGGTATGGTGGAAGTTCTAAGAAATTTTGTTAAACATACCAACCCTCGAGTATCTGCAAAAAAAACTCGATATCAAAATAAATCAAACTTGTCGCTAAAGCCATCAATGCTCGCAAAAAATACATTGCAGAAATCTACTAATAATTATCAACTCAATAGAGAGATAATTATCATTGTAAAATAAAATTGACATTAATATTATGCTAAACAAGGATTTGCTCCGATCTTTATGATAGAAGTTTACAATATTTACCCAGGAACATTTTTCTTAATTCACTAGCATATATTGTAAGTAAGCTCAAGCATTTGCTCAACAAAGTTTTTGGCACAACATTCATCCATTGAACTTTAGGACGAACAATCTGATCGTTTAAAATTTCAAGTTCTGTTAAACAATAATGACTTATTCCTTCAAAATAAGATGCATAGCAAATGTCTCTGATATCTAATTTTGAAATAAAATGAAACTGTTGCAGTCAAGAAGCACGTTACTCAGAGCATCATTTTCAATATAACCGAAAACGACACTAGGAAGAAAAGTTACTAAGATTTGCTGTTACGATTTGCTAAAGTTTAAATAAAATACCTTGCTTAGCGCCATCTGAGTCGTAACCAAGTAAATCTGCATTTAGAAGAGCCAACAATGGAAAAAATTTTGCTGAAGCTATAATAATTGCTATATATATATATATATATATATAATGGTTTAAAAAATGAACAACTGAGAACTAAGTAAATCAATATTCACCAATTTGAATTTAAAATTGAATTGAGCAAAAAAAGCGAAACATTTGCGAGATTCGGAAATGTAGCTAAAAAAAACCTTTTTCAAAAGCATTACGAATGTTTGTTTCGTAAGTCCCAGATGCATCGCTCCAAATATCAAAACAGTTTGAGAAGCAAATATCTAAATGTACCAGAGACGACAAGTGCTTTAGGAACAATTTTTTTCCAGAACCTGGTAAACCACTGAGAAGTATAACCAGAGTTGATGAAGGTGTTTTCAAATCACAATTGGCTTTGATCAAAGAAGAAATTCTTTGCGCTATTCCTAAGAATTTTTCTGGTATGTAACATGTAATATCACTGTATGGGATTTTATCGTAAATCTCTTTATCCTGCAAATACGAACAGTGTTATTCGAAGCAAATTAAAGGCAAAGCTAACTCTTTTAATTCAATGGAAAAAGGTAGGGATGTCAAGTTTTGTTTTTAAAGATAAGAAAGAAAGCCTTATGAATATATTCACAAAATTCGTAGTACTATGGAATGCCATTAAAATGGGAGAGCTATAAAATTTGTTGAATAATATTTCGCTATGAAGAAGCCAAATCCTAATAACTAAGTGGAAAGAAAACCTTAGAAAAATAATTAAAACAAAGATGAAATCATTTTTTTCTTCGTGCAAGAAAAGTTGATTATCACAAAACCTGATATAATGTTGTGTTTTGTGAATCAACTACAGCTTCTAATGGTTTCTCCGAATCTTCAAAATAAAGGACCTAAAATATAACGTTTGCACAAAATTAAGAGATCACCAATAAAAACTCTCAAAAAGAAGAAACAGAAGTCAACTTTTTCGAAAAGAGCAATTTCAAATGCAGTTTATTCATTCAAATAAATGCTCATTTACAGCTTTCAAAAATTAATGCTGATCTACAGTTTATCCTAAGAAGTATTATATTACCTTGAAAAATATCTCTTTCACTTTTTTGCTCCATGGTTTACGCCAAGGAATAGCAATGATATCTCCTACCGCAACCAGTCTAAAAAAATGTACACACCATTTCCATAAAATTACATCAATTGCAGAGCATATAAATTTACGAAATCTAAATCTTATCAAAGCGTAATTTTCATAAAATCGTAAGTGATAGAAATAAACAGATGTTCATCTAGAATACAGCAGATTAAGAGATTAGAACAGGGAAGGACGTTATTGCAGCTATAATCAAAAAGCCATGGAAGCACCACAGTGGTGCAATGAAAGCTTGATTTATGATGCAGCAACTGCATTGATATTATGGAAATACCTAGAAAGCCATGACCTTTTTCCATTACAATGTTGCAGCATTGTCATTTGCAATAAGTGATAACATGTATGGAAATTTCTGCTAATGATTGAATGAGAGCAAAAGAAAATAACAAAAATATAGACCTTGGTGTTTGAAAATACTCCCGAAGTTCGTCAGAATAATCAGACCTTGGGTCGTAGAAAGATGTAATAATTAAGGCAATATGAACACCGCATGAAACACATAGTTCTGCTTTATCGGTAACATCCGAAGAGCAAGAAGTCTAAAAATAACGTAGTTCTTCACCAGTTCGAACGAAATATACAGAGCACATCAATCAGTATATTGTTATGGAAATATATTATACTTTCAGTAATCTCGGATCTCTAATACTCTAGCTCCAATTACCGCGATATTAATTAGTAGTATTTGCATCATGCAATGCTTGTCTCAAAAGATTAAGAAAAAGATTTTCTTTGTAATTATAAAAAAGAAATAGGACGAGAAATTTATTATTGTAATGAGTACAAAAATGCAATGTAATATAACCAACGTCATGATATAATGGGAACCGATGCTGAGAATAACTAAAACTGCATTATTCTTCATCAAATAATAGTCTAAACCGCTTAAAAACATAGCAGAGAAAAATAGAAAAACATAGCACAGAAAACTAAAATAGATATAGGTAATAGGTAGTATGTAATTGTGAAAATTCATTTTTTATAAAACCTATAGATATAATTTTCGAACTCAAATAAAGCCGCATATCATATATAATCAAAATAGTGATACATGACCCTATAAAACATGATTATGAGTTTGAAAGGACTAACTGAAGAGAAATAACTTGAATGATCGGATCAAGAATTTTTTTGGAGTCTATGACAGTAGAGTACTGCGCTAACTAATCAAGCAGTTTTTATAAATAAGTTAAAATGTGGAAGTGCAAAAAAAACCTCAATTACTGCATCCTCAAGACGAAGTCCTCTATTTGAAAGATTAAATGCACCAAGATCATCGATAAAAGCAACAGGTTCGTCACATAATACTGGATAAATTTCGACAGGATATATAATTACTACTTTTCGAGCATCGCTGTTACGACTTTTAGCAATCAACTTTTTCACATTTTTGAAATCAGCTGTAATGAGAGAAGCATAACGACAACCGATCCATATTGCTGTTCCAGAGCTGAAAATATTCCCAGCTATAAAATGGGAGACATCTGAATTAAACTAATATCCTATATCAGCTTTAAAATGGAATAGTCTTGCAGTAAAATTCTCGAAACATTGATAAATAACTATATCAAATTATCAACAAAAACTTTCATGATATGATGCATTGAACAATAAAAAATGTTTTCGCCACATTCAACAATTTAATATCATTTTTTTCTGGAACTTTTAGATTAACGACTTCCTAAATAGTTAATACAATGCGTTTACCAGCAATAAAAATTGAATAAGCAACTTGATAAATTTTGACAATGGTAAAGTAATATCCCTTTAATCCACTTTTTGGTTGCAACTATCGAAGAAAACGACTTTTCAGGCTATATCCAATAGGATAGAATATCGAAACCTGTGATGTCCATAACGACAACGCTTTTTCCTGATAGAAATTTGCTGACCACTGCGATACGTCCAGATGCACCGACCCGGACTTTCTTGTGACTGCTTGATGTACAATAGTGCCAAAAATTGTGCAAGCTTATAGTAAAGCAAAATCCGCTTATGTCGCTTCATAATTATTCAAAAAGACAATAGTCTGAGATTTAAAAAAGAATTAAATGCGAATAAATCGAAGAAAAACCTTCAACATGGTGATGACTTATTGTTAGTGTGCACGCAATGATAAACTAAGCGCAAAAAGTGATAAGTTGCTTTAAAATTCGGTAGAAATATAATCTATGTTAATAATATAAATCATCTATGTAATAAACATTCAGAGAACCTTCCAAATTCCAATTTTAAGACGACCTATTCCACTGGTAATATCATGTTATGTACTTAAATATGAAAAATTATGATGCAGTCACGTAGGAGGCAAAATTGTATCAAAAGTTTTATTTTATAAAATAACATGATACAGTATGAAAAATGAGCAAGATAACGTCAAGCCATAAGAAAATATTCTATTTAACAAACAGTAATATATGCGGTAAATTATTGCAGTGTGGACAATCTCACTTTGCGCGGAACTTTCCCGTACATTATAATGCCACGCTATAAAAACCAGCCTATTTTATCAGGAATGTTCTTACACACAACTATAACATATACAATATCGTATAAAACTACAGCGATTTTCTGAACGTATGACAAGCTGATCAAATAAAAAACATAAAAATGAATAATGAGTACGTTTTGAAATATGATAAAATAAAAACAATGCATAATATTGGGCAATATTATGGTTTTGAAAAGTACAGTAATAAAAGATGAACTCACCCGATCTGTGCGAAAGAAGCATGGGAGAGTTAATCACGGGATCCAGCATAAGTTAAAAAAATAATAGTAATAACCGTAATGCGTGGAGATATTGCATGTAAACAATTATTATATATACGTAGAAATGCAAATAATGAGTATACATTAAATTCCTGTGAGCACAAAGTACAATGCATGGAATTGTAATAAACAAAGAAGTTTATAAAGAAGAAAGAGAAGTATTAAACGGGAAGAGAAAGTATAAGTTTATAAACATTCTCTGTTGATCTAATCAACTTACACATAAAGAGTTTTGACTTAAAAGCTTGATCCTATATTAAACAGGATTTGATATATAACGAAAAAATCGAAACAATCTCTTATCTGTGAAACTTCCGAGGGTGACTTAGACATAATATTTATTCATGGTTCCATGTTTCAAGCATATTTTGACTCATACACTTACCCAGAGCTGCATGACTAATTTGGACACTGAAATTTATGAGATACTATGGAATTTCATGGCACCCCAGCAGAAAGCATAAGCTCTTGGGTGTTCGGGAAAACAATATGAAAAGCTGGTATAATTTCCAATTCTTTCTCGATTTAGATATATTGGAAAGTATCGTTATGTTGCCGTTACAAAAAAGTCTCGTTACATTTTACAATAATGTTAAAGAGAAAATTATCCATGTAAAGAGAAGATTAAATGTAATGTATATAATGCACAGATGAAAAGCTTCAGCAGTAACAAAGAGCTGAGGACCATTTCCGGCTATTGACAACCACAATCACGTACTTGCATATCCTTGTAGCGTTTCAGTACCACATTTTGAGCATTATCAATGAATAATATTTTCATTGAGCGTAACGACGAAGGTGCACATTTTGCTTCTGATGTTCTGCAAATACGACATGACAATATGCAAAAATATTAAACACCTATTTTTATCGTTCAACAGGAATTCAAAACATGACTGCAAGAGACCTCTTATAAAGAGAGGGCTATAATTTCAAGACGAAACAGGATACAAAAATGATAGGATATTTTCGAGAAATGGAAATAATAGACAAGTTCCGAGACGTGAATTACTAAGACATGCTTCTGGGACAAATAAAGAAAGCATACTATTTCAGATCGCACAGGAAAGGAATTCTCTATATCATATGCATGAAGAATAGTTTTGGACATGTAGTAAAGATATAAAATTCTGCTTTTTCATATAATGGATTTAACCCTCAGCCACATATGAATCCTAATTAGTTTAACACTTATTCAAATAACATATTTTTATTACGCCGCTTATACGCAATTGAGCATTAAAAAATAACATTCTTCGTATTTCAATAATTAACTTTCGAAAAATTTCATCACTTTCAATTCTCAACTTGTAACGACAATGATGTGATAAAGAATATGGATGTTTCGTTAGACACACTGCACTTATTACATTTTTATTAAATACTTCACATTTATATCATCGATATCAAAAATTAATATAGTGAAATTTTTTTTCTCTGCATATAATTGGAAAAAAATAAAATGGAAAATGAATTTATTTAAACTATAATAAACATGAAATAACAGAATAAGAAAAACGAATAGTATTGGAAATCCCATAATCTCAAAAATATCAAATACTTGCTCACAAAAACTGAATTCCAATACAAAATGAGCAAACCTGGTTGGATCGATAAGATGAACAAGTGTTTGAACAATAGCATGATTCGTTGCATTCATATGATTATTCAGTGGAAATGAACAGAAACCGTCACAATAATATGCGTGATAACCGTCTGGTGCAATAACCCAATCCTACAGTATTCTCAAAAAATCACTGCAGGTTGTAATTGTATATAATTAAAATTACAGAAATTTTGTAAGTCAGAAAGATCACCGGTATTTCAGTACAGCTCTCATTATGCCGTTATGTTTCAGTCTAGCTTTCGTTATGTAAAACGGCTGACCAATACCATCTCGAAAATTCCCATAATTGTGATTAGATTGTTTTGCTAAAAAAGCAAAAATTCAGCACTCACCTGCCAACCAAGATCTTTGAAGTCCACGTAAAGTGTTCGCCTACGACAACCTTTATTAGAAGCTGAAAACAAATCAAATAAAAGAGTAACTGCATAAAATAAAGCATACAAAAAATATTTGGCATCAAAAAATAAAAACAAAGCAAAAAATTTTTAAACCTGCCTGAATGTCGTAGTGGATCAGGCCTTGCCGAAAAGCCATATCCGTAATCATCGAAAACATTAGCTTCATCAGGTACATCACGTTTAATGCGCTGGTGGATATGATTTCCACCGTCCACAAAGGAAGCTATTCCAAACCCACGCCATTCACCAAAATTTTCCAAAAGCTTCCTCTCTCCTGAAGTTGTCATAAAAGATGCAAAAGATCTTTAAACTAATTATTAATAAACTGAAGTTCATTAAAATTGTTTCCTCTCACTTATCTCACTTTCTAACCTAGAAAGTAAAGCAACCTTTTCAGAAACTGAGTGAAATTGTGTTCTTTTTAAATCTAATAAAGGTATGTTGAAGATTAAATACAAATTTTCAAACTAAACAAACGCACCATGCGCTGAGACTGCATACAAAGTTACGATACTAAGAATTGATCGATTATGAATCCATTGTAGGACTATTTCCGTAATATTTATGATAAAATGTCCACTACTTGATATACGTGCTTCGACCGTCGTTGTATAACTTAGATCTCTAAACATGTAAATTAAAACATCGATTTTATAGAGATAGTCAAGATTAATAAAAACTTTTCAATATTAGTAAGCAAGTTCAAACCAGTTTTTGTTAGATCTTAGTGTTGCATAAAAAGTTGCCACTAATAAAAGTAGAAGCAAAAGTTTTCTGATGAAGTACTGGTTCACGATACGCCATACGATTTAGATCTGTGACTGCTCGGAACTGTTCGTGAAATTAAATCCGAACCAGTAAGCATTACAAAGTGGGAAAAATTTCTGTTGAAAAGTAATCATCAGCACCGGATTCCTGAAAACTTTTAATTATTTTAATAATTTTTGTCGCAGCAAAACCTTAAATATGGGACGGTTGCGAAAATGCGTTGTGGTTTCATCGAACCATTAAAGAATATCCGAAGTTCAGCATGCACAAGCTGGCCACCTATCGGTATGTTAGCAAGATCGAACTGCAAACTTGTCCCATAATTTGGTACTGTTCTCTGCTCTGAAATAATACTCCTGCCGCAATGTTTGAAAATTCTAATAGCAATACTTCATCTCAAAATAGTTCAATTACTCTAATATTGGAGGGCATTAATGAATGATGATTAATGATATTCCGCACCGATGAATGATAGTCATAATTGAAATGTAAAGATAAAAGGTGAAGAAGAATTAAAACATATGTTCCCAGTTTATGCTCCGAAAGCCCATTATAGAATGAAACAAAAATTTATTTCAGTGATAAAAACGAGACTATTGGTATATATTACTACCTCGAGGTAAGAATGAAACAATTGTATCAGCTTCGCCTAATTCAATAGCTTCTTTCTCATCAGCTGACAATAACTCCCCACTGGCCAAATACCTAAAGTGCGAACCAAACATTTTCTTCACTTACAACTTGTAATGCAAAATGGAAGAAAAATTTTCTGAAAAGAGACCGATGGATTTAATGCCTAACAATCTCTTCCTATGTAATTAAATCGAATGACTCATTCTTTATAGATGCAGTATTCACACCGTTTTTTAGAAAATTTTGTCTCCTTTTAGCAATTTCATCTTTTAACAACTACCTTTTTAAATCAATTCCTTAATTCAAGAGATAATTGAGAGAAAATGTCAATACTTGTAAGCAGGATTCAACTCTACGTCATGTTCCAAGTTCCGGTATAGATCTGCCATAAAACGAGAAGCTATGTCATCCTTTACACCAGTGACTAGCGGTCGTGGATATTCAATTCCCAATAATTCCAATATTTTCGATTCCAATCTCGCACTTCCATGTCTAAAAGCCTTTGATAAAAGAAAATTTTTTTTGCAAATGTATTATTTATTAAAAAGTTTAGGAAACAGGTTCCTCCATTTTGTGATAGATGTATTTCACTGTATCAAATGAAGTTAACAGTATGCAGCACACCTATATAAAGTAAATAGATACTGTACGATAATTTATCTTACAGTCGCAGCATATAGAAAAAATACAAAGAATCTAACAGCATAATAAAATTCAAAAGAGCAAAGAGTCTAATAACATAATAAAATGCAGAAAAAATTAAAATGAGAGATGAAGAATGAACTTTTTCTTACAGTAGTATAAACGACCTCATTCACCGCTATATTTCATACATTATTTTTATCTATTCAAATTAATACAAATTATATTATGTAGGAATTTGGACATCATGTACAAATTAAAATCACGTAAGAATATTTAACAAAGTTTTTTTGCTTCTCTGCATCATGCTTTTCATGCTTTTGCTTTTCTGCATCAATTTCTGCATCCAAATATTCTAGCAGATTTGAGAAAACTGCTAAAGACAAAAATCTTAAATAATTGGCAGATTTAATTTTAAACGAATAAAGAATTATTAGATTTCGTCTTTTCCGGATCTGTACATGAGTCTAAACCCACATATTCTCTTCAGTAGTTCAAGAGTTTTAATATTATAACAAAAGAAAAACAAACATTAAAATGTAAAATAACATTCCCAACATTTTACCGTCTTAATTTTGAAAGATGATAGTTTTATGTTATAAGGCAAAAATCTAGAGAAAACCGCTTCACTCGTGGCATGAAAAGCACTCGATATGATACCGAGGACTTCATCGAAATTTTCGAAGATGGAGTTAAAACTTTGGTTTACCTATCTAAGAGAGTGATTTTTGACCATTAAATCTGCATGTGATAAGCTAATTCATGACTAACTGATAAAATAACATGACTTTCTTTTAATAAGTATTGATTTCATCTTCATTTGCTCCTGAAATGAAGGAAAAAGCCTGAAAACCTGCTAACAGCAAGTGGTATCGATTGCGCATTCTCATTGTCTACATAAAAGCCCACTGATGCTTGTGTAATACTGAAACAATAAACGGATAGGAACAGCACTGACAGAAGCAATCGATTATCGCAGTCCATCTGAAAATCGAATAACAAACGATTCAATAAAATACAGACAAAAGATTAGCAGAGTTGCAGAAGTTGTGGCGGTTTACCAACAATCCTATTTCATCACGCCAGCATTTAAGCAGAAATCTTATCTCCTCATCTTCTTTATAAAGTACTTATATTCTCCAACAATTCTACAACTTTTTGGAATTTCTTTTACTGCTCTTTTACTATTGCATAACTGAATAACACCTTTATCTTGAATTTAATAACCTTTTCTTTTCTCACTGACTGCTACATTTCCAGTAGAAAATATAAACAAGACAACACCGTGACCTCTGACTCCAGAACTACGTAAATGGGTCATCTGAATCTCGCAAAACATTGATAGCGTTCGAGTCGTCGCATACGCTGCAAAATCTTGTAAGTGTCTTACAATTCACTTACGGATTACTGTATCTGCTTCCAGATTGTTCTCGAATGAGTGGGGCGGGGCGTTTAAGACATTTATAGTACAGGCTTGATTTTATGGTAGATGGTCAGGTCGGTTGCGTTCGGGATGGTGTCAGCGATTCCGCATTAGTTTGGATGAAGGGAAGTTCGAGGTGTCGAGTATTCACCCGCCTGGATGAAGGGAAGTTCGAGGTGTCGAGTATTCACCCGCCCTGGAGAATAGGGAACCCGGGCTTCCAAGAAATGCCGGACTTGGACAGAAACTTATGATGTTAATGCTCCGAATAATCGGTTGTTCGAATTGCTCATTGAATTTATTTAGTGACAACTTATGACATTCCCCGACCAGCACTCTCTGAAACTCCATTTTTACTGCTCCATTCTTCTTCCGATACCATAATAGAACAATCACTGAGACCGTATTAAGAAGAATCTTTCCAATCAGTAGTCACTGATGGATCTCCTACGATATATGATGAAGCGTATTAAATAGATGCTCATAAATGATCCGTAATATTTCCATTTTAATAAGAAATTCGAAAGATAGCACTGTATGAATAAAGTTTTTTTTTTTTTTTTTACTGGCAACGTTTATTGAAATAGTTAAATGTAATAAGTAGAAAATATTGATTTATACGTTATTTATGCGGTGCTCTTCTAGTTTTCTTCGTGATTTCATATAATTTGTGCTTTTCCAGGTGACATAAACAACAATAAAACGTGTTGATAGTGAAAGACAGTATTCTTGGTGAACAGTATGGCAGAGGTAGTTTATTTTCCTGATTATAATCGTCCGAAAGAATTTTTCTTTAATGAAGTATGCCCTAGTTTTTGTGGGAAATATGCAGCGATATCCATCTGTTGAGCTTACATTGCAGGCTTTAAAAGAAAAAGAGCTTGGTAATACAGCGTATAAACAGCGGAACTTCGATGAAGCAATAAAGCATTATGATAAAGCTATCGAGCTTGATCCTGCGAGTATTGTTTTTTATAACAACAAAGCTGGTAAGATTGATTTAAAATTTAAAGACGGACAACGTTTTAATTTTTTCTTCGATTGCTCCCATTATTACATAACAACTCAGTAACGCATTGGTCAAGGAGGTGTGATTTTATATGTTTGTGTCTGAAAATTTTTGGATTGATCTTTTCTGATGTGCTTTATATCATAGCTGTTTGGCTTGTTATTGTAACGATTCATTTTAATCTGTTAGATGGACAAACCGTAAAAGTGGAAATGCAGCAGGCATTAATACTTTCTTTGCTCTGGATTAGATAACATGGAGCTGAAACGAGGGACACAATAGAAATTATATTCATTATTGTAGCGGTGCTTTTCGAGCAGAAAAAGTATGACGAGTGTATCGAACTGTGCAAGAAAGCAGTAGACATTGGGCGTGAACAGCGAGCCGACTATATTCATATTGCAAAGTAAACTATTTCAAAAGATTTGAATATGAGGAATCTTCTTTCATTCAAGCATATGTAAATATATAGAAGGATGTTTTTGCATTATTATGTTCAAATTAGAGATTTACTTTTAACAATGCATTAAAGCGGTCTTGCAGGGCTTTTTCCCGGATAGGGAATGCTTACTTGAAATTGGATCAGTTGAAAGAAGCACTTACCTATTTCGATAAATCGCTGTCCGAACATAGAGATCCGGTAAGATAATTTCTACACTTTTTTGGTTTCTAAGGTATTCAGTGCAGTGCATACCTGATATCCGTTTTTTATTGGATATGGAATTTAATCAGTAATGGTTTTTATCATAAACCGAGTTAGCCACTTATCCGTATGCTCCTCTTCGTTTTCTGATTGAGCTATCAGTAATAGGAATTTTATATTACAGTATATATAACTTAAAAGTTATATGAATTTCAGGAAATAGTGAAAAAGAAGAAAGTGTTGGAAAAAGACTTAGCTGAGAGAGAAAGATTAGCTTATGTAAATCCGGAAATAGCGGAAAAAGAAAAAATCAAGGGCAACGAACTTTTCAAGCGAGGCTAGATTTTTTTCAGATTTTCGGATTATTGCATTGTTTGTAGATAAGTTAAATTTAATAATAAGCATTCGCAGCTGCCCTTGACATATGTTGAAATGGTATATTATTTCTCGGTATTCACAGCACGGAAAGTCAATTCTGCAACAGTTAGATAAATATTTCAGATTCATTTTACTTTTTACAATCAAAGGTTCTTTAGGTAAATATCCAGAAGCTATGAAGCATTATAACGAGGCCGTGAGGCGAGACCCTGAAAATCCTGTTCTTTATTCAAACAGAGCAGCGTGTTACACAAAATTAATGGAATTTCAGCGAGCACTTGAAGATTGTGATACATGTATCAAGAAAAACCCGACCTTTAGTAAGCTTATGGAATTTGTGTTATCTTTTATTGGAAAAAAATTTTTATGGAATTATAAGAAAAATTATAATTTTTTGGAAAATTGTTAATTTGTGCCTGAAAATTTATTATATTATGTATATATTTTATACGTGCCATGTTTTTATTTTCAGTAAAAGCCTATATCAGGAAGGGCGCGGCTTTAATCGCACTTAAAGAATATGGTAAAGCGCAGAGCGCATATGAAGCAGCTCTTGCATTAGATAACAATAATCAAGAAGCTCGTGATGGTTTAATGAATGCAATGAGCAACAATAATGAAGATCCAGATGCTGCACGAGAGCGTGCATTACGGGATCCAGAAGTACAAGAAATACTCAAGTTCGTTTTTATCAGATGTTTTCATGACATAAGAGACCGTACTACTGTTTTTTCTTTTGGCTATCTTTTCAGTAATCTTTTTGGAGTTTGTTCAATTCATAACAATCAGTCACTTTCAGGGATCCAGGTATGCGGCTGTTGCTGGAGCAAATGAGTCAGGATCCTGGGGCAGTACGTGAGCATCTCCAAAATCCAGATATATTAAGAAAACTTATGAAACTACGGGAAGTGGGCATTATTAAAATGCGATAAGAATATTTTGCATTCATTATTGCACAGTAAATGTCCGCTCCACTGGAGAGGTTTTATTTCCATCTTTGTTGGATCTCTAGAAAATTTTCGTGGTTTGCGTTTCATAAATATTGAATAAAAAATTAAGGATAAATGAAAGTTCTAGATGTTAACATGTTAACAGGTTTTGTGAAAAGGGAGATCTTAAAATTTTGATGAGAGCGGTGTACCTTTCTCGTTGTCCTTGCTTATTCTGGTAGTATCATTCTTTCATTTTTGTTTATTTTTTAATATGTGACTTTCGTTTTGTTTTATTATTATCTTGCAATAAAAACTATTTCTTTCATTCGGCTATTCATGGAATCTCAGGATTATTTGCATATGATACGACAAAGTATGCCAAGAATGGAAGACATCATAAACTCTCTAGAAAGGTTTTGTGATTGATTTCCATATTATTTAAATGCCAAAATGTACAGGATTGTGCTCAGTTTTATTGTTTCGGTTAAACATAGAACGGAGTTTTATCTAAAAATTTGGAGGATTTGATATTTTCAAATATTTTCAACAGGGTTCGTGGTGTTATGGAGAGCAAGAACTGCAGGCGCAACCGCTCATATACTTCATTTAGCGAGCATGAACCATCAATCACTTCACGAAACTGAAAATTATATATTTTCCATTGAATCTGTAAGGCATTGGTACTACAGTAGGAGCTGAGGTTTCATTCTACAATTTCGATGCGTGAGTTAGAATTCATTATCCAAATTCTCTAGAAAAATCGATAAGGCCTTTATCTGCGATCTTCGGTGGGAATTTCATTTTCCAGAATCCGTCATTTGCCGCAACAAGTTTTATTTTTACCAAGTAATTAACATAGTCGGCTCTTTTTGAGTCAATCCAAGCTTGTATATCTTCTTCATCGCTGAATGAGGAAATATCATCACCGACAAACATGCCAAATTCTAGAGCATTTTTTGCTTCTGTTAATGAATTGGATTTGTCTTGTTGCAGTGCTCTAGCGCATTCCTTAAAATTGTAGGATAATTAACGATAAGTTTCAAATATTTGAACAAATACGATGTCGACCAACAGGCTTATTTTGCGTGGATACAAGAAAACGATTATCTTGAGAACGAAATATGTCATCGGGTGAAAAATACCACAAACGACTATGAGTAGTTAGTTACCTGAATGGGAGATGTAAAATTTGTTGGCGAATTACGGTTTGAATTCAACATTGTTGAAAGTATTTTCAAGCCATAATTACATAATCCTATGATGGGCTTCTTATTCGTCATTTTAAGTGGTTCCTGAAAATGTAGCACTGTTATGTGCAAACTTCTAAAAATGATTGATTAATTTATGGAAAATATCCAGGACTAATTAGAATTGTACCAGTGGAATGCTGAAATCACGATATGGAATGTTTGCTAGGATTGTCTGAGGAGGAATGTGGTGTGGTGGCTATTGCATTTTCTTACTTTTGTTTTTCTTTTGCTTTTTTAGTTCTTTTTACTACCTAGTTCTGTCCATTAAAAGAGCTGTTGACTCTCTTAAAAATTAAAATTTCAAAATTCACGAAAAAGGAAAGAGCGGGCCAGAAATAATGTAAATCAGTAGTAAGATATTGGAAGACTATTTTTAAAAGTGCCTTTAAAATTGTTATTTTTAATGATTTGCTACTGTCACGAAGTTTTTATCTCTTAGAGAAAACGAAGATTATAATTATATTCTCGAATTAAGAAAGTTGATTTGACTTAGCTCAAATTAGAGAAAATGTTAAAGAAATTAAATGAAGGAAGAGTTACTTGAAGTAGCAGAATTCTTGGTAAATAATCCGTATTATCAATTTTAGGATTTGTTCGAGTGCATCTAAACTATATATATTTAAATTTTTTAAAATGCTTTGAAGTTTCTAAAACAGTAGAAAGTAACTGATTTCGAATGATTGCTCAATAAATGAAATTTTGACGTATTAAATTTGTACCTGCATAGCAGGATAAATTCACTTAAATCATCGCTGATCGATTCAATACCGTTCAATTGAAATGATTTTAATGCACAGAGAATTTGTAGCAAAATGAAGCATACCATCTGTTCATATTCTTCATTGACATCCTAAAATTTTAAAATTTTTAAATTAAAATTAAATGAGAATGAGAAAAACATATAAATAAATCAAAAGCCAAATCGGCATTTCTACTAGATTCTTATATTTTATAGAGACTTACGATAATAAGTAAAGTTTCGTTAAAGTATTGCAACTTCCAGATTTCGAATTATGGGCAAAGTCAAAAAGGAAGAAACCTGAAAGGAACTAGAAATGACAATTATTACTTACTTGTCGGTGATTAGCAGCAAATGATCTGAATGTCAGCAAATTATATCGTGGTATAATCAGGAAGCGATATTTTTGACTATTTTGATGTCGTAGAGTGCCTTGGAGTATGCGTTGCTCCTGAAAAGATTACAACTAACTTTTCTAGCCAAATTAAACATATTGACAGATTTAATTTAATGATGATAAATCACTGAATAACTCCAACAATTCGTCATTCTACTTTGCTATTTTTAAATATATCTTTGAAAATATAAATTTAAACTTAAAATTAAAGACGTTGATCTTTTTTGAATTTTATCTAAATATTTTACAGCACAGAATGAAATCCATGATATGAAGGTCACAAAGCACTGTACCTCATTTTGTTGTGCTTTAATTTCTGTAAGTATTGGTGGATTCCATATGTTTCCAACCGAAAGGTCAGATTTCATTGGAATGGAATGGGTGCCTACGGGTTCAGCCTGCAATAAAATAAAATACTCATTATATTTGATTACTGATATAATCCATTCATATTATATAACGTTTACAATTATTTTAATCTTACTATCACGTTGATTGCCGAACTGAGAAAGCCATTGTGTGGTAAAAACGCATTAAAAAAATATGTGGAACATTTCGAAAAGATAGGTATCATTGATTCGAAAATTAAGTCATCCAATTTTATCCTAAAATTTGAGAATTTTCATTCAATTACTTGAAGTTGAATTTTCTTCCGAATTGGAGCATTTCGGAATATTGTTAAATTCTTTAAATTCCCTTCTTTAATTTCAGACATCAGGACAGATCATCTAACTTAAAACTTTTAAATTCAAATAATATGTATTACTTTTGTAGATTTGCTTCTGATATCATTGAATTACGATTTATGAAAAATTTGGTCGGATTTAATGAAGCATATTCCAATATTTCAAGGTGATTTGAAGTCATCTGCAAAACCGCAAAAATAATTTTTGATTTATTTCAGCTGCAATTCATTTCAAATTAATTTTAATGTGACAATTTTTGATATTCAACAATAAGATGATCATCTAATGGTTTCTATTTTTTGAACGCTCTTATGATATTATTTGACGTTAATGGTAATATCAGATAATACACGTTAAAATATTGTAGCGTAAGAGCAAAAGTATAGAATGATTTATTTTCGCATTAGATTACCAATTTGACCTGCTTATAGAGTCCGATAACAGGCATCGTGGAATCATCTTCTTTCGTTTTGCTGCTGATACTTCGCTTCACTCTTCGTGATTCCAATGGTGGTATTAATGGGGAGTGTGATGACATTGACATTTGCGCCAGTGGTGCGAAGTCCTTGCAGCTTTGCGTTGAACTACATCCGATAATGCAACCTAAAAAGTCCATTCTGTCAAATGTATTCAGCAAAACTTATTAATAAACTATTTTTTAATTTGTAATTATTAGGTAAAAAACAGACAATTATTAAGTAAAAACAAAAACATAAAAAATAATAATTTTCAACATAAATTTTTGAAAATATTTCGTCAACATCTTATTTGCTGCTTTGAAAATTTTCAAAAAGTTTCGTAATTATTGAATTATTGCGAAAATTATTTTTTCTTAATTTATTTATCTAACATTTCAATTTTGATTCCATTATTTGAATGTTTTTTGAATAAATTGAGCAGAAAAAACAATGATTGATGCAACGATCGTTGAGAAGAGGATGACGTACCAGTTGGATTCCTTTGTCCCTCAATTTCTGAAATCGATCTAGAACGGTTGACATTTTGATTATATCGAAATTGACGTATCATTGGTTCATTTCGATGGAAACAATTATCGAAGGATGCTCGTTGTTGTTTCATACTTACCAACTGAAAGATTATCGTATATTAGCTGTGAAGAAATTTTGCTGAAATATTTTGCAATCAAGTATTTGAATATTTGATCAATATTTTTAAAATTCTATAAACTTTTAGACTGTTCGTTCTATTTGGCGGCTTATGAGCTGATGATAATGGTGATGATTGTGATATAGATGATATTCCAGACATTGTTGGTGATCGTTGTTCCATGTCCATGTCCATGTGTGTATCATTTACCTGCGTAATCCATTGTTTCGGTAAGCTGTCACGATTATTTTTCCCATCGGTTGGTACAGATATCGTAAATGCCCGTAAATACTGAGACTGTAACATTTAATGTTAAATTTTTCAAATTGTTAATTAATTGTTTCAACTAAAATACGTTACTTTATTCTTCGTCAATTTGTAGTCATGTTCGGAATATGTAGTTTCGATTGATTTCTCCCAGTTTGGAATGTTGATTCTTTGATCCGATTTATAATCACTTGCATTACATCGAATTCGTTCTCGTTGCTGTTGTTGTTGCAATGCATGATCACTTGCTATCTGATACGCAAAAAAAAACAAGCATTAAACTTTTTTGATATCTGATAAATTAAAATAATTAAGAATTTGAAATATCTGATAAGAAATAAGAGATTAAGGATTGAATTGGGAATAATTGATAATATTTATCATTTCTTTGAATCCGCGGAGATAACTCATTAACAAAATTAGAGGATAGTTTTGTAGAAGCACACCTGGAATTTATTTAAAATATTTTTAAAATTTTTCAATCGCGGTAAATCTTCCACTTTCTTTTCCACTATCATTGGCGACTCTCTGCAATATATTCAACTTATGCATAAGAGGAAATAATATTTGTTATGCATGTGTAGCTTGGCTTATATGTCGCATAAATATCAAATAGTATCACCATTGAGTTTCGGGAAAAAATTCAAAAAAGTAATTTGCGCAAATAATGAATTTGATGAGTCAACAGTGTATGCAAATACAGACGTAAATCAAACGGCAGGTTAGTTACATTTTCCTGTGTCTGAGATGTAAAACAAACGCAACTAACGTACGTCTGCACCTCGGTATGATTGAAGATATAACAATGCAACTTAGCAGCCTTTGTGAAAGATTAATTTGAAACAATAACAAATATTTGCTTGTCGTCATACCTGGATCCCAACTCTGAACAAGCTACTTTTGTTTGTTGTTGTTGCGCTATTGTATCTTCTTCTCTGCTGTCAGTTCTGTCTATTCCTATTATTTGTGTTTTACCACTCTAAAGCGTACCATAGAAATATTACTTGGACTTCAAGTCGATATTTCAAAAATTTAAAATGTAATTTCAAAAAAATGTAATATCCAAATTAAAAAAAATTTTGAAAAAATTCGAAGAAAAAATTAAAAAAATTTGAAAAACTATTAAATAAAATTTATCTTCATCCTTATCAACAAAATTAAAATTAATTTTGGCTTGAAGTTTAAGTAATCCTAAAATACTCCAATTCTCTCTTACTCAAAATGTTGAAAATAAAGAGATCGTCTTATCATCATCTATTACTAATAGTCAGCTAGGTTCTTTTTAGCGTCCTTGTCTTAGTGCTGAGTAAATTTCAATGCTAAATTTATATCTTATCTTCTTCCAAAATTTCAAATCGAATAGTCTGACATTGCTATTTTTGCAAAATTGGATCCTTACAACGTCTGTCGTGTTTTTATTATAACTTTGGCTGACAGTTGTTACATATCTTGGCTTTGGTCTCAGAATTCCATCATTTGGTAAATCATCGATGATGGATGGTGGTTCGATCTGTATTTTCGGCGGTTTCTGATTCGGTGGTCTTCTGTATGCAAAAAATGCAGATTTCTGAGATGGATAAAGTGACCTATAGTTGCTGTGTTCCTGTTTCTGTTGCCTGTAATTAAGAGCATATTGAAAGAATCTCAAATTAAATTTTTTATGTTTTTCTATGATATTATGAATAACTCTTTTGAGTTTACTTCTCTATACAAAGAGGTAAAGTGAATTGGTGGTAGTTCAGATTACATATAAATTCCTCGTAAATTCATTTTAATATGAAATTAAAATTTTCCATTCTAATTTTGGGAAAAAAAAGAAGATGAAGAAACAATTTGACTTCAAAAGTTTATTTCAAATTTTGATAAATGTTTACATTTAATTTAAAAATTATAAAATTGATCATACACATACTTGATTTGATAAAATTTATCAGCTCTATTAATACTATAGCTTGTAAAGTGATTTTGTGGCTTAACAACAGGTGGAGTGGTGATAAAATTTCTAATTAGGAATTTTTGATTGTTATTGGAGAATGTTTGAGGTGATAATTGCTCTTTTGCGTAACCGTGTCGTTTTCCAGGTGTATGACGTGGATCTTCGATCGTTTGGAAGAAATCCATTTCTTTCAATTAGAATTTAAGCTATAAAAAATTTAATTCATTTTAAAAGTTTATAAAACATAACAAAATTTATATTTCGGAAACGTTTTAGACATTGAATGCTATTAACTGAAATATCTTCCCACAGGTAATAATAATATTGGACAGGAAATTCATACTTTTTTAATTTCACTATTTGGCATGAACTTATTGCTATATTGATATATCGTGCTGTTGAAGATATTGATATATTGTGCTGTTGAAGATAGTCGAAAAATACTTAAATTAGAACTTAAACCTAAAATATGAACTTGTTTAATGAATAATTTCTCTACTAATAATTTACTTTTCCATTTTTTTTCAAAATGAAAAGCCTTGGAATTTTCATTAAATAAACATTTTTAAGTATCATTGAGTAAATAACATTTTAAAAAGTAATGAAATTCGTAACATTTATCGGTTCCTTACATTTGTTAATTTACAAAAGCTTTAAGGATGAAGAGAAATATGATTTCAGATAATAATTAGCATAATTAGTTGAAAACTAATAAGAAATTCTACTTCAAATTTTGGAAATTTCACTTCTGTCTCATACTTTAATCAAATCAAATAAAAGTTACAATAATCTAACAGTTTCAATATGTTTGCATCAATTTGACAATCTAACAGAAAGAGGAAATTACCGTACTTTTCAGCTTTCAACTATAAAATGCATTACTGATTTATGATTGACTGGAAAAGAAGGAAGGAATGATATCTGTTTTAAAGAAAGGAAGTGTGACAATGATGAGTTAGTTCTCTTGAAATATTTGATTGATAAATTTGATTTTGAGGAATGAACTCATAAGTAGTCTTTCTTGATTTGCTTAAACTATTTCTTACTGTATTATACCGGAAAATAATAATAGTCGTATGTTTTATTCATTTAGCCATTTTCCATATTCCTTTAAGAAAGAAATTTTAATGATTTTTTATTTGGTAATTTTTATATTGAATACAGGAAAATATAATTTTCGAAATGCGGAAAATTGCAATTCGAGAGTGTAATAATTACAACAAAGCAGAATTAATATTAATAATTTAGTAGCAATTATAATAATTAGTATGAATTGTACTAGAAAAATTTAGAGTTTGAAACGCTTGCGACTCACAAAGGAATAATTTAAATTAAACAAAGGAGAGTATTATTTCACTTAAGACATTTAAATCATACAATTTCGTTTACCAAAACATTCTATTTAATTCATTACTTCCTAAATTGATAATACTTTGCATTAGCTGGCATATAATTCCTACCGATATCTTTTGGGTTCAGTTGAAATTTAAATATTTGAACTAAATGCCTTATAAATCAAAATTTTGAATTATGCATAAAATTAATGCCCAAAAAATGCTATGAGTCACAATTGCTCAAATAAAAGCTCTAGTAATCCAAAATTGGAAAAAAATTAAATTAAAAGAATTTAAACGTTTTAAATCAAAAATAAATAAAATATGGAAGTTATAGACATACAAAGACACATGTTTATATATACACACACATTCAAAAACAATTAAACAATATAGATAGACAGGTGATACGTACGTGACCTTACTGTTCAAAATACTATTTTCAAATGATATTTCTGCGACGTTTTTAATAAATTATAAAGTGATCAAAATAAGTCAAAACTTAGAAATTACAAATTCATATCTTTGAGCGAACAACGACGATCTTACAAATGCTAATTGCAAAAAGTTCATCATAAAAACAAGATAACGATTCGATCATATTTCCAGCGAATGTGCATATGAATTTAATAATTTTTAACAATCAATAATTTTGCTGAGAAAATTAAAAGTGATTAATTTTTGTGATTCATAGAGAAACGCTTTATTCTGGAAGAAGCAATTAAATAATCATAATATAAGAATATTACGATAATACAATGATAGTTAATAATTCGGTATTATACAACAATGTATTCGACAGTAATGCATGAATAATGGGTTTGAGAAAAATAAAACTTGACGAAAAGATCGAAATGAACAAATGGAAATTTAGTATGTAAATAATGACTTGAGGTATGTGAGTTTAATTTACTTCTATCTTTCAGCATTAATTTTAAAGAATTTTATTTGCAGACTGACACTAAAGTGGATACGTTCAGTAGCAAGAAAACCTGTATTTTATTTTATTTTATTCTTCTTTTTTCATTGTAGGATTTTGTATTAAAAATCTAAGTCACTAATGTTTGTCAATTGATTTACTAAAATTTGCTTTTTTATAATTTTCCTTTAAAGTTTAAAAATTAGCAGAAGAATGAGTTTGAATAATACATTTATTTACTTAATTCATATTTTTTTCTTTTATTTCATTTTTTTCCAAAATTTTAATTTACGAAATTTTAAATGTAAGATTTTGTGGCCTGTAATAGTAAGCAAAAAAGAAGATCGTAAATGGAATTCAAGAATTTCAATCAAAATTTACAACTTTATTTTTCAGCGATAATATCAGATGATAAAAGCTCTAATAATGCAATTATTTTTGATAAGCAAATAAGTAACCAGAAATCTAACATTCCTTCTAACAAACTTATTTTTTCCAATTGATTATTTTTACTTAATGAAATTTTTTAATTTTCATTAATTTCGATTTTTTTTGGAAGAGAAATTTAAAATGTTGAAGTGAAATATATATTTTAACTAAACATATGAAATATCTTTAATAGAAGAAATAATTGGAATAAAATGTTGGAAAAAGAAAATTCTTAGAATGTAATACAGGAGGAGAAGTTATAAGCAAATAATAATCTTCTCAGCTTCAAATATCTGTTGACAAAAGTATTAAAAATGATAAATTTGTAGGAAATTCAAACTTCATGTTATATCTCATAAAGATTGAGAGGAAAAATTTTCAAACGAAATTCTCGGGAAGAGGAACATTGGTAATTCTAAGAGAACTCTGATGGGAAAAAGAAAGTGTTCATTGAATTTCAACGCTATAAAATATTATATATAATGAGAAGGACCAAAATAATAGAACATCAAATATTATTTATGGACTTATTATGACTGGTTATTAAAATTTTGTTTGGTTTGCATTTCGTTATGCGCTACTCAGACAAAGTCAAAAAGTTTGTTTGTTCACTCTTATGATAGGTGTAATTCTGACATCAAATTTCCGAAGCATTAATAAACTGTAGTATTTTCAAGTAAAAAAAATTTTAAATAAAAAATCTAACATGAAAAGATACAATTCTAAAATTTAAATATCGAAAAAAATTTAAACATTTCAGAGACAATGGAAACTTCTACATACATTCAACAGTTCACATTCAACAATTTCAACATTCGACAAAAATTCAACAATTTCAGCATTCAACATTTATCTGAAAATAACGGATTAAAAAAGACTGGAAATATAAATTGGGAAGACAAAATCGAAAGATCAAATTTTAACTCAAATTTGAAAAACTCAACAAAAAAATTAGTGATGATTTTGTGCTCATATGTCGCAAATTGTGGAAACACGTAAATCATCAGATAAAGCAAATTTTAAACTTTAGAAAAAATTTAAATTTCAGGTTTACGTTGAATCGATCATTGTTCAATCCTGAAAAGCTGAATTGTGCTTGTACTTGAATTCTAAATTGTATTTTATAACTTATCGTTTCTAAAAAATCACTTCCTCTTCACAATTGAAACATAAAATTTGAACATGATTTTACGGAATAATATACAGCTGCAATTCTCCACGCGGGAAAAATGTAGTGCTCAGTGAATTTTGAACTCGTGATTTGAGCATTATCAACTTCCGTCCTCACGTATTCAGCTTCACGTACTTTTCACAGATTGTTGCTTGCTTTTTTGTAAATTACAACTTATTCATAACAAATGATAATGTGAATTTTTACTATCCTATGCTTTAATTATTGCATGTAATTTTCATGTTAAATCATGAATTTTCATGTTAAATCGACCATTTTGTTCTATTTTCTCTTGTATTCAATTTTTTTTTTCATTTCAGATGATATTAAGTTTTTTGCATTTATTAATTTCAGTTCTATTATTTGCAATGGCTCAGAGACAAAAGGAAAAACAAAAAGCTTCTACATCAGCAGCAGTAACAGAGGAAGCAAGCAAAATTGTACCAGTTGAGGAGGAAGATGCTAATTCTTACACGATTATTGATAAACTTGAGGTTGGATGTTTCTCAATGTAATTTATAGTTTACTTATGTTTTAGGCTACTTTTGAAAATTTTAAATAAATCTAGGTTAGCGTTCAAAATTGGAACATTTGCGGGAGATCCTAAAAATTGTGGAAATTAACATTGAGAAACCTCATTTGATATTACGTTCTCCGTCTCTGCTATTTGTAGAACTTTGTCATATCTTCCATAAGATTCAAAAGTTCTTTTTTCTGACTTATAGTTACCTATTGAAAGAATAGGTTTAATACAGAGTGTTAAATTTTAATATGTTTCATGTTTCATTGGGTTTTTTTGACGAACTTCTAAAATAGATAAGGAAAGAATGGAAAACGAATGAATTTCTTGCTGAACACTCACTCATTGGAATTTTATAGTGCTATGGTTTGAATTAATTTTCCAGAAATTTTTTGTAGCAGTTTGGAATATCCGCTGCTGATATTCGAAAGCTGAAAGATGCTGGTTTCTGTACATTCGAAGCAATCGCTTATGCACCACGCAAAGAATTGTACGCTATCAAAGGCATAAGCGAACAGAAAGCCGAAAAAATATTCGTAAAATAATTTGTTTTGTTCGTCGTTGTGATTTTTAGGGATAGGTAAAAAGCGATTCTATTGTTCTTGTAAAAGATTAAGTTATGTGGATCCTCTGAGAACTTATCAAATACCTCAAATTAAGATATTATCCTTTATACTGTTGATAAAACCAAATGAAGATTAAGTTAAGCATGCAAGGGGTTTAATCTTAATCAAACCACTACATTCCATCTCGAAAAGCTATTGGAAAATTTGAAGTAGAATGCAGGATGTTGCATATATGAAGAAATTCTTGGGATGAAATTTGTTTGATGGGAAAGCGTTGGTTCAGATTTTCATTTGGGATTTACTATAACGAAATGTGAAATGAGGGTTAAGTGTACCAGGTTTTTATCAGATTGAAAATTGTACTTGATTTAAGATAGAAGCAGCAAAACTAGTACCGATGGGTTTTACTACTGCTAGTGAGGTGCATGTCAAGCGTTCCGAAATCATCCAAATAGGTACGGGCAGTCGTGAATTAGATCGTCTTCTTGGAGGAGGAGTGGAAACGGGATCTATCACTGAGGTAAAATATTATTGTGCTGTGTAAACATCTACTCCGATGTTAAATTTTCGGAAGAGGAAGTATCTTAAATTTTTTGAAGATGGAGCTAGACTAACTTCTATTAATTTTGATATGAAGCTAATTGGTAGTGAACTATTCTCTTAAAGTTCGAATTATCACAAACTTTTTTACTTTTTCCAGATATTCGGCGAGTTCCGTACTGGTAAAAGTCAACTTTGTCATACATTGGCTGTAATGTGCCAATTACCGGTGGATATGGGAGGAGCGGAAGGTAAATGTCTTTGGATTGATACTGAAGGTACTTTCCGTCCAGAAAGATTACTTGCTGCAGCTGAAAGGTTAATCCTTATAAAGTTTTGTTTTATTTGCCTATGCTTGTTTGTATCATTTGTTCATTCTCAATCTTTGGCGGAATGCATCATTGTAATGGTTATTTTTCTGCGTGCAGTTATGTAGCACACTTAACGTGTAATGTTAGTTGAAATTGTTAAAGGCAACATCTATGATTGTATTTTGTAGTTAAAAGAAATGGCTTAAGGGTTTAAGTTACCTTTTTGGAAACCCTTTTTATTTTCAGCAATTTTCTATAAGAACTATGCGGCGAATTCATTTTGGATAATCGATGTCGCTTTTAGGCACAAATTGTCTCCACAAGATGTTCTGGACAATGTTGTTTATGCGCGCTGTTATAATACTGATCACCAAATGCAGCTTCTTATTCAGGCATCGGCTATGATGGCAGAATCAAGGTTCGTATGTCGAGAAAAAAATATTTTTTTACGTTTCTTTAATTAAAATTCAGAGATGTTTGGAGGTACCAATTGCTATTTCATAAAAGAATATCGTAATTTATAGTTTTGAATGCCTCAGATCACATTTCAGTACATTGTGGTTAGATCTCTAGAACCTTGATAAAAATTTCTTCTATTACCAAACAAGAGTGAATAAAGGTAAGAAAATAGAGAGATGAGAATTGACGGAGTAGTTGGAACTAATTAGTTTTAGGTACGCTTTGCTTGTTGTCGATAGTGCAACTTCATTGTTTCGGACGGACTTTTCGGGACGTGGTGAACTTGCTTCCCGACAGATGATGCTTGCGAAATTCCTCAGAATGCTTCTCAAATTATCCGATGAAGTGAGTTGTGATTAATAGTGTTTTATTTGTGTAATTTTTATTATTTTTTTAAATTACTTTTTCCCTGTTTGTGAGAGTTTGGACTTTATCCTGCAATTGTATTGTGTCTTCAATGATTTAACTACAGTTTAGCGAAAAGTGGCATGCTTTGAAACGCTTAATTCCATTTTTTTATGCGCTTCGCTCACCTTTCCTAGGATTAAAAAGTTCTGCCTTTCCTCATGCACATCGTCATATTAATAAGTGAAAAAAACCATTAGAAAAGAAATTAAAGTATAGATGTAAAAGAGATTTTGCATAATGCGTTTATTTAAGCTTCAGTTTTTTCAGTTTGGTGTTGCTGTAGTAATAACCAATCAAGTAGTGTCACAAGTAGATGGAGGTTGTGGTATGTTTCAAGGAGAAACGAAGAAACCAATTGGAGGGAACATCATGGCTCATGCTTCTACAACTAGGCAATTATCATTTTTTTCTATAACTGTTATAATTGCAACTGGAACGGTTTAAGTTTATAACTCCCTAGTGACTCCCTGTGACTCCCTAGTGACTCCCTCCCTAGTGACTCCCTCACTCCCTGTGAGCATTTATGTTATTTCTTTTAAATAACGATATGAGAGCTGGAGAATCACTGACTGCTCCATACCAGGCACTAGAACTTCATATTTAGTACTATAAAGACCATCAGAATTGTTCAATGATTCACAGCGCATGATGGATACTAGACGCGCAATTCATGGCTATTATATTAATAAAAACTGACTATATATGAGAAATTTATCTCTCTCTCATTCTAGGCTTTATTTGCGTAAAGGACGTGGCGAAACACGCATTTGTAAAATTTACGATTCACCGTGCCTTCCAGAAAGTGAGGCAATGTTTGCCATAACGACACACGGTATCGATGATACTACAGATTAGACAATGTTATTTTTTTAAATGAACATTAGAAAAGAAATAATATGCATGTTCATGGAAAGCAACATATATTTATTGAAGTAGAATTCCTGATTAAATTCAATTTTAAACGAATTAGTTCTAGAAAATTTACGGATTATTGAATATATTTCAAAAAAATGCTTCGCTTGTTTTCATATTTTTAATTTTATGCCAGCAGGTTGATGAAGGATTCTTTGCCCTTTTTTTTCGCTCTTATAGAAAGCTAGAATTTTTAGGCTGTTCCAGTACCGGACAAATTTTATTTATTGCCACTTGATTGTTGTTAAGAGTTACAGCTTTTTTGGCTGTATCTATTTGGATAAATGGTCTTTTCTCCATTAAACATGTGGTAGCTGCTCCGATTATTTTTTTAATTGATGAGTCAATTGTCTCTGTGCTTGTTTTTGGTTTTAGGTGTTTATTTTAAAATCTGTTATCAATTTGCAGTTTTTATTTTCATTATGTTTTTTTTTTTTTAAAAAATTATAGATATTTGCAGATTTGGTGTTTTGAGATTTGCTATTAGTTCATTACTTCTTTATCATTACTTTTTGGAAATTTCTACTTTTGTTTTCTTCACTTGTTGAAATATTCATATGGAGTTTCAGAGTACTGATCTCATTAATGTTCGCAAAAATTTTGTTTCTTTTCTGCTAATTTTGGAAATATTCAACACGACATAGATATAAAATGAAAATGCTAATTAACGAGCATGATATGGCCAAGCTTCGCATGTGTTTATTGGTGGTCGTTCTGCTGCTGGTAAGAATTTCAGGTCACTTGAGAAAGAAATGGACAAATAGGCAAAAAACCTCTTGTTTTTTTGACGACCTCATTTGCTAACTAATATCAGTGGAAGTTCCAAGTGAAAAATTCACGGTGTGAATTTTATCGATTTCAAGCAGTGTTATGCTGTTAATGATGTTCCGCTTTTTGCGAATATTTGTTTTGTGATGAGACGGAGCAGAGCGGTAAGGTGAAATTTCAAAGCCGCTTTGAAGTACTTTCATGAGGGGGATACTTTGCTGCACATTTGGGGAAGCGACATGGGTGGATCTTTAAGCATTGTAAGCGCTGAGATCGGATCGTTTTATTTTATTTAACATTTGTCACTTATCTTTACTATATCAAAATAAGAACATTTGCAAGCGATCTCTTCAAAAGCTTTTATCTCCAGAAGTGATTAATGGACTATAATGATTTATATGTGAACCTAATTACAGTTTTACACTAAATTTGAAGACCTTGAATTCTTCGAAAAGATTGTCATAAAAATGAAATTTAAAATAGACATGAATTTGTATCTCCGTAATGTATTCGTTGAAATGTTTTGCATAATTTCATTAAAAATCGTTGAGAAATTAGGAGATGAGACTGAAAAGGATATTTCTAAATAATTACACTCGGAAGATAGATGTAGCACCTTGACATTAATATACTTTAAATTCAAAGTACACATGACCCATTTCATCGCAAGTTGATTGGATTACGGTAACATTCATAAAGAAATTCCGAAAGGATTTAAATGGCAATGGTGTTAATTTCTTAAAAACTTTGAAATTAACAACGAATTTTTGAAAGAATATGTAGTTGCAAAATCTTAAATGCAATTATTGAACTTATTTAAAAAATTTTTGGTACTAAATTGTTACAGTCGCCAATAAGTCCGAAACTTTAAATAATTATTCCTAAATTATTCAAAAGTAATTTCAAAGAAATCTCTTGCACATTTTACTCTATAAATGATCTGTAATAATGAAAAGAATCACATCATTTCACATGCACTTCACATTTACTTCAGTAGCTCTCAAACATTTTTTTCCGGCATTTCTCCTTCAAACATTGAATTCATTTCCGTATAGCAAAAATTTTCAATCGATTTTATTTTCTTCCAACTTAATTATCTTCTCAACATTCAATTTTTTTGCCGAAACAAAAAAATTTTCACTAATTTCGTAAAGATATAATTTATTTCAAATGCAACGATTTTCTGCGGCCACACAAATGGATTCCTCAAATTTACATTATGCGAAAATTACGATAATATGAATTGTTTGGTTAAAATGAAAAAGAAAAATTTATTTTTGAACAAAACAAATGAAAATTAAAGCAAACTTATGACTTTTATTTAAAACTAAAACATTTATTGATTCATTAAAATATGTTTATCTTTCATAACGCCGATCATTTATTCATTAGTTTTGTTTAAAATAAAAAGGACAAAAGATATTGATATATTGATAAGAGAAACAATGATAAATCATTCTATTGAATATTAATGGAAGTCATAAATTAATTATAAAGCACATTGTTAATGCAATAGCAACTCAATGAATAGAATGAATGCAATTTTATGAATAGAAAGAATGGAAGAGGGTGAAAAATAATTAAAGGTAGAGCATTTAAAACAAAAGAATGTTAATCACTATTCAATGTTAATTCATTGAATGTTAATCATTATTCAATAATCATTATAAAATGATTTGAAACGAAAATTAGTGAATGAGTAAAAAAAGTTCTCTTTTTTTTCGGAATAATTGATTGAAGCATAGTCTTCCTGATTTTTACCATTATCCAAAGATATTTCGAATTTTTTATCTTTTAAAACTATTTCCGGATAATGTTATAATTACTGAAATGGATTATAAAGAAAATGAAGAGATAGAAATGATATATTGACAGCCTGAAATCTTTTGCAGAAAAATATTTTCTGACAGTTCGTCTAATTCAAGCATTCGTGTTTTTTTAATGTTACAGTAATCAACAAACTTCTTTTTATTATATATTAAGCATGAACAACAATGATATCATTATAAAATTAAAAATTCATTTCCATCATTTTTCTTTTTAGCTACTTATGATGTCAATTATTTGCACAGCATTCACTAATTTATAATGAGTTTAAATTCAACCTAATTGACCTAATCTACTACTAGGTGGCAAAAATTGTAATTTTCATTTTTAATCGGTCTAAACAAAAAGGAAGAAAAACTTCATTGTTTTTTCATCACAACACTTCATTAAACTTCGAAAGTTGTAGAAATTGAATAAAATTACAACGTTTAGCATTCTCCACATTAGTTATTCAATCTTTTGCATTTTAGAAAAATACTTTCTGATAGTTTGTCCATTTTTAAATATTCGTAATTTTTCTTGATGTTACAGTAATAAATAAAACTTTTTCTTTCCTCATCATTGATAAAACTTTAGTAAAAATAGGCAAATTTTCTATTTTGTTGAAGTAAAAATGCTTTCAAAAAATTTTTTCATCTCTTACTTTTTTTTCAGGAACGAATGATCGAGGGAAATAGTTAGTTATCTGAGGAAAAAAATAAATCTCATAATGTAAATGATTTTGAATGTAATTTGTTAGCTTCCGGAAAAAAGTAATTTGATCGATTTTCTCATTTTCATTCCGTTTTTATGCTTTATGTAGTTAATAGAGCATTAAATCATCTTAGCAAAGTGTTTATTTAACCAAACAGGCAATTTACATACAAAAATTCTTTTTTTTTAAAAGGAACCCATAAAGCTATCATTAGCCAAAAGAAATAACATAACAATTTTAGAGATGACGTGATAAGTGCAATTTATTTTACGGATAAAATTCGATATTTTCCGGTTTTTTTGTTCATAAACAAAACGTTTCTGATTTACTTTACTGAGTGATAAACATAGAAAAGTGTACGTGTAGCATCATTTATCATTTTCTTATCAGTTTTGATTAGATTATCGGACGAAAAGGATTAAATTTTCGGATGCTAATGCGGAAAAGTCATTCATTTTTAGCGCCATATTTGTGAAATTGCTTGTTAGTGGAAACTAATAGAGATCGTTAGTTCCATTATTGATTTCAGTCTGGAATGCTGAAAGAATGAAATTCAGCTTACCCATTCCGATATAGAAATAATGTAGGCCTTCTTCGACAAAGAGCATAATTGACGCCGAAGATACATACACTCATCGTTACATATGTTATGAGGATATCTTGTGATCTAATATCATCCATGTTTGTGTATAGCTTGAGTTCAAATGTCATGCATGTTGTACGGATAATTTGAGTTCAAATTTTAAGGTAGCTAATATTAGCGGAAAATTATAGTAAATGTCAAATGTCCATCAGATGTTGGGAATACTTAGATAAGAAAAAGAGAAATAAATGAGCTTGTCGAAAAAGAATGAATTCTTTGTGAAATATATAATGATTTATATTATATCAACATAAGACGGTGAATCTTAGTAACCAACTAATGGATAAGATTTGACCAGTGGATTTGACCCTACCAGTGGATACGAACAGAGAAGAGAAGAATTCACATAGGATTTCCTCTCTTTTACAATATCAATTTCAATTTCATGGATTTTTTTTTGATAGTTAAAATTTTAAAAAGTTAGCTTATTTATTAAAAACAAAATGCATTGTTGATTACTTCCATGAAATAATGTTGCGCTAACTTTTGGTAATAAAATGGCACAAAATGAAATTTGCATGAATTTCTTTCAAATTTTTAAATAAGAATATAGTTGTGTTATTTTTAAAGTTTGATGTATTGATTATCAGTTAAGTAATTATTAGCAAAATTAAATCACTTGTATAAAAATGAGAAAATTTGAAGAAAAGTTAATAAATTAAAAATTTTCTTTTCTTAACCTATCCATAAAATAAAACTTTCCTTTCTTAAAACAAAAAAAGCATTTCAATTGTTTACGTCAATAAATGATGTATTAGTAATAACTTTATTTACTGCCTTCATATCTCACAAATATATCTATCTATTTATAAAATAAATAATCATAAATATTTATGAGTTAATTTATTTGCATCCATTTTAAAAAGATCAATAGGATAAAACTTTATTTTTAGTAAAAATAATTCAAAAAAATAAGCATTAAAATAATATTAAAAATGCTATTTTTATCGGATAATATTAATAAATAAAAAAATATTCATAATTTATTTGAATCATTAAAAAATTAAGCTGTCAGAGTATATTTTAGTTAAAAGTATTAGAATACTTTAGTTAATAAGTACCAGAATACTTTAATTAAAAATATCGAATACTTTAGTTAATAAGTACTAGAATACTTTAATTAAAAATATCGAATACTTCAGTTAATAAGTACCAGAATACTTTAATTAAAAATATCGAATACTTTAGTTAATAAGTACCAGAATACTTTGATTAAAAATATCGAATACTTTAGTTAATAAGTATCAGAATACTTTAATTAAAAATATCGAATACTTTAGTTAATAAGTATCAGAATACTTTAGCTGAAAAGTACCAGAATATTTTAATTAAAAGTATCAGAATATTTAGTTAGTGAGTACCAGAATATTTTAGTTAATAAGTATCAGAATACTTTAGTTAAAAAGAACCAGAATATTTTAGTTAAATTTTCTTTTCCTAACAATTCATGAAGGCAACATTTTATAAAACTTTTCTTTCTTAAAAAAAACATTTCAATTGTTTACAATAAATAATATATTTACATTAACTTCATTTACTGCCTTCACATTTTTCAAATATATATTTATAAAATAAATAATCATATTTATAAAATAAATAATCATAAATATTTATAAGTTAATTTATTTGCATTCATTTCAAAAGATCAATGGGATAAAGCTATCAAAGCTATTTTAGTTAAATTTTTTCATTCTTAACCAATAATTCATAAAGATATCACTTTTATACTTTAAAAAACGAAGGACATTTCAATTGTTTACGTTATTTAAAAATAGAGTTAAAAATTCGTTCAAACCAATCAATTTTTATTAATGTCAGCTTCTATCTATTGCAATGAGTATTTCAAATTTCTATCCTTGCAAATGCTTTCCTATTTTCTAACAAACAATTATTTTCCTAGAAAGCAAATTAAAATTTACATTTTGAATTAATGAAACTCAAACGTCTTTTTTTTTAACGTTTTAATTTGATTTTCACGAAAATATACTTTTAGCTTACAGTATGATTCTTTTTCTTTCTATTTATAATATATATATATATACTTACTTTAATTTGAAATGATTTTTTACCTTTTCATGTACTGCAATTTGAAATGATTTTTTACCTTTTCATGTACTGTAATTGGAATGATTTTTTTCCTTTATATATACTGTAATTTGAAATGGTTTTTTTCCTTTATTATACTATATTCTGAAATGTAGAAGTATGATTTTTTTCTTTATATATATATACTATAATTTGAAATATAAAAATACTGTAATTTAAAATTTAAAAATATTATAATTTAAAATTTAAAAGTATAAGAATAAAAATAGGAGCACTTTAAGAAGCAAAAAATATTCATTAGTGTTATATTTTTGAATTTGATAAATACTAAGTGAAAAGAATATATATTTGAGAGAGGAAAAAAAAGTTAGAGTGATAAATAAGCCTTAATATACTTTTAGCTATTCCCTTTCTCCCTCTCTCTCTCTCTCTCTCTCTCTCTCTTTCTCTCTCTCTTTCATAAAATATATTCATTTTCGATTGAATACATTTTCACATTTTTCGCATTTTTTTACACTTAATACATTTTTAGCTATTCATGGCACAAATACCCATCGTTCTCATTATAATAAGCTGTCACTAACAAGAAATGAAGGAAGTTTTTCTTTTTTCTCTTTTAAATATTAAATTAGCAAAAATTTTTAATTATTTCATTTCTCATTTTTAATTCTTTTTCAAAAAATGATAAAATAAATAATTGTTTTTCAAAAGAGAAAAAAAAAGCGATGTTTGTTGTTTTATTTGTTTAAGACAAATTAATTAATTTATGAATTAATTAGTAAATCTTTTATTTTATTTTCTTTCATTTTTTATTAAATTGAAATAATTCTTAACGATAAAAATATTATTTGCAAAAAATAAATAAATAAATGAATGTTTATAAAAAATTCGTTATTGTTTAAACATTGTTTACAAAAGTTATTTATAAAAGTAACAGAAAATTCACTTATTATTAAATTACTATTATTTGTTTACAAAATAGTGCCAAACTTTCATCAATTATGCAAATTAAATTCTTTTGAATTTTTCACATTCGAAAAATTCAAAATATATACTTTCAAATTATTAACATTTATTGACATTTATTTTATTAGCATAAATTACTAACATTTATTTTATGGTTATTATTAATTAATATTTCAATTCATTTCTTTGTTGATCATCGCTTCCTGCATTGCTATAAATTTAATGAAAATTTCAATTTTCTTTGTTAATAATAAAATTACTGAAATCGAATCATACAATTTTGTTCACATTATTACAATGTGTGAATGGCATACATTTATTAGCTCATTTAATTTTTTTATAAAAATTAATTAATACTTTTTAGGCCCATTTATTTTTAATTTACGAAAATTAATGCTTTTTAGGGAAAGTATTAGTTGATATTATAAAAAATAGAAATGGTAATAATTTAAAATTTACTACTCTTTCTCTTTCTCTCTTTCTCTCTCATTCATTTTGATGATGCCATTTAGTTATATTATAAATTTACCTATACCAATCCTAAAAAAAAATAATAGAAAAAAGTCTCCTATTGTTATTTCTTTCATTTGTTTAATTAAGAACTGCCAATTAAGTAATAATTTTAAAATATTCCAACCCAAATCAATAATTGTTAATAGTTGCTAGCATTAGTGTCGCATCTATTTAATCCTAAATTTAATTTTAGCAATAACAAAACTAAAGAGAAAAAAAACTAATCAACAATTATTTTTTTAAATTTCATTTTTCTTCCTCTTATTTTTTAGGAAGCAAAAAATAAACAAACAAACAAACAAACAAACAAACAAATAAATAAAATTTAATTTTAAAAATTAAAAAGAATGATATGAAATAACGAAAAAAACAATTTATTTTTGATAAATTTTTAAACATTTTCATCGTTCTTTCATTTTCTTTTCCATTATTTTCTTTCTATGAATAATATAATATTGAAAAATTGCTTTATAAATATATTATTATTATTATTATTCATAAATAATTTGTCAACAATATTTTCCCTTTTCCTTTTCTTCTTCGTTCCATAACATTCTTAAAATCTAATCATTCATTATTATTATTATTACTTTTTAACAACAATTTATTATATACATATTCATATTGGAAGTAATTGAATACTTACTTTCATACATTTATTTCAGTTACTAAATTTTTTCAACAAATCAATTTGTATTTAATTTTTAAGTTAGAATAAAACTTAAATATATATATATATATACATATATATATATATACTGCTAACTATATATATATATATAATGCCTTCAAGTTTTTTGCTTTTTCTTTTTAACAATAATTTATAAATATAGATCTGTTTTTTAACATATCGATATATTTGAACACACACAATATGTATATATATTGCTACCCACATACATACACATATACATACACATACATGCATATATATTGCTATCCCACACATACGCACATATATATGTTGCAATCCATACACACACATACAAGACATATGTATATATTGCTACTCCACACACATACATACACAGACATATGTCTATATATATTACTATTCCACACACACATACACCACATACATACACAGACATATGTCTATATATATTGCTATTCCACACACACATACACCACATACATACACAGACATATATCTATATATATTGCTATTCCATACACACATATATCACATACATACACAGACATATGTCTATATATATATATTGCTATTCCACACACACACACACATACACCACATATATACATACACAGACATATATCTATATATATTGCTATTCCACACACACACATACACACAGACATATACATATATATATTGCCACTCGATGCGCGTTATTTGGCCAAGATTTTAAGGGGGGCAAAAGTAGTAGCAATCAATGCGTTCCGTAACTAAACATAGTCCATCCCACATATATCAGGCACTATTTCTACAAGGCGCAGAGTGAAAATGAAAGGTTCGTTGTTGTGAGCGCAATTAAGCAACAAAAATAAGAGTGGGAAAGGAATGGAAAAATCTATATCATTGATATTTATATATATATGCATATATGTGTATGTATATGTAAAAGAGTTATTTTTTATGCATTCATTTATTTTCTGTCCTAAATATCATTATTTGATTAATGTTATCATTTCTATTAATATTATCAATATTATCATTGTTACTGTTATTATTTATTTACTATCTATTGTTTATTATTTATTATACGATATCGTTAATAGAAAATGATAATTTTTCTAAATTTATTGATTCAATCAATAAAAGTATTTTTTTTAGGTGTGATTAATTTGCTTCTTCAATGCCTGAAAATGCCGATTCTAGGATAAGTAGAACAGCTAATTTTCCATCATCATCATCATCATCGACAACTGGCTTCGAATTACAATTTAATATTAGGTATGTAAAAGTTTAAAATTTATTTCAAATCTTAATTGCTTTGTTTTTTTTGATTTTGAAAATTTCACTTAGAAGCAATCTTTTTTTTTGTTTTACAATTTGATTAATTAATTAAATTAGTAATTTGGAAGTCTTCAATTTAAAATTTATAATTTTTTTCAGCGTTAAAATTTGCATTTTATTAAAAATCACAAAATGAAATCAAAATCTGATTAAGAAAAATTCATTAATTATAATCATTAATGAAGTAAATACTTAAGATATCATCGTAAACTACAACTGAGAAAAGTAATTTATTATGCAAACTTTTCTTCTATTTCAAGAATTTTTTGTATTATATTAATTAATTTCATTAATTAATAATGTGTATTATATTAATTAGCATTATTCTCGCAGTAATAAACATACGCATAGTAATTTAATCTATTCATTTTTCCATATTCGAGGAATGATATTTACACTCACTTTCTATTTCTCTAATTCAATTATAAAGTGATGATTCATGCAATCCATATTATTTTTATTATAATAAATAAATCCTTCCTCTTTATCTTTTAAATTTAAAATTTTAAAATTTGAAATTTTAATTTTCGTGTTTTTCGTATCTTATTATTACTTAATTTAAAAGTTATAATTTCAACAAACATATCTTTTATTGTTGCTTAATTTATAATTTCAACATTGAGTGCAACAATAACATCGTTGCATTTGAGGTATACATTGATTTTTAGACAAAAATCTGTGAAATCAACTTTCCTAGTTTACAGCTATTCATTCGGCTGGTAAATGATGAAACTATTAATTTGAAGCTTTTCTAATATTTTATTAATAATTTTTGTTTAGAACGGATCGATGGAGATACAAGAAAATTTCAAAACTTTTTGTACTTCGTATTTGCAATTTAACAATTCTTCCATTATAATTAGTTTTTTTTCATTTAACAGTTTAATTGCAATTTAGTTTCTATTTTAAATGAAATATATCTTTTCATCTTCCACTTAAATTAAACTTTTTTTTACAACAAATATTCGTCAATTTTATTTTAGACAAATCGTTTCAAATGCAAAAGAAAAAATTGGGAAATGAAATTATTTGCTAAAATTTCGAAACTTTTTCCAGTTAAATAATATACATTTTGATATTCTAAATTAATTGTTTTAATAATTATTTCTTTCTGTGATCCAAACGTTTCATTCATTCTTTTTTCTTTTTAACTTACTGAATGTAGTTAAATAATTTATTTTCCTCTATTAAATCCTACTCCAATTAGTAATTTCATAATTAATTAGTCAGTAAATTCCAATTAGCAATTTCATAATTAATGAGTGAGTTGCTTTATAATTAATGAGTCAGCCACTTTTAGCATTTTTGCAACAGAGTGAATCATATAATTATTTGAAAGGAAAAAAAAGTTTTAGTATTTTCTCAATTTTAAAAATCATTTAATTAATTAATTGGCATATAAAGCTATATGGAAAAGAAAAAACAACAAAACTCTTTGTTGCATTCTTTTTCACTTTCTAAAATGAATTTATATAATTTGAATTTTGCTATTAGAATGAAATTTCAATGAGAATAGTAAGAAAGTGAATGTTTCGATCGGTTGAAATATAACTGAAAAATGAAAAGTTCGGAAAACAAACAGGAAAAAAGCGAATTTTATTTCATTCGAAAAGTTTAAACTAAAATTTTAGCTTTTGTTCTTTAAAAAAAACAATTTGAAAAATATTTTTTCGAATTCATTTCAAACTTTTAGAATATGTAAGAAGATTTTTTTGTACTTTTGCTTTTCAGGGATTTTTAGCAAAAATTTGGCAAATTTAATTTTCGCGAGAAATATGAATAATATCAAATGTAACATTCAGGAAATACGATACCGGTGAACCGATAACTTTCAAAGTTGATGGTAAACGATTTGGGAAAGGACAAGAACGTTGTGTAAGATCAGATATACTTTTTCGAACATATAAATTTCGTTCGGAAGTTATTTACAAAATAACTGTGACAACTAAGCCAGCCACTGAATTTCAGTAATACTTTCCTTATTTTTATCGTTTAATTTTATTGTTTTCTTTCAGAGCTTATCTCTCAAATAAACTACAAAAATTAATTTTTGATTCTTTCTTTTTTGTTTAAATAATTTTTAAAAATATTTTTTACTTCATGGTATAATTTTAAATAAATTGTTTTGCTTTATTTTTTAATTGCTTTGATAAGTAATTGCTAATTGATTTTAGATTTTAAAAGATAAGATAAATTTAAGTAGAATTTATATTATATAAAAGATAAGTGATATGATGAAAATAAAATGATTAGGCACGAAATCTCAATTAGTCAAATTTAATAAGTGAAAGAGCACCTCATTAAAATAATGAATGATAAATATTTCTTAATATTGGCAATAGAACGAAAAAACAACAATCACTTTAAGATATGAAATGATAAAATTTAAAAAATTTCATAGCTTCTAATTAATCTATCTTTGCCACAGGTGAATTTTATTATAATTATTTCAATTTAATTTCATATCCTCCTAAGAAAAAATCTTGTTCAATTTCATGAAATTAAACAATATAGCAATTTGTATGTGCTATTTGCTTATTTTCAAATCGTCGTAACAAAGTAATGAATGATCGAAAACCATTAATGATATTTTAACTTCATAAATTCAACATTTCATTAATGCTAATTTGTATTTCAGTGTGTTGCATATATCAGGAAGTGATTTGGAGTTACGGCCGGAAAGCATTGGTGGTGGTGTTTACAGCACAGAATGGAATACAACCGGTAGTGATGTGACCGTTAATAGAAAACGGGAATATATTACTATTTGTTTACAGGTTACTGTTACTTTTTTATGGTACTTAATAAAAGATGTAAGAAAAGCAGAGATAAAAGAAAGTTCTGAATTTCGTTATGCTTAAGATGATTGTTATTAGTGGAATCTTAAACTATTTATTATTGAATCTAATTTTTCATTTCTGCAAGGATTATTTTTCTTTTTTGTTTAGTAGTAAAATTAACAAACATTTGAAGGTTGTTGAAACGGAATATATCATCCCTATCATATCATTTATAATCTAAACGTTCATTTTAATTCGCAAGATTCTTATATGAATGCCTAATCATTTAAGTATCACATCATTAAGTATCACATTTTATTCATTTGTTTACTTTTTTTTTAAATTTAAATTGTTTATTGGTAAAAGAAAAATCTCACAGCATCTTTAATAATTTGAAGAGGAAAAAAAGATTCGTATCTTTTAAACTTTTATGATAAAGATTTACGAACATTGTCAGAAATGATTAGTAATGGAGATAAATTAAATAATTTTTAGGGTCCTGGAAGGATATTGCAACGAAAGCTTCAAGCTAAATTCTATCGAAATGATAATAGCCATGCAGATTATGGTGATAAATTGGAAGCATTAATTTGGAAGTGTGCCATAGATGATGCAGGAAATATTACTGTGGTTGATGAAATAGTGAAATGATGATCTCTTTCAATTTATATTTTCAAATGCTCCGTTTTTTTGTTTGTTTGAAAACAAGATCATAACAGAGTTGCGTTTTGTTTCGAAAACTTCAAATTGGATTTATAAAAGGTAGAGAAGCCAAATATTAGGAAAAGATTAATACTTTGAAATTAAATGTGATGATAATTTTAGTTTGCAATACAGCTAGCAGCACTATAATCTTTTTCTTTTCCTTCCATTTTATCATATTCATGAAGTTATATCACAACTTGATAAAGTTTTATTTCTCAATTACTATTTCATTCAATTTAATACTTGCCAAAAGATTTGTTGATATTTCGGAAATGAAATTAGATATTAAAGGAAACTGAAAGTAACACTCCATTGTTTTACTAAAAGAGAATTTCATCTCAAATCTTATTATCAATATTAGTCTTTAAAAAAAGACAATCTAATGAATATATTATAGCTGCTAAAAGTTAACTATTTTTGTTCACAAAAAATTAAATTAAATCACAGATTTCAAACAATACACCGAGAAGTTTACCACAATCTATCTGACAACCGTTGAGAAGATCGTGCTTTTTTTTGAATATGAATGATCGGTTGAAAGGAATGATAATTAATAATAATCTAGATTGAATAGATCAAAGAAGGGGAATAATTTAATGGCTAGCAAAAAACGGAATAGTTTGTTGGCTATAGTTTAATTCTAGACATTCGGAATAGTTTGATTTTAAACATCCATTCAACTTCATATATGGCATTTGATCAGTTTATTATTTGCAGGAATCTCACAGTTCAGAATGATAATTAATAATTATATTTAATTGATAATTAGAACTGAAATGTTTAATTTTACATTGTAATTATCAGCAGCAGTAATGCAATGTATTTACCATCTTTGACTTAAAATTGTTCAAATTTTAATTAGATCATAAAACACTTGGAAAGGATGTTTATTTTACAAAATATTGTGCATCAAGTCTTGCGCCCCAATAGCAATCATTGTCATAAGGATGTCCATTCAGTAGCCAATACTTTGCACCTTCAAAGAATTCTTTTTTTACAATAATTCATCAGCAAACAGATTCTTGAATCAAAATTTAAAAACGAAAATATTTCAACTAACAAAACCTAAACTATCGATGACCAATGACCTAAAAGGTAAAGTATGGAGAAATTACTTGGAAAAGGTTTTTTACATCCATAACAAAGAAAACACTTTTGATGCCAACAATATCCCATAGCTTCCAGATATGTTTCATTTATAGTATAACCACACTCTAAAATATAGCATGTAATTTTACAATTTAAGAAATATTTCTTCGGAAAAATACAAATCGATTTCAAATCTAATTCCATCTTCTTAATAATAAATTCATCCATAGCCTACGTCTGATAAGGAAAGGAAGGATCATTTTGAAGATATGGTTTAATTAATAATCAGAATCGATAAATCTCCATTGGAGACATTTTACAATAAAATCATTATTCATACGTAATAATAACTATCATGGTTAATAAACAAGTAAATGATCTTGAAAATGCTAAATCTCAATTTATTCCACTCACTTTATATTCTTTTCAGCTATTTTTAATTTCGCATATAATTGAAAATTACAAAAATGCATTTGATGGAATCTGGGGAACAATCGATCAGAAATTCAACGTTATAAGATAGAAATGGGAATTGGAGATGTTCCCGAAGAATCTCAAAATTCCACGATTCCATGATCGAACTAGGAGATCATATTGGAAATGATGAATGTTCCAATTTTAAAAAATGATGGAAATGAAAAAAAAACAAAACAAAAACAAACTATGACAAGGCGTTGGTCGTATAAGTGTACATATAACACACACAGCGTTACCATTATCTACGTAATACTCACGTGTTATATTTGCTTTACAACGCGAGCAACGGAAATGATCACAGTGCCATAAACGATTATTAGCGATGAAACCACAGTTATTAACAGCTTCTACAAAAAAGTTACCAAAATACCGAACCATCCGAATATGAAAGGACGACTCCTTAAGCTATAAATACAGACTACGCAGCTGCCGGAAGCAGTAGCAAACACGATCACTAGATCATGGTAACGAATGAAGACAGACCCATAATTAAACATTAATATTGAAACTTCACATTTCCCACAAACTGATCCTCAGCTATTCAGCTCAATCATGTAGAGCATACCAGAACACTCGCCACACCTTGCATCCATGAAGCCTTCCATCCCAACTGTTGGCTAAGAGAAGAAAATATAAACACTAGATCGCCAAGCCACCCTTTTGGTAGTGAGCATCCTATCGCAGATGTGAACTTGAAATAGTCTTGAAGTAATTTAAATATGTAAATACAAACATCCTTTTACTTGAATATCACCAAAAATTCCTTCAGCGACAATTCCCGTGCCAGAGAAGTAGACCGTCAATTTTTAAAAGATTGTCTATTGCCACTTTTGAACAGATATCCATTCTAGCTTAACCCATATTAATAAGGAATGAGCAGTGGAGTGCATTAAGACAAATTTTAAAAACAACAATGCATATTTATTTGCCCGGTAAATTCGATAAACATATCTGATATCCAAAAATTTGGTTCATTTATCCAATGAACAGTCGAAAAATTTTAACAAACAAACAAAAAAAATGAACGAGGAGACAGTTGCATAAGTTTTACATTTCTTCCTGAAAGCAATTAACTTGATTAACAGCAAACCACCTGAATACTTCAGAAAATGTACTGACGGTACAAATCTGCGTGTTGGATACACGGCACTCGAGTGATATGTGCGAGCAAATAAAGAGGTGAAAAACATAAACATTAGTAATAAGGCCATTCCAAGTAGTGTACACCGCACTAAAGTCCCCGAAGAACATTCATGCATTTACCACGTACTGCCCATAAGAATTGTTTCCAATCGGCTTTGCTCCATTCTTCATAGCTGAAGTTATTAAAAATTATTACAATGTTAAAATAGAAGGCAATACGTTAGGAATCTGCTCTCTACTTCAATTTTTCTATTTGGAAAAAGTCATTCCAAAGAGATAAAATACAAACCAGTAAAAAAAGCCTCCCATCCATTAACTAATCTCAATACCGTACTAAATCGATAAATATTTTCTAACCTCAGATCACTGCCATTGAAACGTTCACGTACAGCAACTTTGGTTCCGAGATCCGCAAATACAACCAAACGACCCCTCATATCTTGTGCATTCGATTCAAAGCAAAATTCCCCAGTTCTAAAAGTCTAATATGGTCAAAATTTCATGTTTTACAATTCCATTAACGAGATGATCCATAATTAACAAATGGAATATACCAATCTAAAACCTCCTTTCAGGATCTTGTAAGAGTAAAAAAGGCTCACAATTGTGTTACGATTTCATGATAACCTCGAGATACTGCTAAAGACATCATGAACATTAAACCCATTATAAACATTAGATGATTGACGACATTAACATTAATAATCAAACTGAGGACATCTTCGACAGCTATACAATATCAAGAAATGATTCAGAAAATCGCTATATCAAAAATCTGTATCGAGACCCGCGAGATCGGATAGATGAACCATTACCAAGATTTAAGAATCTATCAAGCAGAAGGAAAAATTACCGCCTCGAATTGTAGGTAAAGGCCAAATCCATATCGTTGGCGACATGCAACAATTCAGATAAATTGCTCCCATCATTCAGCACATATAATGGTTCATTGCCTTCACCCGCATCTTCACCCTTAAATGGATGAAATAGTTATCGGTAAATGATTCTGAAATCTATCATGAAGCTCCGTTTATAATTTCCCAATATAAAAAACCAACACTAGTGATACACTATCCAGGGTGAAACATTCGGATAAATTATCCAAATTCATATCCACACTTCTTGTAACACACTGAAATCTCCCCACAGATCACTGGAAATGTAATTCTACTCGAGAGAAACCTTTTCACTAGACACTGTAAAATGGCTCGAATTCCGATAACACCCACATCAAAATTTAATGGTGGTGAAGATTTTCAAAAAGAAATTTGGAAACTAACATCATCACATTCCACCTTGGGAGGCAAAATCTTCACAGCTCTTGCTGGTATTAGGTTATCGTCGATCAATTCTTTCTAAAAGGATTATGTAGAAAACTCTATGAAGCAAAAGACAAAATCTCGAAATGCTAAAGATTTTGCAAGAATCTGCATCAATGCAATCTTCATCCTGAGCATTATTTCCGTTACACCGGCTATCATTCAACGAAAACTCAGTCACACACATATGGAAATTCTCTTGACATTAAGATGCACGTGAAGAGTCATGTTTTTCAAAAAAAAAAAAAAAAAAAACAATAAAAGAAAAAGAAACCGTGTCGAAAATATTATCCTGTCCACAAGCGATATTTCCGATGTTAGTGGAAGGTTGCAGCTGTGATGGTGGCCTTGTATAAACAGATGTTGTTGCAGTTATTCCAGCAAGAGTGCCATTTAATTTCGCGTTTTTTGTAGCATTCTGTATGAACTGATCCAACAACGCCTGCTGCGATGAACTTGGCTTTGTGTCCACAACAACACGAGCACCTGCCTCTGAAAATAAAAACTTTATGCTCATCCAATCATTCGTCCGAGGTTTGCTCTTTTCAAATTTCTTACTCGGTAATAAACAAATGATGACCAAGATTCTGCACAGAAAACCAAGAAATCTCGATGGTTCTAATAATTTAATATTTCCATATCCAAATTAACTTCCTTTTTCATATGACTGTAAGAAGCAAACAGTGTTCGAAAAAGTTTTTAAATAACAATATTCATGGTTCAACAGTGTCATAAATAAGATCTATACAAAAGCCAATCATAAATTAAACAAAAATCCACTTCTCAACTCTAACAAGACCAAAATGATTATAAAGAATCAAAAAACTTGGTTTTCTGAAAACTCTTTTGGGTCTGAAAAGAAAATTTAAGCTTTATGCAAGAACACACACCTGAGATATGTACCAACCTCACTCATCTTGGCAGAGTACCGATTTATTGCTTTTAGTCATGACACCCGTTCCAAAGCCCTAGACACAAAGTAATGATGAATTACTGCTGCTACCGTCTCTTATTGAAGAATTCAACAGTATTATCACTTATAAACATTCAATTAAAATCGTCAGATCCGTCAATCAAAAATGTTAGCGGTTTGAAATTACTCATTAAGCATAGTATAATGAATGCGGACATAGGAAAACCATCGTTAATTAACAGATGATTGAATTAGACAAGATGGTTAAGTAGCTAGTAACAATTTTCTCCAATGGCTCATGCACGATTATTTTTAACTACAAGTATAGCGCTATATTATAAGTGCGGAGAGGTCAAACAAATCTAACTGCAATTAAAAAAAAAATTATTCAAACATTTGAATTTCGACTGTGAATTTCTGCATACATTCGGTATCTATATCCGATATGTTTAACTTCATTGCATCAATAGAAAATCTTTGAGCTTGCAATCAATTTCCTGACTTTTCAGCTGGAAACATGACCTTTCAACCGCTCTCTGAACATTTCCTTTTCATTATCAAAACACCTCATCTTAAACCATTCCTATTTCAGCATCACATCCCTCCGATTGTCGGGAACTGATGAATTTTATAGTCAATTTACGGCATGGAGAAATTCCCTGCTCTGGAGTACAGTCCTCCACATCTTTTGGTAAGCAGCGAAAGCAATTTTTATTTAATCCCAAAACAATACTATCATTTTTAGCTCATTTGCTTTCATCAATTTTCTTCCCACGGATAACGATAATATATTGCGTACAAAAAAATTCGGAAAAAGGCGCCCCTTCAGAAGTTCAATAAAATGAGAATCAACCAAATTCAGAAACGCCATCAGATTATCACGACCGGACCGTAACAGGAAATCCAACAAAAAAAAAACCTCAGGTCCTCACAAAAAATACTCGACAAAACAGTTGTTATATCATTAAACAAATTTGTGGTGAGTAATGCGGTAGGGAAAAAGGTGGAGTTGGGAAGGAGAAGGAGGGAAATAAGGGAGAGGGGCAAGTGAGGAGTGAAGGAGAATAGGGAAGCAATGTTTGATACATATGTGGGAGTCCAATTCATATTTTCTCCGTCTTTCCTGTCCCTTCCCTCCAGCTCCATCTCCCTCAACAATCAAGCCTCACTGTTATTTCTCATATCCCTCTGAGTCCCCTTTTATTCTCCCTCTTCTCCCTTGTCCCCTACCCTCAATATATCAAGCACACTTCCATCATCTACTTCCCTCCTACACTATCTACTACTTTCCTACCGATACAGTGTTCTTTTACCTACCTACCTCCTCCATTCGCGATCAGTATCACTTCCTGCTTTCCCTCGAAAAAAATTTTTTCAAAAACTTGCAGTCAAATTACTCCGATTGGCTACCCCTGATTTATCAGGATTAAGTGTGCTAATTATTTGGTATCAAAGATAACGAACTATAAGTTGCGGAAAACTTGAGAAAAAGGAAAGCGCAATTAAACCACGTGTGGAATAGCAACTTCATGACCAATAATTTTTGCTCAATAAAACTCAGCCTCCTCTCATGACTCTTAAATGTTTAGCACAAAAATTCAAGTCAATCAGCGGTGCCGATTACTCAAAAATTACTCTCCCTAAAAAAAAACCGTAAAATTCACGACAGAAAATTGTTAAATACGCGAAACTAATCTCTTCAAACTAATCAGCAGTGACGCACAGCAGGAGAAATCGGGTACTCTTATCCTTTCAATTATGCAATGAATCAAAGTATAGTATATATACCCAGAATGTGCACAAGTTTGACGATATATGACTGGTTAGATAACTTTTTAAAACAATTCACCGACTCATTATTATCAAATCGAAAAAAGATGCTTTTGAAGTGTAAACTAAATTTTTGAATTCATTGATTCAATAACAGATTACATTAAAAAATACGCCCATGTATTGCGTAAAAATATTTCAATTTGCGTAACTCTCGCTAGTGACAACCGCCCACAAATATTGAAACATGATGGAATAATTGAGATAAAAGAATATCTACTGATCAAATCATATTTGTCAGGAGAGTTCACCTAGATTAGCAATTGTGAATTTTGAGATATAGAATCATATTTTTAAAGTCTTCAGTGATTATAATTAGTCATTAAATGCATTAATGTATTCTATGGAATGAATTATTGCTATTTTGTAGAAATGCTCTCAGTAGTAGCGGATGTATATAATGCAATTATGGGAGTTATAGTGATAAAAAGCAAGAGAGAAACGCGAGCACCTATGAGAAATTGAAAAATCCTTCATCAAATTCATCTTTTCGGCGTTTAATTACTATACTAGGCATTTTATTACCATACAATTCCATAATTCAGAATGGCAAACCAAATGGACACTTACCAGGATAACACTGCTGTTCTCTATCCAGTTCTGGTCTCATTTCGGTATCCACAGGAATCATGAAAGCAGCTGTTTCACCCTGAAAAAAAATAAATTAAACAGCATTCTAAAGTAGATATCAAGAGTTGAAGTAAACTGAAATTTGCAAAAGCTATATTATAATTGCAAACGAAAAAGTTACGAGCTATTACGATAAAAACCAGCTCTTAATTACGATCAACTTGATTTCCAGATCAGTGTAACCGACAAGTCGAGACTTAGATATATGTTAATAAGAAAAAAAGAACCTCATCTAACAAATCTCTATTTAAAATTTTCATTGTGAAGTTGAAATTTTTTAGTATAGTACATACATTTCTATTATTAACAACAAGACGACTACGACCCTGCGGTTGGTTGATACCAATTCGTTCTTCCACAATGTTCCAAATACCACCAATGCCTGTGTCGTGCTTACGTTTTAAGTGAAACTTCAGCGTTGTTGGACTGCGGTCATTTGTTATCCATTCGCAATAACGACATCGTACACCACTCAGTCCTTTCGTTTTCAGGTCCACGAAAAAGTTCCAAACCTTAATATACGGCCAGTAATGATTTCTCAAATCTGCGCATTTCCACAATGGTAACAGCTATTGTCGACATATTGCCAAAAGCTTTAAATAAGCCACCATAGTTGTGGAATGTTAGCCAGTTACGGATCGGAGCCATCATCACTTTCCCAGTCAACCTGCAGATATTAGACTGGTACAATGGCTCGTATTTCTGACCTCTTTAGGGAGATCACCCATAATTGGCATCTGTCCTGAATGGCCTAACAATTAAGATTAGATGGACTCCAAAAAATGTGTTAAGAACTTGAAATCTAAAAATGCTCAAGTTCACACTCCGGAAATTGTTTTCTTTTAAAGAAACAAACCGGATTTGTCTTCTTTCTACCAGCATTTTTTGCATTGTACTGTGAGGGTACTATAGGAGGAGCAATAACAATTGAGCGACATCCAGCCGATTTGGCGCTACCACCACCAGATATCATTGAGGATGTAGACATTGCTGCTCTTGCCCTGAAACTAAGTTTAGTGGTTTAAATCGTCTATCTGCAATACTTAAGACCAATTCGTACTCGTTTCAATTTGGAAAACTGTCACTAATGCGATTAAAATTTTGCCATAACCTCAAAACAACTGTCCTCTTTCCAACATGCAAAAACATAAAACTGATTTACCTCGATCCCTCACAGTCAGAAAATTAATGAATGAAGATGACCGAAGAAAGTGAAAATACTGAATATGGAAGGTGGCAATTTAAGCATAAAAATGATAAAAAAGCCAATGATAAAAAGCAATGACAAAAAAGCCAACGAATGCGGAATTTTAATTGAGACATTTGAAATCTTGAAAGTAGGAAGAGAAAGAATCATGATTCATTATCAATATGAAAATTTGACAATTTCAAATATACCGTTTCAAAGTGCCGTTCGTTGAGCTCGCCACTTTTTCTGCTTTGTCTTCGAATTACGAAGTCTAAAAGCAGCAGATGTAAATGATGTGGATGAAATTTTTTCAAATACTGATAACAGTGAAAAAACAGAAGATAAAATAAATTATCCTGGTATAATACACACACTTTATTCTGATCATCTGCTATTGCTGATATACTATATGTATTAATAAGCATTAAGAAAAATGTTAAAAATACAATTGAAAATTAGGTGATAGTAAGTGATGAGAATATTTGAGAAAAGAATGTAATAATATGTAATTGTTAGGAATGCAAAAAATATAATCAATCTTTCTTTATAAAATAAAAACTAAGAATAGTGTAGTTTTGGATGATTTAAACTAAGTGATCAGATCCATTCAAATCAACCATTGAAAATATTAAGAAAAAATCTCCGTTTGAAAAGAGAAGGATAAGGAAAAGGAACCAACGCGCAACAATCACTACCAAATGGCTCAAATGAACAGGATGTTGTTGCGCTTCCTTCCATCCCAATAATATTATCCTACGGTCGAAAGACTAGCCTGTGTGGGATGAATTATGTGTGCGTGTGTGCGTGCGTTTCTGTATGTATGTATGTTATGTATGTGTATGTGTGTTTGTATATATGTGTGTGTGTATATGCGTGAGTACGTGTGAGCTTATGTCTATGTCCTAACTGGCGCAATTATCGTATTTATATATTTCAGCTTCATCTCCTATCATTTGTTTTAAGTTTCAATAGGAAAAAAATTTTGTTTCTTGGTGACCATTTTATAACTGGTTGATTAGTATGATTTGAAAATGGATAATGGACACAACGAACCATATGGGTCATTCAGTTGAGCTCAATCCCTTGGTTCCTAACGAAACTAACAGGTTGATAGGACGCGCGCATTCATCAAACATTAACACATACACACACATACATACATACAACGTTACCACTAACCTCCGCTACTGGTTTTATATACATTCCGCACAGATACACACACACACACCCACCCATACACTACCACAGACAGCATCGGCAGAAGTAGGAGTAAGGTGCAGGAGCAACTGTGGTAGTATTAGGGACATTTCAGGTCTCTCGTCGTCTAACAGCTATTAGAAGACCTGAAATGAAGATGGGAGACAAAGGGGACCTGCTATCATCATCACCACTCCCCCTCCTCTTAACCCTTCCCAGCGCATAGATGAAGTGACGGTATAAGCGCGCCTTCTTTGACCAGTTTTTACGCCATCTGCTCACCCTCTGCTCTCCTAATACATCACACTATGCCAGGTCATCGTCTACCACAACCTACAATACATTCATCCTGCTTATCTACTGACCGACTTTTACCTATCTTCCCTCTCCTCTTTCTCCTCTTTCACCTCCACCTTCACCTTCACCTCCACCAGCGCTTACAAAACATACCAAGTAGATTGCTTACTATACTGGCAAACTGGGGACATAATATTTCTAACCTAATAGATGTGTGTTTAAATAATCTTTAAATAAACATCGAATCATGCCTACATTTATATGTATCGCTGTGAAAGTCTTTGATGCGAGAAAATTTTTGAGCATAAAAGTTCCATTACTATCTGAAATTTTCCCAATTTGTAAGTACCGCACGGCTCCTGGAATTGCGTAGTAAAAGAGCATATTAAAATGATCAAATAACATATATCAGAACAATTCAACATCCATACAAATTGCAAATTGGATCAACCGTTACACGGAATACATTCCAATTTAACATAACATTTTCAATTTCTTCAAAGCCATTTCAAAAAGTTAACATTCTTATGAGAGCTATAAGCTTCAAATTGGAAGCCATTCCAAGTAATCTTTTTCAAATGATAGCATTGCTGTTAAATAAGGTTAATTTCGTACTAGTTTTTAGTCAAGAACAAACCCTCTCATGCATAACAATTATTGAATTGACAAAAAAACACCATCAGATATTATCCTCCTGGTATTTAAATAGTTGACCTTAAGTGCACAAATAATGCGATCCTTCCCTCTACCACATATTATTACCATTCCATCAAATCATATCAAGATTTAACTATTTTATACCGCCTATTCTATCCAACCTATACCTTTCAAACTCCTCAAAATTTAAACCTGTTCTATTAGACGAAATGATTACAAAACATATCACCTTACCATGCGACCTTTAATTTGAAATAAAATCCGAACTGAATCCCACACCATGAAATGTTTCGAGTGATGAAACGTCTTACCAAAAGTATCTTCAACTCATAAAATATCAAGTAACTATGCAGCATGAATACTTCAAACACATGTCCACCACATTCACCGCTTTTGACTTCGATCACCCGAGTCATAACGTTCGCAAATTGGATAAGACTTTTAACCAGCAAATCCAGAAAAATTCAGTACATCTACAACTTATGCATGGAGTACTTGTATATGTTGATTTTCTGGAACAATGTTAAAAAGAAAAAGATGATTTATAGGTCATCTACTCATTTTCATCTTCCAGATACTAAAATTATTACTGCTCCTGAAACAGCCAAGGTCACCGTTAAATTGCTACCAGAAAAAATGCATAAAAATTATTGTGACGAACAACTCCATGAGTAAAACAAAAATTAAAAAACAATGAAATGAAAAGTAATAAAGAACTTGAAATGCAGATATATACCATCGTTGTGAAAGGGAACAAAGAGGAGATCAGTTTTATTCAAATAATTTGTGGGCAATAAAATACAAATAGGATCGGCAGAAATACAACTGATAAAATTTCGATTACTAACACACAACTTATGAAATTCAGGCACCTAATATATAAACGGTAAATCAAGGCATATGACGTCAAGTATCAAGTGGAAGCAACTGGCACTCCAAATTTTTAAATTTTTAAATCAGATGCACATTGATGAACTTAAAAACTGAGGTATCAAATTTAGAAATGATAAAATGCAAATGTCAAGCAAGCATAAAAGATAGAATGCAATTAGCAAAAAAATGAGAGAATTAAAAACAGTAAAGCTCAATATACACGCAATAGTCAAAATCAGTGATAAACGCCAATATGTGAATAATAGAATATTCAACAGAATTTTATTTGCAAAGCAGTTGTATGAGACTAGTCGCATCCGAAAAGTGTCTAGAATATACGGACTACTAGTGACAAAAAGTATAGGCCAATACAAGACAGTGATAGACAAGACAGATCATTTTCACAAATACAAGCACTATATTATCAAAATGCAGTACTAACAATAACTAGCTGCGCAAAACAAGATTTTTCTGATATACACTAACCAATTGAATTACATTCACGATGAAAGACAAAATCAAAAATGAGAAACTGAATCAATTAACTAACAGTTATTTTCAACACAAACTCTGCTTACATTTTATCCTCTTCGTAAATTTTGAAAATTTTGAAACTTTTACAATTTTTGAAACATATGGAAATTGTTATTCAGGCTTCGTTAATAGTTATATAATATCATCAAATATATATTGGAAACAAGTCTTTAGGAGTTTTTACGATCTTACTCAATTTACATGTTACGACTTGAAGAGGGTAAAAATGTATCAGACGATGAAGTCAGCTTTCTAGCTTAATGAGAAAACATTTACAGAACACTTAAATGTTAACGGAAAACAAGCATATATGTATGCTACTATAATGATATATAATCACTCAATTTAATTCTAATTTATTGAGCATATCTGGCAAATAAGATGATAAGGTCAACAAAAAAGATATAAAGCCACAATCAGCAACATTTCATAGTTTAATATGGAAAACTAAGAAAATTATAACGAAATAAACAAAAATGAGCTAAACACAAGCAAACAAATGATAGGATGATAAGATGAAATTCAATAATATTCCTCTAAATTTCAATGTCACTATTTAAGCTACAATTCAATTCGTACTATCACTTAAGTTGATTACGTTCTCAATTTTTTCGATATTTGCCTTATTGAAACTATAAACAGTCATAAAAATAGACTATTACTAGTTCACCGAATATCTATCTCTTTCAACAATTACCTCTTATTCTTAATTTATTGTGAACCATAGTCTGAAAAAAAAAAACTAAAATTCGAATTTAACAAATTTCAAAGGATTAAAATATTCAAAGATTTAAGTTAAGTGAATATAATTTCCATTGATTTCGTCCATTTTATTCACATGAATTGTAAAATCTGGCGGACCAAGATAACTCGAAATTGTGCTTATGAGGTTATGACAATTAGAGAAAATAATGATTCAATAATCATGGTGATGAAAAAATAACGAGTAATGAAGCTCCATCCAAATGAATTTCCAAGTAATAAAGTTCCAAGCCATAACTATCCTAACGAACGGACTGTACCAAACGGGATTTTTTTGTTGCTGACTTTAGTTTGGCGCTTTTGTCAACTTTAAAACACCACCAAAGACGAAGACTTTCATCGCTAGATGCACTCATAACATACTGTCCACATGGCGAAATCGTCATGCCCAATATGCGTTCAGTATGTCCAGTCAGTACCTTAAAAATGTACGTAGCTAAAAAAAACTTATTACACAGAAGCAAAACACATCATGCTTCATACTCCCCAACTTCGATTTTTCGACTTATGAGGCTAATATTTCATAGCTTGGAATCGGCTCAGCCTATTTCACCACTGATAAACAACAAACAAAAATCATAAGAAGCTACTGGAACGTGAATAACACTTTCAATACCTTAAGACAATTCATCGATGGATATTTCCATATTTTCAAATCGTTACCAGGATATCCATGGCCACTAATAAGCTCCTTATAATTCGACGTAAATGCCAGGGCATTTACCTGAAAATATCTGGTAGACACGAAATCATAGGTCTTATACCAGATTTATATACCCGAAAGTTATAGGTACCTGACTGTCAGTATCTTGACTGTGACTCAGTGTCCCACTGGCAAGATTCCAGAATTTAATTGTTCGATCGACGGTACCACCACCAGTTGCTAATGAATGTGCTTGATGAGGATTAAATGCAATCGCTTTCACCGATGCAAGATGATCGCTGAAACTATACAGTGGTTCCTGAAAAATCCTAATGAAACTTTCTAAATGTTGGGGATAACTTTTTTAAAAACGCATGGTTCTCACACGCAACAGTAAACCAACCAGATTGGACTGGTGTGGATGTTATATCGAGATATAGAGTATCAACTTTTTCAAGCAACTCTCAATGTCACTATTTTAAAAAATAACAAATCAAAGAATCTGTTTCCAAAGATAACAACCAAATATTAATTTTGACAAGTTATCAAATGAAAAAAATAGCGAAGATTAAAACAACTGAAAATCGCACCGGATCTTCAGCTGTCAAAATTGAAGGCTCCCATATTTTAACCATATTATCACCTCCACCACTAGCAAGATAGTGACCATCACTACTCCACACAAGGCCACAAACTTCCTGCCCGTGTCCGGGAAATGTTCTGTAATTAATTTTAATTTAAGCAAAACTTCTGACATTCCATGAAAGAAGATCATTGAAAGATTATTCTAAGCGCATGTAAATATTTTAGTTTCAACAAAGTTAAAAAAATAATTAAATGATCTTGACGATGTAAAATTCCTAACGGGATCAACATCCAACAGTAATGCAATTATAAACTAACTACGCTGCACACAATTCTTCTGAACTGGCTGTTCTAATATTCCGTTTTATTAATGCGTTTTAGGAAGGTTTTGCTTATAAGCGATCATCAGCTTGAAAACTTCGTAATCATCAAACGCACGTTTGCCCATTACTGCGACATATCAAAATTTGGTTTGTACATAAAAAATATGCAGACGCGCACGACAACAATGAAGTATTCGCATTACTTTGTATCGTCTAGTTTATCTTTTACACTAATTGACTTATCATAATGCATTAATTTCTGTACAAACCAGGTAATAAGTACAAATCATTTAGGTACTTATCATAAGATATGGCAGCAATACGTTACGTTGTCAAACCTTTTACTCCATCATCACTTGATCGCAAAGAAAAAATTACACAATTTATGAATCATTAAAGTTATTCACTGACATTTCTTAATGTGGTGAACTTAAAACTATTGTTTACTACTAATTTGTTGTCAGCAATCCCTATATCCGACACACAATTGTCGACTCTAATAGATAATATTACTTATCAGATGCTTACAGCCATTCTTTGAATTCAAATAGTAACTGCAATTCGAACGTGGAACCTAACATATACATGGAGACATCGTTTTAGGAAGAGAATTTTACTCATTATTATCATAATTGAAAAAACCAAACAAACCCAATTTGGAAATTCCGAACACGAACATCGTGATGATATATTCGTCCTGATCGGCAGCCACTGAAAAAAGAAGTTCCTTTTGTAGAGAAACATGAAGAAATTAAAAAGACAGTTTCGAAAAAATAAGCATTTTTAGGAAGTAATACCATGTATAGTCAAACGTTCAGAGTCTAGTACAAGAAAATGTTCCGACTTGTCTAACTTTCATCTCCAGTAATTTCTTTAACCAAAATTAGAATGACCAGCAATTACAACATGACAGTCACCGTTTCCTTTGAAACTTTTTCCAGACATCACACAAACTCACCAGAAAAAAAAAATATGGCAAGACTCACGCAGAAAGTACATGTTGACGCCAAGATAAGCATCCTACTCGACTTATTTGGCATTGCATTGTTCGCAGCAAAGAATTTTCTCGTGCAGGATCGAATAACTGAAACATTTTCCTCAAACTGGCATTTTCTCCAAGACCTTACATCAAAATCGGATAATTCTCTTACACAGAGTCACATTTCAGAATGCCTTATTCCAATAGTGTGAATTAAAACAACCACTAAATATCCCAACACATATTGCATTAAAATGTAAAACGATTGGAAAAGTTAAACAACACTAGATGATTCCCATCAAACGAGAATTAGTGTCGTCAACCAGTTTTTCCGAAATTATAAGATATTACTGGTCTAGTCCATCTAGGACACTAGCTAGAAAATGATCTAAAATATTAGTCTTTTTTACTTAAATAAACCTTGACATATCCATTTGAAAGTCCAATTGCCAAAATCGAGCTTTGTTCTGCCCACTGAACTGATGTAATATAATTCCCAGATTCCTCTGGTAATTCAAAGAGTGTCTGTAAATAAAATTAGGTACACTTAAAATCAACCTTTCCGCGAATAAATCTCAAAAGAAAATGAACAATCAAAAAAAAGTGCTTGAAAAAGACATGGTACTAAATACACAAACGTACAAACATTTATTTATAGAATTAGACCACAAAATCAGAGCACAGACATACTGTCCTGTCGCTCAATGACGCCCAAATTCGTGCCGAAAAGCACGCAATGTCACGTCACGTATCACTGACCTTAAACAGTGCCCAATAGTTCTGTGCTCAAGATTAGAAATTCCACTACAAAGTCAATAAAATTTAAAATATGACAAACTTACAATAATCTCGCCGGTAGAAGCATTCCACAGATATAGAGCATACGTTAGAGCAACAGCAATAACATTATCATAGCTCCAATGAATCACATTCATGTCTGAAAATCACGATATTTGTAATAAAAATTGAACCATTCACCTAATAACAAGTATTACTGTTATGCATAAAATATTTTTGCGCATTATTTTCCCACTTAGAAGTAATCAGTAAAACGATGGAATCAGTTTATCTTCGATTTACCTATGTGTTGAAAATAAAATCAACGTATGATTCATCGTGCTACATTAAAATTAAGCCCAAAATTCAAATTTAGCTGGCAATTCGAAACAATTTTTGATAAGCTAATAACAAGAAGTCTGAGCTATTTTTTTGTGTTCTCAAAAATGTTAAGCGATTTCTCAGAAAGAAGATCTGATGAAATAAAAACTACAGAAAAGTATCTGAATAGTCCAGCCTTTAAAGAACAATACTATAAATAAAAAATAGATGAAAATTAAATCCACTCAATGTTGAAGCATACAGTAATCATCCATAAAATTTGGTGCATCCAGAATTCGTTCCGGACTATTAGGTATATAGCGCAATCCCTTGCTAACACTTCCAGATGGCTTCAAAGTGCTTGATGTATAAAGTACTTTTGATTGATTCACGTAACCCAATGGTGGTAGCGGTGCTTGGCCCTTTTTGTAGCATAAAATTCTTTCATCACTATTAGTATCTACGTCGTTTGCTGATTTAGCTAAAAATATCCAGATGAATAATTATAACATAGGAAAAGTAAGATAGCTTCAAAATGAAATTAGTATCACTACAGTTGAAATTAATTTCATACAAGAGTTATTGAAACTAAGGTGCCAATCGTTCTGAAAAAAAATGATCATCTTACCAGTTGATTTTTTCGTTTACCAAAAAATCAAATATAAAAAAGATACCGCGCATCATTTTTATCATGTAAGCCTTTTCAGCTCTTGATGGACTGGTTGGTGCAGACGTTGACGTGTTTAAAAGCGAATCACACTGCAATAAATAAAAGGTACATAAGTTAATTGCGGAGGATTTGGCAGATGAAGTTAGAAATGAAACAAAATTTACTGAAGATCAAAACATAACAGATGCAGTTTATCACCGCCAAACTAGGTCATGTGGTGTTATAGTAATAGATGAGATAAATAATTAGTTAAGTATGAAACATTCCTTTGGCTACAACAACGATTCTTCAAATTGAAATTCATAAGTAGGTTTAACAAAATCAACAAGCTTCAAGATTGCTTCATTTTGGACTACCAATCATTTCCAGCTAACGCTCGTACTAATCAGAGATACAAACGGAAATTTTTATGGATAGCTTGACACAAACGGGCATCAGAATTGCAAGATCAAAGACCCAAGTAACCTCGGATTAAGTAACGGATTAAACGAGCGATAGAATTACGAGCCACATTAAATGAAGTAATGGAAAGATCTCAACAGGTCATTAAAAAACACAGTCAACATATTAAACAGTTAAAATAAACTTGGTATGTTAACTAACCTCAGAGTTATGACTAACAAGGCAGTGATTTGCAAATTCAAATTGTGTTTCACTTCGATTTGGTATGAACCGATCACCACCACCAACACCGCTATAATTAGGATTTCTGGATGGTGTAAGTTCACGCTTTTTTAAACCGCCTTTTGATTTGTTAAATGAAATACTTGAATTATGACTTGGAGTTTTCTGTGATATCGAACGGTTTTCTCTGAAAGTGAGACAATACAACATTTGTAATAGAATTTATAAAATTTTAAAATTTATAAAATTTCATAAAATTTGTAATAATTTGTACTGCTACGAAATTTTATTTAAAGTCATGAATATAAAATATTTCAAACAGAGCACTTCATTAACTTGGTTTCGCAAGAAATAATACTCCTATCTTTTGATGGTTGACATTATAGCACCTTTTTTAGGAATCTCAGGTATGATCATTGATTCGGTAAGATAATTACTTGAGATCATATTGCATGAAACTAATGTTACATCCTAATAATATATAATAAATTATCTGATCATTTCATATCCGTTGAAATCAGTCAACTAAAAGACGAAGTAACTTACTTATTAGCACTTTTCGGAGTTTTACTATTTGTTCGCAAATTATCATTTTGATGATGCCGTGGTGTTCTGTTAGTCGAATCTTTAAATGGCATTTTGTTATCAAGACCAGTAAGTTACCTATAATATGTTAGCAAAGCCCTGAAAACGGCAACAATTTATCACGCTATAATGCACTGAACCATTTATGAAATTCGACAACAACACTTCTGAATTCAAAGACACTTAATTTTCGCATGAATCAACCCCACCAAGTCCGACTTCAAACACCGTGAACATGTATCCCGTCACATATTTGATCAATCATAATTTCACCGACCTTCCCAAATTCAACCCAGCAACACAAAAATAATTATGAATTAATTTCATGGACGAAAATTTACCGCTATTTATTCGGATATAAAAATTAACAACTGTGTTACAAAGTAAAATCTCTTACTGGTACCAAAAATATTACTTATATATAAGCCTACCAACACTAACGATTTCTCGCATGATTATTTAACATCATACACTTTTGCATTAAAACGTTAAGTAATTTTGTCTGTGACAAGTACAGTCAAGACTAACCAATTAATAAAATTTTATTTCTACCAACAACAAGTTCAAATGTAGGGAATATGATCATAAACAGGTACCAACGGTATTTCATGAAAATGAAGATTTCAGGTGTAACATATGCATTTAAGCAAAAGTAACAACTTGAGTTTTATAATGAAGCTAAAAACGAATTGCAATAGCCACTGAAATCAAGTTCATTGATCAACTAGAGTTCATGGTAATTAAAAACTCAAGTCATAAACCATATACCAAAGGCGTTAAGATATTCTATCCTCAACTGATTTAACATTGATCTATGAATTAAAGTTTAGCCTAGCCCCAAACGAGCTCCAAATGAATTCCAGCCTCAAATATCGCTTTTTCATTTGTTATCAATAATTCCAATAGTTCCTCAACTCAGTTTTAAAAAAAGAAAATTTTATGTTCAAACAGAGTTATTCATTTAAACAGAATCAGAGCAATGTTGTGACGATATCAGGAAAGGAGGTATAAAACTATACGGCTGTTCGATGTAAGAAAGATAAGGGAACAAGAAATTCTAGTCACGGAATTTGTATCTACTAAAATAATGCCATTAAAAAAATTTACTAAGATAATTAATGTCATTTTCCAAAATGTATTAAGTGGCAGATATTCTCTCCAGAAGATTACAAACTCAATTCATACTTTAACAATTATACCAGTAATTGTTAATATCATGATCACCGAGTTACCTGATAAAACTTATACAACCACCATATTCCACTATGATAGCATTTCAATAAACCACAATAGAGTTATTACTTGATGTAAGGCTTCCAAAACTCCTCAAATTAAAGTACATTCAGCGTTACAAACTAAATAAATTCAGCATAACCACTGAAAATTAAGTTGCTAAAAAAATTTTCGACCCAACAATTGAGCAAGACACACGAAATGGACATTGAAGCCATCTCAACATTCCATTTCTATTCCACTGCCATTACTGCTACCTTCAATATTATCATCATCATCATCATCATCATCATCATCATCATCGTCATCATCATTTATGTGCTGATTATCACCTAGATTCGAATCTCTTCTTCCATTTTCGTCATCTAGAACAAGCATATCTTTATTTTCATACGGCCCAGCTGCCTATTTTAATCATAAATAAAAAGAATTTTTCTCATAATAAAATTCCATCAATTTCAGAATAAAAGAAACACTTACCAGATGAGAAATGACTTTCGCCAGATCCAACTTCCTCGTCATCCCACCACTTTTCTACACTTCCAATACTTCCTTCATCGTCAATATCATTCATTTCATCTGATGTTTCTGACGTATCACCATCATCTAGAGGAAAAGAAAAAGGGTATGTTTGCCATTTTTCTGATAAGCTATGATAAATATGACCATATCTCTCAGAATTGGAAATAGAAGGCAGACTTGCAATGGGCAAATATCCAAAAAAAAACTAACTAGTTTGTGAAGTTCCCGATTTAAATACTAAGGTGATGGTGGAGAGACTAGACTAGTCCAGCACAAATTGAAGGCATGAATCACTTCATTAGATCCGACTTAGAGCCTCGTTACAGGAATTCCACGACAATAAATAGAAACTGGTATGAACTGCTTTAAAAAATGAAACCGGAAATATCAAGCGTTATTATTTTCGGAAAATTCAACAAGTAACCTTCAAAAAAAATATCTGGTTGCTGCGATACAAAGATCTGCGGACACATGCGACGGCTAATTTGCTCATTGATCAAAGAAAGTTTCCCGCTAACTTGCAACAATTCACTCATATTCGATGCCCTTTTATTGAACCAAATAAATAAGGATGACAAATCCTCTTTTAAAGTACCAATCTGGAATTTGTTTTATTCTTTGAAGAATTCATTCTTCTCATAATCAAAAAAATCACATTCTAATAAGTTGTGTGTCCTACTAAAATAGACGCCTGTCACTTCTGCTAGGTTTTCATATACTTGAGATCGTAGACTACAACATCTGAATATATAAAATGAGATCCTGAATACATTATCCTTTATTTAGTTGGCATGAATGACATCATGCTATTAAATTTTATATGAATCCGAAACTTACCGTGCAGAGATAAGCCATATGTTTAGACAAAACACACTGCAACCATCGCATCCAACAACTTCTGAAAATCGATCTGGAATTTTAGGACATCAAAATTATGAAGCAGGGGTTAAAAAAAAAGCAGAGGTATAAAATTAAGTTATAACAAAACAATACTCTTATTAGATAATTTTCAAAAAATTATGAATTTGTGTTGTTTATGCGCAAACATTGTAATTAAAAGACAAACAAACATACTCAAAATGTCTGCGATTTCTGCAACGGTATTCGATTTCCTTAAGTAAAGGCATAACTTGTGCGACTGGTAAATCATTCAGTGTTGCTGATATCGTTTGCATATCTGCTTTCAACAACACTGCATCGATTTTTTCAGCATCACTGCTCGTCAAACCTTGATTCAAAATTACTGCCAAGCTTTCCCCATTCGTACTTCTCAAATCCAATACCTAAAAAGTGCGATGAATGTGGACTGTCACGGAAAAAACTACTGTTCCACTGTTCCAGTTATTTTATTTCTTTAATCCATAATCGCGAAAAATGGTCGGTTAATATTTGCCGATAGCCGCCTTACTCTCAGAGGAATAAATTTATTAATTTCAATATCATCCATCTCGAACGATCACCGCGGCCAATATTCAAACCGCACACAAGTTGGATGACAGAAAAATCATTATGAATTTGAGTAGAGATGGAACGAGAGTTAGATCCATGAATTTTACCCATAAAATTGAATGAATAAGTAACAAACTGTAGCGGCCTCCTCGGTGTAAGTATTCGATGTGCTCGCCTTTTCATCCACACCGAAATCTTGCAAATTTTCACTGACAGAGTCCACATCACCAATATTTGAACTTTTATGATTGGCACTGAATATGAGATAAAGTAATTCAATAAAAAAGTTTAGATACAATTTATTTTAAAACCAACCACTTAACTGCTTTTTAAAAAAGACCAAAGCTGCACTACAACCATCTCTTTTCATATAAGCTTTGGTGATTTTGTAATAAATACTATACCAAATCTTACTTTTCTTTAACAACGACACTTTAATCCCAGATCAAAGCAAACACAACGTACTGTTGCAAGTATTTTGAAAGAACTTGAATTTCAGCTTGGAAACTCTTACTGAAGCAAAGAGAGCAATTTTAACCTTTCATCGGTCGTTTTTCTCCTTTCTTTTAAAGGCATATCTTTCAAACTTGTTTTTGGTGATTTCTTTGGTAAAATCACTTCACGATTCTCCTGGAATTATTTCAAATATTTCGGAAAGTTTTAAATTTCAAGGCTAATCTGAAAGAAACAGGAAGCTAGTAATGATTTGACATGAGTAATTCAAATTGGCAGTAAACTGCTGAAACACAATAGAAGGTTGAAACAAGTTAAAAGAAAACAATACCATTTATTACTTAGTTAAAACTAAATAAAGTAAATCACTTACAACGTTCCTACCAAATATAACTGCACAACTTGGTTAAACTGCGCAAATTGCATCGTAGAACTCTCATGAAA